CAAGGAAAAGAGGACGGCCAAAGAAGGGTTAAAGAAGGGCCGTACGACAATCCCCAAGACATTTTCTCACTCAGAAAGAGAAAGACAACTACGAGTTAGCAGTAAAACTCCGACTTGACAACATAATCACAACACCAGGATTACCGTACGAAGAGTCGGATAGGATTAAGATCGACGCGTTAATCAACCAGGGAGTCTTTACCTTTATTCGGTACGACCCAGACAAACACTCCAACATACGGATCTTTCGTACACGAATGGTTAGAGAAATCAAAAACAAAACCACGAAGCCGTACGAAAAGTCAAGACTAGTAATCCAAGGATATGGTGACCAGGAAAAGGAGGAAATCCTTACACAGGCACCAACGATCCAGAGGATGAGTCAGAGACTACTCCTCGCCCTTGGACCTACCCTCGTACGAGACTTCAAGTGTCAAGGAGAACTCAGGGATATTACGCAGACATATACCTAATCGGACGATCCATTAAAAAGAACAATTATCGCACGACTTCCCAGGGAACTCGAGGGTAAATACCCAGAAAGAACACTCCTACATATCGTGAAGCCGCTCTACGGATTAGCAGAATCAGGTCTTTACTGGTATAAGACGTACGCTACACACCACAAGGAGGACCTTGGAATGATAGAGTCAACGTACAACCCATGCCTCCTTTATACTACGACAGGAGCAGACGACTTTGGTATCACGGCAATGCAAACAGACGATACAATGAGTTTCGCAACAGCAAGTTTCTCCGTACGGGAAGAGGAACAATTAGAGAAGAAGGGCCTTCATGCGAAGCCGAAAACAATCCTATCACATAACCAAGAAGTAGATTTCAATGGCGGCAGGATTCAGTCGTACGAAGACTACTTTACTTTCTTACAGAAAGGACAAGTTAAGCAGCTCAATACTATAGAGATAGATGCACTTAATGCACGACAACAGTACGTTTCGCAGCGGGCAAGGGGCGCATACCTTGCTTCAATATGCCAGCCAGAGGCATCGTACGATTTAGCAGTCGCAGCTCAGATCAAAGAACCAAGTAAAGAGGACATTGAAGCTCTGAACGTACGACTTCAATGGCAAATAGACAACCCTGATCGAGGTCTTAAATATATTCCACTCGACTTCGTACGAACAAAGATGTATATCTTCACAGACGGATCATTTGCAAATAATACAGACCTTTCATCACAGCTTGGATTTGTTATCGTACTTGCAGAGGAAACAGCTCGTACGACGACAGACTTTGAGATCAATAGAAATATTATCCACTAGAGCTCAACGAAATGCAAACGAGTGACTCGAAGCATACTAGCTAGCAAACTATACGGAATGACTACAGGCTTTGACAGTGGCATATCGTTAAGCAGTACCTTGAACCGGATTCTTCGTACGCTCAACCTCCCAGGAATTCCAGTCGTGATTTATACAGACTCAAGATCTCTGTATGAATGCCTCGTACGACTAGGAACTACTGATGAGAAAAGACTTATGATCGATATCATGAGCCTGAGGGAGTCGTACGAGAAGAAAGAAATCTCAGAAGTGAGATGGATCGATGGCAAAGACAATCCAGCAGATGCTTTCACAAAGAAGTCACCAAATTCAGCGCTCGAGCAGTTAATTACGACAAGCAAGCTCAGGATAAGAATCGAAGCGTACGTAGATAGACTTAGGGGAAAAGACGAATGACAATCAACTCGTGCGATTTTACTATCGTACGAAAACCCCAATACCAACATCCACCACCAGATGTTAGTCTATGAGAGCCGGACCCTTGAGATCATAGATAACCACCGTACGAATGAACCAATCCCCCAATTACTCCTTCTCAATCAGCTGCGGGTTGTGAGAAGAGCCAAGGAAGCTGCCAGAGGTGCCGACACCATAACCAAGCTTGCGACCAGGCGTACGGTCGGGCTAGCAAGCGCCACGGGCGTACGGCTTCCGATAGTTAGAGCGACGGGGAGACTCATCATCATCATCGTTGTCGGAATGGTTGCTACCACCAGACGAATCGGACGAACCATCCTCCTGACCACGGTGAGAGCAACGAGCGCCGTGCGACTGCTAGACGCATTCCGCACACGAGCCATCAGAGAGGGTCCTGAGACGAACACACTCCCGGAATCGAGGAGAGCCAGAGGTCGCACACTTGCTGGCGCAAGCAGGCATCGTACGACCTCGAGACTGAATGATGATCGCGATGAAGTAACTAGAGCGTCGTATGATAGAGGCGACGAACTCTTGAACGCTCATGTTGCCAGTCATACGCACTTCAATGTCGTGCGACGGCAGGGCAAGAGCATTACGTTCATCGTTCTAGACCATGGTTAGAAAACATAAAAGGAAAAAAAAAAAAGCGTTGAATGAGAATGATTGTTCAACGTACGAAGAGAAGAGAGAAGAAGTGGTGTACGAAGAGGAGAAAAGGTAAGTAAGAGGAAAAGAAGAAAAGACGCGTTTTTATCATTTCAATACGGAAAGTTCTGCCTAAGTAGGCAGGAAAAAAAACAAGAAAAAGTGAGGTGAAGCAATAGAGGAAGGCACGTAGGACACGCGACTTACTCAACCGACAAGAGAGGAAGGCGTACGAGACGACTTCCTACATTCACCCTTACGACACATATTAATCAAGTAAAGCTATTACGAACTAGAATAGCGCAACCTAATTAGACAAAGGATAGGCACGTACGGTCATAAAAAGAAAAGTTGTGAGTGTTGGAATAACGATAATCACATGACCGTACGACAAGGCTGTCACAGGCAAAGGGGTGTATAGGTGGCATGACTAGCACCTGTAACACCTAAATGTCTGAGGAAGGGATCATGGTTTATTACCTGTCATGCACGACTCGTGTCTAGGTATGGACAGAGATATATCTGTTCGTACGGAAGGCAACATCTAGTTAGGAAAGGTAATCACGGAAAATAGAATCTTTGGTTCACCCTACATTTATGACAGTACGATCGTACAGAGAGCCCATTCAACAAGAAGAGTATTTAAATTTACTTAGTTTAATAAGAGAAGGTATTAGAACGTACGAATCTTCCGATCTCGTATCGTTAACAAAGTCAAGGGTAAAATAACTAAACCCTACGAGAAATCGAGACTTATAATATAAGGTTATGCCGACGATAGTAAGAAGGCTATATTAACCTAATCGCTAACGATTTAGCAAGCAAGTTAATAGCTAATTCTATTAATTACCCCGTTACTCCTACGAGAAGGGAAATAACTATAGCTTCGAGATATTATATAAGCCTACGTTTAATCCTCTATAAGGCTTAATCGTACTATTCTCGCCTACCTACCGAAGCAAATTCAAGACTAGTACCTAAAAGGGACTATTATAAAGGTTGTAAAGCCTTTATACGGAATCGCAGAAGCTAGAACCTACTAGTAGGCAACGTATTATAAGTATTATAGAGAGAATCTCTAGATAGTTACTTCTTCGTACGATCTATGCTTATTGATCTTATCTACCGAAAATCTATACTTTAGCTATATCGGTATATAAACCGACGATACCCTCGGTTTGTTAGACAAGGCGTTTTTATAATTAGAAGACGAATAGTTAGAAAAAGCAGCTTTTATAACAAAAGCGAAGAATATCCTTATAATTAACAAACCCTTCTAATTTAATAGAGGGATAATCGCGCTATTAACTAATAATTCGATTAATTTAAGGCAAAAGGGATAAGCTAAGAAGTTACGATATATTAAGACTACTAAACCTAACCTAAAATAGCAATATATCGAATAACGCGCTAGAAAGGCGTATATCGCGTTAATTTACTAACCTAAGGCTTGTTTCGATTTATCTACTACTACCTAATACTAAGACCCCTTGCTAGAAGCGATAAAAGCACTAAATTAACGGATTCGATAGTAAATAGAATCGCCTAACCGAGGAATAACGTTTATCCTACTCGACCTTATAATAGCTAAGCTATTCGTTTTCGTTAACAAGTTGTTTGCTAATAACTACGACCTCTCCTCCTAATTAGGGTTTCTAATCATCCTAGCTAACAATACTTCCTCTAATAGTAATAACGGAGAATTTACGATTTACGGTAACCTTGTTTATTATAGCTTTACGAAAAGTAAATAAGTTACCCGTAGCGTATTAGCGTTAGAGATCTACGAGATAGTCGCTAGCGTCGATATAGCCTACGCCTTCGCTATAACCTTAGCAATAATTACTAACTACCTTAACCTATTAACGATTTAAATAGTTATCTATACCGATTCTTATTCGCTATACAAGTATCTCGTAAAGCTAGGCATTACTAAAGAAAAGCGACTTATAATCGATATTATAGCGTTAAGACAATCGTACGAAAGACGAGAACTATAAGAAATTCGTTAGATTAACGGCGAAGACAACCTTGCTAATACCCTTACGAAGAGCAAACTAAATCAAGCCTTCGAGAGATTCGTTAATAGCAATACGATAACGATACGTATAGAGGAATAGGTAATAAGACCGTAACTACAGGAGAAAGTAGGGATAGGAGGCCGAATTAACGAGGAGACGGAACTATATAGGGATAACGTATTCCAACCGCTTCAATACTATAAAAAGAGAGTTTCTAGTGTTGCGATAGTTAGAATACGGAGTCGTATGGTACTTCCAGCCACACGCCCGCCAGGCTGAGAGGCCTAAGCCTCCCAGACCCACGTGACAGGCCAAGGGGGAATATCCCCACCTTCTAGTCAACAACACCACTTTCAACTATCATGAACCATCGATTAGAACCAATTTACTGTTATTTGTTATTAACGAACGGAATTCCGTTTCACTCCCTGTGAAACCTACATGAACGTCAAGGAGGACGTAAAGACTTCCTTACAGCGATTCTAGCAGCAAAAGAATCTGCAGGCTTGACCCAAGCTGAAATTCTTAGCAATTCAGCCTTATTTGCGTGAGTTACTAGTACCCTTGCATGATCCCAGCATCCGTAAAGCAAAATGCTGACAGGGGAAGCATGGTTGGATACGATACGTCTGCTACAACCTTGTCGGCAGTTTTCTACCACCTACTTCGTGAACCGAACTATTACCATAAAGTTCAAGTAGAGGTTAGAGACACATACTCGGCGCTTAGCGATATTTCCGCGTCAAGTGTGCTTCGTCTGCCCTATTTAAATGCCTGCATTCAAGAGACCCTTCGTCTGCTGCCGCCTATTAACGGTCGAGGTTCGCACCGGATTTCACCTGGAGCCATGATTGACGGCCTTTACGTGCCAAAAGGCGTCAACGTCTCTGCTGATATCTGGACAATTCAGCGACGGCCCGACTATTGGGCCTTGGCCGATAAGTTCCGTCCTGATGTTACGACCCGTTGGACATGGTCGCCAACACGACCCCGCCTGGATCCCGGCGGCTAACGCAGGGCATATGTAACCCAGCCGGACAGGTGTAACCAGGGATCCTCGGAACGGAAGAACTATGGACAAGTCACGTGGCCTCGGGGATAACGCGGGGTAAGGACAACCCGGGCTGGATATGTTGGATATGTCAAATATCCAACCGATCCCCGGATATGTTGGATATGTCAAATATCCAACATAGCCAAGATAAGGAGGACCGTTCAGGACTTGTATATAGGATGGACTCGAGCCGGGCTCGAGGACAGACTTCCATAGCTCTTCAGCAATCAACTTTGTGATTACCCTAACCGGTACTTTCAGCTATACCTAAGTGACGACTACTCTACGACTCTTGTTGAGGCCTTGACTGATCACCAAGACCTTTGAAGATCTACGATCTATTCGACCAGGACCACGGAACGACTGTTACTACTCTCAATCCCTGGCTTACTGTTAACACAAACCCACTGTCAGTTAGCTGGCCGTAACACCTGACCGTTGGATTGACAATGGTCCGGGCACCATTTTTGAACATGACGTCCGTACTAGTTACCGACCGTTCCTCGTCGGCCCACGGGTGTGCATTGGCCGCGAGATGGCGCTGCAGTCCATTCGTCTTACCGTAGCTAAGGTCGCGTTCGCTTTCGATTTGGAGATGACCAATAAGGATACTTTTGTTTGGGAGAGGGATGCTGGTAACGACTATGTGTGGCATGATTATAACGTTATGGTCAGAAGTCCATTCAAGGTGTAAATTCAGAGCAAGGGGTCGAAGGTTCCCTCATTCACTAAACATGTAGTTGTCTTTACCCCTCTAGGGGATCTCAACTGCTGCCGGCTGAGCCTTTATTTGTCCTATAAAGTTTATTTCTGTCCTTAAACTCTGTTCTAATTCTGAGTGTGGCATCTCCGGGAGACACGGGAGATTCCAAAGTCATGGTTTTCTTACTCGCGTTTCAAATTGGCTCTGCATCTATCCCCGAACACAAGAGCATCTACTACAATGGCGTTAGTTTCTTCTTCAGCCCAAAACTGCCAGAAACTCTCGCAGCGTCCACTGACATGTCAAGGTTTCTGTTAGCTGACCTCATGCTGGCGAGATGAACCTCTCTTTGTGCCGAGAAATTTTATGCATTCCATAATACTGAGCAGCCTGTTTCCCCCTTTCTTGAATGATGAAATCAGCCTTGCCGGTCGCATTCAAAAAGCATGCGTCAACCCAAGAAGAGCGATTTGATTACTGTGGTAGCCATTGTTTCTCCAGAAGAATTAGTTCGGAGCGCAAGACACACAAAGTTGTACAATGAACCATTCTTGCTGTGTTGGGGCGAAAAAGATCGCTGCTGCTAGCATTCATTATGCTGCTAAGTTCTTCCTGCAAGTAGTCAGTGTCATCCTCTGAACTGCTTTGTGGTCACGTCCGACAGGATCCGCTACTGACTCGTCGATGTCCTCGCAGTGTGTAGATTTGAAATGCTCTCTAAAGCCCACCGAAATGCCTCTTCGAGTCAACACACTTCCAATGAAGGCCGTATAGTTTGAGACTCATTTTCTGCAATGAACCTTTTGATAATTCCTGGCTGATACTATCTGACGAGCCTTCGAAGGTTTGTGAATTTCGGCCTCTATATTGAACACGCCGTAAAAGATTCTCTCTGATGAAACGAAACTCGTCGTCAATGTCAAGTTTTACTTCACCTTCTTGTACCTCCAAGGATCGAACAGCATAAGAAATCTGACTCGCAACATCCCCTTGAGAAACTCGGGTTCTCTTTGGGGCTCGGCCTATCCATGGTTCTCGGTCCTCTCTCTATCGTGGTTTGTGTGTCGTTTTCTTCACTCTGATAATGGGTTTTGACGTTAACCTTGATGCCTGTAATGATGTAGGTCTAGGGTACTCCGTAATCAACTGAGCTGCGTATCGGAATTGCTTGCCGATGGCAGACTTTGCAGCGGCAAAAGTCAGCTGGCTTGTCCGGATCCTAGTCTCGCCATTTTTCTGACTTAGGTTTCGGGAATAATTTGAGTTTGAGACTCTGGTTTGGCACTTGTCAATGTTTCCATGCCATGTGGTTGTCCCGCTCTCCCTCTCCATACTCAGAACATACCACGTTCCTTTCATGATCCAATCTATCCGAAGAAGTTGAGTCTTCAGATGACGCTAATGTGTTGTCTATGATATGGTCCTCTTTGTTTTGTACAGCCTCCAATTGCGGAGCGACTATCTTCCTGTTCGAATAGAAGGTCTACCACTCGTCAAATCCTGTAATCTCAATGGGTTCTGCATCGGAGCTGATGCTTTCCGCAATCGAATTATGCCATCTTGGCGAGGCCTTACATCTCGAGCACTTCTTTGCTGGTTTGGCAAGACCAAACTAAACGATTTCCTAATTGAAACCTGTTTCGGTGTGAAGTCCTTATCCTGGGGGAGCGTATTGGGAAAGACGATGTGCGCACAGTTGGCACTGGGTGGCAGTGAGTTATGAAGACGATCTAAGAGAGAACAAGATGCACAGAAAGACGATGCTTCTCGACTTTTCTTAGAAGGGTTAAAAAGTATCGTTATGGTTTTATTTTGAATTTGACGGGGGCGAGCAAAATAATAGTTGCGAATCAAAGTGTACGTTGCGCTCAGCTCAATGAGGTTCATCGATTCGAGTCAAATGGTAAGTTTGACAGTTTAAAAAGAACTTTGTAGTTTATTCAAGTTGCAAGAAAGTTACGAAAGAAGATGCGTAAGATGGGTAGGTGTTACTGGGACTTCCTCGCGTCAGGTACCACCTGCTCCACAAGACCATTTAACCTACCCCTTAGTCATGTGAAGAAAGGATGAAACATGGCAATCAACAGGTACGTCAGGTACCTAGAGTATTAATTATTGATTCATGACAGAAACACCATATGCGAGGTTCTCGTAAAATATAAACCTAGGTGATCCGGAATTGCTTGAACATATGACCACCGGCGTCTGTTACAGTTAAGAGGCGAGTCATTGGGTAAGTGATATCTTCGCGGGAGATCTTCGTATCTACAACGAGAAATCTTTTAATCCCTTTGTCGTGGCATCAATACCAAGAGCCTCTCTCTCGTCCTTGTCCAAGATTCCCAAAGCTTGTCTCCGAGTGGGCGCGTCTGCATCATAATAAGGCTTCTCTGCCAAAGAAGTTACACGAGTCCCATGACGTGGGTGGTTACCCTCATAGTCCCAGCTTGCGTTGTGGATAGTGATTCTAAGAAATGTCAGCTTGAATACTCCCGCTGTGCTAAATTTGTACGAACCTGTTGTCCCAGAGAGCGCTCGTGTTAGGTGTCCACTTGAACCGGACCTGAATATCCACATTCTTCTCAAATACGTCAAACAAGTAGTTGAGAATGACATCGCTCTCGGCTTTGTCAAGGCCAATGATGCGGTCTGTAAAGAGGCGGTTGACCCACAGAGCCTTCCAACCAGTGGCGGGATGGACACGAACCAGAGGGTGTGCGCGCTCGATATGCTTCGGTCCAGCCTCCGGGTCGTTCCGGTCCAAGTAAGCATGGGCAGACTTGTAGACGGCGTATTTTCCGTCAATGATTTTTCGGAAGTCAGGTGAAAGCTTCTCATAGGCGGAATAACCACTGGCCCAGAGAGTGTCGCCTCCAACGGGAGGAATTGTATCATTATGAAGGTGCGTGATTCCAGCGGGTTGGCGTTCGTGTACTAGATCGGTGTGCCATCTGGAGGCTCCACCCGGGTTGCGGAAGTTTGCCGGTCTCTCGGTAGCCCACAGGGCGGGCCAGATGACTGTGGCGCCAAGAACGCCGGGAACCTGCGGGACTTGGGGCTGCGGGGCTTGTCAGCTTAAGGGACGGAAACTAAAAACATCCATCCTGAATCCTTACATGGACCTCGACCTCTCCGAACCAATCACCCAACTCCTTTTGCTGCTGAGGCGAGAGATCTTGATCTCGGAGAAACACAACGCTACGCTCCGCAATCAACAGGGCAAGCTCATCCTTCTGTTCAGGGGTGAGATCTTTGAGCTGGAGGCCCTCGATCTCTGTGCCTATGTGCGCCGTCAGGTCTGTTACCTTGGTTGCCGCGCTGAACAGGTTCTTCTTGGACTTGTCTGCCCGAGATCCAGCATCGATGTACTCTCTCTCCTTGTTGCGAATGTTGATGGCGTCCTGCAAGTACAGCGGTCGAGAGGGGCGATAAGGGTAGCCGTTGGAAAGGTCCACGCCAGCCTTGGTCAACCTTGCCTTTGCGGCTTCGGGGAGACCAAGGGTGTCCTTCTGCGGCTCCGCCACGTCCGTGATAGATGGGTCAATAGGGGCAGGAACCATGTTTATTGCGCTGGTTTGGACTGAGAACTGGCTATTGTTCTACTCGTTGAGAGGCTCTGATATAGTTTAAGGACTTGGATTAAAAAGTTAGTTTGATATGATTAATTCAGTATTGGGTTACTGCGAACATCTTCTTTTATGTCCCATCCTAAGATTAGAATTGCTCCTCGCAATGCCATCCATCTAGGCTCAAAGCCTCTCCAACACCAACAAATGCTCACCAATCGAGGTCTGATTACCAATAATCGCGGGGTCAACAACCATTTAGAAAGCTGATGAATGGGATAATCTGCATCTGTAGTGACGAATCTGGGGGCTAGTACGTGACATCGAACCATTGGAGTCTCGGATCTAGAAGATTTGATCGCGAACCAAAGTCTCCAGGCAGCACGCAATCCCCGCGCCAAACCCCTCTTGCTACCATATCAAGATGCAATCCCACGCGAGATGGTGTTGAGCAGACGACAAGTGGGTGGCTTCGCAGTCCGGCCGATTGGATAAGAACTGGCTGCGGGCCAGCGGGTTCGGGGTCGTCAGCCGCCGCAAGTGGGGGTTGCGCGATACAAGGGCCTGATTGTGTGCTCGACGACAAATGGCAAACCAACCAATTTGAGCAGATCACCAACCCAATCAAGAAGCCTCAGAAGATAAAAATGTTCCCCTTAGCAAGATTTCTCGAGGTTGGCTGTAAGCCTTTTCATGTTCTTATCTCCGGTTGTCACCCACCCCCTCATTTCTACAACAAAGGTCCTCCCTAGGCCTGTTCGTGAGCTGAAGGTTTTCTGGATAACAGACATTAGCCATTGTTGGGAAGGTGACGAGGATTCATTGGATGGGAACAGGGTACGGGAAAGAATAATAACAAGCTCTTGCCTAGAACTTGAGTCTCTTGGCCTAGATCGGGCCGCCCCGGCCACCTTTGTCATACATTACGAGACTAGGCATGGCTGCCATACGCCTCTGTCGCGGGATGTCGTCGGATGTTGCCCGCTACGAGGGTAGATAATCTGCAGCACGCCATCGTATCCAGAATCATCGTCAGCTCGAAAACCCATTTTTTCCCCTGTAACCTCTACAAACATAGCCGATGATGCTCCGATGATAGCCCCGATGATACCCCAGCACAAGATATTGAATCGCCCGTTAAAAACCCGGTACAGATGTATAAAGTCCAGTAGCTAGTATCGATATGTCGCGATTCTTGGTTCCTGTCGATCTGATTGTCAACTTGCATCCTTTCAATCACTTAGCTGTATCCTGGACTTTGTATCCAGAGTCTGCCAACCGCAATGGCAGTCACCGGGATCAACGAGAAAACCAGCGCGATAGACTCGCCCCGGAGCAAGTCCCCGACATCTGTTGGCGTCGACTCCGCGGGGGAATATGCCGTCGAGGAGAAGCCGAAACTTACCTGGAAGTCCTACATCTGGGACACCTTGGACAAGTCTCCAGAGGAAAGGAAGTTTATGTTCAAACTTGACGCTGTCATTCTTACCATGGCATCACTAGGCTACTTCATTAAGAACCTGGATCAGATCAACATCAACAATGCCTTTGTCTCAGGTATGAAGGAGGATATGAAGCTTTTTGGCAATGAACTCAACTATATGCAAACTTGTTGGACTGTCGGTTACGTTCTTGGCGAGATTCCTAGGTGAGTATTCCAGGATTATCGAGCAAAGGCCAATGAACATGTGCGGCAATCCTAACAGTGACACACAGCAATCTGCTTCTTACACGAGTCCGGCCTTCTATCTGGATCCCTGCATGCGAAACTACCTGGGCGGTGTTGACCATCCTCATGATCAAGTGCACAAACACAACACAACTCTACGTTCTTCGGTTTTTCATTGGACTCGCTGAAAGTACCTTCTATCCCGGCATGCAATACATTATTGGGAGTTGGTATCGAAAAGACGAGCTTGCGAAGAGATCATGCATATTCCACGCCAGTGGTTCTATCGGAAGCATGTTTAGCGGATATCTTATGGCTGCGGTCTACAACCTGGATGGAGTTCACGGGTGGAAGGGGTGGCAATGGCTCTTCATCGTGGATACCGTCATCTCTCTGCCCATCGCTCTTGCCGGATTTTTCCTTCTTCCCGACGTCCCCGAAATTGCCAAGTCATGGTACCTCAGCAAGGACGATATTGCGCTTGCACAGAAGCGAATGCAGCTCGAGGGACGCGCCACCAGGCAACCCTTCACAAAAGCCAAGATTGTCAAGATTTTCACCAGCTGGCACATATATGCCCTTACAGCTTTGTACATCTTCTTCAACAACGGTTGTGGCCTTCTTGGCCAGCCGGGTTTCCAGTTGTGGCTCAAGGGCGAGGGTTACAGCATCAAGGAGGTGAACACCTATCCGACCATCACATCGGCTATTGTTGTTGTCACGACCATGATATACGCCTGGTCTTCTGATACGGTCTTCAAAGGCGCCCGGTGGCCGCCAATCGTGTTCTCTGGCGTCGTGCAAATTGTCCTCTATTCGAGTCTTGCGGCATGGAACATTCCATTAGGCTGGAAGTGGGCATGTTTCCTCCTTGCTGGTTTCGGCGGTGGCATCAGCGGGTTAACATTTGCATGGGCCCATGAGATTTGCAAGGATGATAATGAAGAACGAGCTCTGGTAACAGGCTCGATGAACCAAATGGCTTATGTCTTTCAAGCTTGGCTACCACTCCTCATTTGGCAACAGGTTGAGGCGCCGCGGTACCCCAAGGGTTATGTCACCATGGTTGCTTTGAGTGTTGGGCTTATAGCCACGTCATTTTTGATCCGATTTTTGCATCATAAAGAGCTGGGAAAGAAGGGTTTAAAAAATGCGGCTTGAGATAGCATTTGTAAAATGAGGAAAATAGCAGGAAGTTGTGCGTATGTCTGTCAAGTAGAGAACTTCAAGATGAGATATCAATAGATGAGCCAAGCGTCAATATGATAAGGTACTAGCATGAAAGTCACCGCATAATCTCGTCATGATGTCCTCGGGCAAGGGTAAATCTTGGCCTGTGCCTGACATAAAGATTTCGGCACCCATGTACCTCCAATTTCAAGGACGCAGCCACATGGCAGTTCCGGGACCCAGCCACTGCCAGAACCAGTCTGTCGCTACCAGCCCTGTAAAACGGGTGCTGTGATTTCGATTGTGAGGGCTAAAAATGAACATTGACCAATCAACGCGAGCATAGACAGAGCAGCAAAAAAACGACCCAGACGGGACTCGAACCCGCAACCTTAAGCAAGGTGGATGAAAAACCGGAAGCTTACTCGCTACCATTGCGACACCAGGCCAATTGTGTAATAAGAATTCACAAACAAATACATATTGCTTTACTCTGCCGACAGAACGTCGCCCTCAATGCACCAACTTGCCCACTTGTTGGAAGCGGTTATCCTACTGTGAAAACAGCATTTGACTTCGCCTAAAGTTTTCTTAGTATGAGTACGCTTTCACCCTTTGGTATCGCATCAAGCTTAACACGCTCATGGCTGCTGTTATGTAGCCTAAAATGGTTATTCTTGCTGGAGGCTTTCAATTACCTTGGATCGCGAATGCACTGACTGTGTTACTCCATTACATCACAACACTGACGAATAACTCTCCTGATTTTAGACATTCGGCGAATGCGCAAGAGATGCTTTTGCTAATTATTCCTCCAGCCCGGACAGTGTAGCCCAAACTCCCACGAATGCACCGAATAATGCCTTGGCAGCACCGAAGCCACCAGCCCCCACCTCTCCTTCGGCAGGTTGTTGCCACCAGTAATTCTTCGTAAGAATCGTTATTCACTTTGGCTTCCTTAATGCGAAAGCTTACTGATATGCAGCGTCGCGCCCTTATTAAGGATATAGTTCGATTTTATATATTGGCATTCTACGCAGGTTAACTTTTTTCAGTTACATGTTTTCTTTTACATGTTTTCTTTTCATGAGTATCCGTACTGATTTGCTTAAAGCTATGGTAGGTGGCGATTTGCCCCATGTGACTATTGGCGTAGGCTGTTGGAGCTGTTGTTACTGGAAACTTTTACGAAACTTCATACCCGTACCTGCTTAGAGGTACTCGTTGAAGGGTGCACTAGGCGTTATTTCAATTCATAGATGGCTAATTGCTGTAAGTGACGTTAACCATGTCTATTCTTCAATATTTTTCAAGAGCTATTGGGACTACGGAGCATACCTATCGCGGACCTACTTACAGGAAGACGATGAGAAGTCCCCTAGAAAAAAAAAAGTGGCTAAGCCACATGGTCAGTGCACGCATGCAATTTCTACCTGCATCCACCTCACTATGACTACCTTACTGAGCGCCTGATGGAGATATCGCCTTCACCTTAGCCTCACTACGACTTCGCCCTAAACCGTGCACGTTGCATCCTGATATGAGAAGGATCCCTCGCGTAATGAGTCGAGTTCCAACAATAGCGACCGTTGTCCGCGGTGCCGGCGTCAACATTGTTCTAAAGGCCGATCAACCCACTGGTCGCACTGTTGCTGGGACCGTCCAGGATGTGCTGACGCGGGGCAATCACCCTCGGGGCATCAAAGTGCGGCTGACCGATGGTCGGGTCGGACGTGTGCAGTCGCATTCCGGGTCTCAACAGGCTGGCCTGCCTACGGAGCAGGAGATGCTAGAAGCAGCCGGAGGGCCAGTTCCGTTCGAAGACCGACGACCACCAAGGCGCCGTGAAGGCCGACGGCAGGAGCCACAGGGGGAACTGCCTCCATCACAGGTTGGACTCGAGGCATATATTCGACCTGCGAAACAAAAGAACGGCGGGAGGAACAGGGCAGCAGCAGCTGCGGGAACCAACAGCGAGGTGGCGGCGTCAAACGCCACTGTTGAAGTCGTCACTTGTCCCGTCTGCGGCGTCTTTGAAGGGGATGCAGCTGCAGTAGAGCATCATGTTGCCAGCCATTTTGATTAAAAAGCAATGATACCTAGGGCGGTTTCTTACGACTCTTACACCATCTAGGCTCCAATCTTAATTATTGCTCACGATGCCAAGAATGTTTCTAAAATGCTGCCGTAATCGCTGCAACGCTGGAACAAAGCGTAAGGGTGGAAAGGATTGCTGCGAAAACAAATAAGTGGCAGGCCAAATATTCCGCAATTCGGCCAACACGAATTGAACTAGAACTAGAAAAGGGTTTATTCAAGCTAGGCTTGAGCCGCTGAGAATTGTCCATTACAGGCAATGACGAATGAAGAAGTTATGAACCAAGTATTGTTAATACTGCCTAGGTAGTGATGACTGGTGTTGGGGACGAGCGCTTGAACTCATCGGCATGGTCCTTATCATCGACTCAGAGAGAAGCTATGGATTACAACGGTGATTAAGTCCTTAATAGATGCTGGGAGCAGCATGTGAAGATAATGATGACGTTGTTTTTCAGCCAAAGATAAAGTGAAGACCAGTCAAAGAGCCATCATTGATAATAAGAAGTTATCTCTAGTCCTGTGAAATTTAGACTAGAGAAAGCAATAGCTAGCGTTATGCCAAGAATGAAGCCTTTAAGCACCATGGATCGTTACGACGACCCGTTTCTGCCAGTTGATATCTTAACAGCCTTCACCATTGTTGGACATCTTTCCACACATAAAAAGTGAACCGAACTCTGTGGTATAGTTTGGGCATGATGTAATAGCATGTGCTATTGGTGAACGCGTTACATGTCAACTACAATCTGTATCTGAAACCAGCAGTCTCCCAGTCGGTCACATCCTCATAGTCCTCAGGACGCAGCTCGACTTGGTCCATCATATCCGCCACATCGTTGGCGTTTCCATCCGCTTGCAAGACCTTGCCGCCACCAACTGCTCCAGCACCTCCAGCACTGCCCTCGTACCCTTCTTCCCTGGTGCGCTTGGCGTTCATCCACTGGAGATAAGACCTTAAGCAAAGAGCGAGAACCACCACTAACGAGTAACAGATCATGATAGTTCTGAAGGCAGTGTTATAATGGGGCTCTTCCGCCGCCTTGAAGAACTGAGGACCAGCGATGTTGCCTGCGCAGTATGCTAAGAAGAGCAACGCAGACATGGTCATTTTCTTCGTCACGCCGCGATAGTTGGCCTGTACGAGGGACATGGCGAGCGGCATGGCGGCAGGACCTGGTGAAAGAAGGAAGTATGCAAACAGCTGGACTCCGTTGCTGACGTGCTCACGAGAGTAAATTATGGCTGCGCCGGTGATACAAGGAAGAACGATAAGAGCAATGAGAATGCAGTTCATCTTGCGGAAACGACCCGCAATGTATCCGGTTCCGGCAATGATGCTGGCCGAGAGAAGCGAATAGGGAATGTTGATGAGAGTGGACTGGAGACTCGTGAATCCGAATGACTTGATAACGAGATTTGCAAAGTTTTGGGTGCCGCCGTTGGGAATCTGCGTGATGATCTCAAGCCCGAAAATGAACCACGTTTTGGGATCGATCAGACATTCCTTCATTTGGTTCCATTTCCAGTGCGTCTTCTCCGTCCGACCGGTGCCGGCAATAACGACGCGATCACCGGCGTACTGGCGCTCTTCAGGGGTAAGGAAGCGCGCGGTGGAAATCGTGTCGGGCAGCCAGAGCCAAAGCACGAAAGCCCACGCAAAGGTCAGGACGCCAAGGATGATGTACATCCAGCGCCAGGGGCCGATCTTGTCAGAAATATGACCGGCGCCGAAAGCCAGCAGAGAAGCCACGAGACCGCCGACGGAATTACCCGCGAACCAAATGCCGGTGCGTGTGGGGATCTCGTCACGCGTGTACCACGTCGAGGTGAGGTACATAAAAGCTGGAGTAATCGTTGACTCCGCGACACCGAGAAGAAAACGAACGGTAAGTAGGCCGCCGTAGTTACGGCACGCGGCTGTGACAGCGACAACAGTGCCCCAGAAGAAGGTATTGGCAGTCATGTACTTGGCGACGGGGAGGCGCGCAATAAGTAGCGTTGTGGGATATGTCCAGGCGAAGTAGCCGAAGTAGAAGATGCTCGAGACCCAGCTGTAGTCCTGGCCCTTAAGATGCTTTCGGAGGTGTGTCAGAAACTAACAGGTCGCAGTTTACTAAAAGAATACTCACCGTATCCTTTCGGAGACCAAAGACTGATGCACTGGAGAGGATGGTCTTGTCCATGAAGTTGAGCATATACGTGAAGAACAAGAGCGGGATCACGTTTCGATCAATCTTCCAAATGATTTTCTTCGCCATCGCATGGTCGACATGTTGTCGCTCCCGGTCTTGCGCCTCAACTGGCGGATCTTGCTGGGATTCTGAAGTCGAGCCCATGTTGGCTAGCAACTCTTGTGTTTCTTCTGTACGAGAGCTTGATGCGTCTGTGGAAACATAAAGGCTGCCATTGTGGATGTGGCATCGGGATGCAGCCACCCTTTTGAAGAATGCGGCCATTCACTCTGTGCCAGGGTTGAGGCGATTGGAGGTACACTTCCCGCGGGGAGAGAGCGCAAAAAAAGGCCCACGAGTGTCTTATCTGCCGATCCCCTCCGACGACGCGTTAGCTTACCTGCCAGACCGACCAACCACTGCAAATCAGAGGATCTGCGCAGAGCAAAGCGTAGCAATGCGAGATAAAACTAGTAATGCTTTCGCACCACTAAGCTCCGCCGAACAGGCAGTATTCCCTGCAGCTGTCGTTCCACTCGTCGGCGAATATCCGAGACGACAGGATGCGATGATACTACTCTGCTCAACCAGTGGTTTGTAGATGTGCGGTCTCTTTAGCACTATCTGTACGTTAGTAGGGGTCGATAGGTTGCGTAGTGGAGAGGGCGACTTCTGGGGTTGGAGATGGATGGATGTGAATGGACTAACTGGGAAAAAGAGAGCCGCTTTGGAACCGACCGGGCGGTTATGGTTGGCTACTGGCACTGACCACTGGGGAAACCAAAGAAAACCTTACTTAGTCTTATCGGATCCTTCCTTTTTCACCCCACATTACTGCGAACATCGGACATGCACCCCATCAAGAGGTATGTGATTCGTGAACTTTTGTAAATCCAGGTCTACAGACGGCCCACGAGTAGACCAGTTGGATTAACGGTATTGGAATTAGAGCCGGCGCTGTAAAATGAACGATCGGCTAACGTCCGACGAGACGGAGTTGCACCTCACACTGTCTAGCTCTTTCAGGAAATTCAAGAGGGACAACATGAAAACATTCTATCCTCATTACGCACCCACTTATTGATTATCTCCCTGAAAACTACGTTGCAGTTTTTCAGGAATCAAGATACCTCAACCGTCCGAACAACGATTGTGCGCCCGTCATGAATGGCCTCGAAGTCTCCCCCTTCATTGCCTCGCTTCCTAAAGTCGAACTGCACGTTCACATCGAGGGCACTCTTCTGCCTTCTCTTCGCTGGAAGCTTGCAAAACAAAACTCGGTGCCGCTACAGTATGAAACATATGAAGATCTCCTGGAATCGTACAAGATCTTCTTCAACCACCGGCCGGAAATTAACGGCCGCGTCCCCGGTATCCCGACTTTTCTTGAGGCGTACTTTGCAGGTTGCGAAGTCCTGAAGACGGAAGATGACTTTTACGAAATGTCCATGGACTATTTTCGTCGATGCGCCGAAATGAATGTCCGCTACGTTGAGCCTTTCTTCGACATCCAGGCGCATACACGCCGAGGGGTCCCTGCGGCGGACGTATTGAATGGATATCTTCGTGCACAACGCGACGGGGCAGAGAAATTAGGTGTCAAGTCCAACTGGGTATTTTGCTTCATCCGTGACGAGAGTTTGGAAGACGGCATCGACGCTTATGAGACGGCACGGCCGTGGGCTGCCGGGAATGTTGAAGGCGGAAAGGGGCTGTTCCACGCAGTTGGGCTTGCAAGTAATGCATACGAAAGACCACCAATGCTCTTCGAACAAGGGTTTCTCAAGGCCAAGAGTGATGGACTGCATGTTACTATGCATTGTGATTTTGGCCAGAAGGACACTTATGATCATGTCCATGAAGCAATCTTTGAGGTCTGCGGGGGTAAAGGGGCGGAGAGGATCGATCACGGTCTTGATGCCGCGGACCGCGATGAATTGTTGCAGGGCTTGCTGGACCGGAATATCGGTCTGACACTGTGTCCCCACGCATACCATCGCCGAACCGCCACAGAGGTGCTGTTTCCCAAGATTCGGAAGCTTTGGGAGAAGGGAGTGAAGTTCTGTATCAATAGCGACGATCCTGTGTACATGCATGATGTCTGGATTGATGGGAACATGCAGAAGGTGTACACCTACTGCAATATGAGCAAGGGAGACATGGTGAAGTTGGCAAGGAATGGGGTTGATATGTGTTGGGCAAGTGATGAGATTAAAGAAGAGCTGTATCGGGAGTTGGATTCAGTAGATGTCGAATGATGATGTATTTAATCTTTAAGCGAACTTGAGCTCTTGTGGTGCTTGGGAAACAATAACTGCCTCTCGTGACCATGTCACCATTTAAAATGATCACTTAATCTAATTTAACAGGCTGAAACAGTTTTTGAACTGAATTTCCGTTAATTCACTTGAAATTATTTGAATCAGACGTTTCTAACATCTCTTTTAAAGTTTTCGTTGCATCATTGCCTTGGCTAGGTACTTGCGTTTGACAGCCTGATAAGCAGTTTATTGATTGTCATATCATTACCGTTTGGTCTGATATCTGATACTTCTTGTAACTTGCCCTCTTGGCATTTAACAGCACATTTCAAGGAAACAGGTAATGAAATCGGATTATGTCATATATACCTTTTTCTTTCCGGGATCTTTCTTCACTTAACGTACATGATAAGCGAGTGAGACAGACAAGCGAGTGAGACAGTAAACCGCGACCGTCGCACCTTGACGCGACCGGCACCTTTTCCTCTACAATAAATCATGGAATCAGCTAGTATTGAAAGAAGGTTACAAATTGCCCTTCAAGCAATGAGAAATGACCCAAAACTTAGTGCTCGGGCCGCAGGTGCACTCTATACAGTCAGTCACGCAACATTAAGCCGGCGACTAAAGGGAATAGTCTCACGACGCGACAGCATGCCTAATTCACGGAATTTATCAGATTTAGAAGAGAAGACAATAGTTGAGTATATTCTCGACCTAGATGCGCGATCATTTCCTCCCCGGCTGAGTGGTGTGGAAGAAATGGCCAATCGACTTCTCGCAGAGCGCGACGCGCCTCCAGTTGGGAAGCGCTGGGCTTCTAATTTCGTCAAGCGACAACCACAGCTTAGGACGCGTTTCTTTCGCAAGTATGACTATAAGAGAGCTCAATGCGAAGATCCAGAGGTGATTCGTGGCTGGTTTTCGCTTGTGAAGAATACAATTGCGAAGTATGGTATTGCTGATGCTGATATCTACAACTTTGATGAGACCGGCTTTATGATGGGCGTTATTGCTTCTGGAATGGTTGTTACAAGTGCTGAAAGGCGTTCAAATACGAAGATGACACAGCCTGGCAATAGGGAATGGGTTACAGTTATCCAGGCTATTAATTCCCAAGGGGAGAGCATCCCGCCATACATCATCGTTGCAGGCCAGTATCACCTCTCAAGCTGGTATACAGAAACCTCTCTTCCGGGCGATTGGGCTATTGCAACGTCTGAAAATGGATGGACAACAAACGAGAGAGGTATTGACTGGATCAGACACTTCGACATTTATACAAAACCACGTACGTCTGGGAAATATCGCCTCCTCGTTGTTGATAGTCATGAAAGTCACCACTCCGCAGCCTTCGAGCTCTTTTGTCAAGAAAACAACATTATTACACTGTGCATGCCGGCTCACTCGTCTCATCTACTTCAACCCTTAGATGTTGGTTGTTTTCAGCCGTTAAAGAATGCCTACGGTCGGCAAATTGAGAATAAGATGCGGCGAGGCACAACCCATATCTCGAAGGAAGATTTCTTTGCAGCATTTCACGAAGCTTTTAAGCAGTCTTTTACGAGGAAAAATATCCAGGGAGGTTTCCGAGGAGCTGGACTTGTCCCTTTGAATGCAGAAAGTGTTCTCTCAAAGCTGGATGTAAAGTTCCGAACGCCAACGCCTGAGGAGGGGGTCCCTCAGACACCAGACCCTTGGATCTCTAGGACGCCGAGCAACCCAAGCGAAGCAAGATCACAGTCTACTTTTATTAAGAGTCGAATCTCACGCCACCGAAGCAGCTCTCCAGCATCAATTTATAGTGCTGTGAGTAAGCTAGCCAGAGGGACAGAAGGACTAGGGCATCGGGTAGCATTACTAGAGTCAGAGGTTCAAATCCTTCGAGAGGAGAATGCAATATTAAGTCGGCGTCGAAGGGCTAAGAAAACACGTCTACAGAAAGGAGGAAGTCTTACTATATCTACTGGAGAGGATATACAGTCGCAAAGAGAGGCAGACACGCAACTACAAGAGGAAACGCGACGGAGTAGTGGTCGCAAAGTGAGGTCTGAGACGACTCATCGTCGGTGTGGCGTATGCGGGAATACAGGCCACAACGCGAGAACATGTCAATTTATTGAGGAAACATCCGAAGAACAGGAATCCGAGTAGTATTAATCAATCTAAGATTTCTTGTTATAGATTTCGATATTATTGTCGCGAAGGTCTGGTTTACTGTCTCACTCGCTTGTCTGTCTCACTCGCTTATCATGTACGTTATACTAATTTTCCCTACCTGATTCGAAGCTTTTTTTCAGAACCTAACTAGTTGTAATGCCACCTAGCTTAGCTCAATAATGCTGAACAGAGGATAAAGACAAAGGATTGCCATCAGTAAAGCTGTCGTTTTGTGCCATAATTGATTGGCCTTACCTGCTCTCCATCCAACTTAAACAACGCTGAAAAAAGGGCTGTATCAAAGTCCCAAGACCAGCTATTCGGGTCTCGTCTTTTTAGTGTTTGATAGCCCCCACAGCCCTTCACAAGTCAGACAAGATATTGGAAGCCTTGAGTCATTCCTACACCACCGGATCGTCTCAAAGGGCACCCAAAGTCTATTTCTTGACCTAAGGCGTATGAAACGGCAATTCTACGAAAAGGAGTCTTCAAACGAGGTTTGATCAGTTAAAACAACAACTAAGCAGGGCTAATTGCTCCAAAAAGGCTAGCAAAATTGCGAATCATCTACCGACCACGACAACGATTGTTATGCGAAGAATAACTCGTCGTTGATGAGATAGAACCTTGGGGGAGTTTTGGCAACAAAAGTCCGAATGAGTTTGACAACCCGGAATACGAAGGGGCTCGTACATATGGTTTCCGCTGCTACCACTGAATAGCCTCTTGATTGGTATTAAAGGGGGTGACCGTTGCCCGATGCGAGCAAACGGAAGCTTAAAGTACCAAGTTAAACATCATACTGAAGCGCATAGAAACAATTTTCCAATCAAATACGTAGACTGCAACGAAAATGAAGTGAATGTAAGCCAAAACTGACTGTGTTGCAGCCTGTTGCCCAGTGAGTACGACCGCTGTTCCTCATTGGTTTGCTGCCTAGATAAGTGGGCAGCATCACGTGCATATTCACATGAGAGCGCGCCGCTTTCGCCACTTCCTCAACCGCGCTCCTCGTGTTTTAAATGGCGTTCTCAGCCGCTATCAGTCAGCTTGGAAGTCTGCCCCACCAACACCGACATGATAGCTCGATTGCATCACGATGGCAGGCTCTGTCTTGCTTGAATCTGACGACGAATATGGCTATGATCTTTCGGTGGAAGATGAAACGTTGCTAAACCAGCTTATTACCAACGTTCCCGACGCCGTATCGACTTCGTCGCGCAACCCTACCATTGCCGTCATCGCTGCAGACCTGGGAATCGACACTATTATTGAGGAGGAGTGCCGCCTAGACGATGGTCCTGCCAGTTCCGTCTCTTACAAGAGGGCTGCCTTGGCCAAATCGCCGTTGCAGCCCACTCATAACAGTCGTCAGGCTGCTTCAGGTACCGTCGAGAAGAAGCCAAGAACCAGATCTCCGTCGCCGCATGGCGAACATGTCGTCGGTTCCGCGGATTGTAGGTATTCTCCTGTAGCATAACAGGTTTTCCGACGACTGACTGACTATGAAGCGGCTAGTGAGCAAGTCCTCGGCGACTGGCAACTCTGTGTCATCACCCTCGAGAGTGACGGAAGCCCCTTCTATAGATTCAACCAATGATACCCGATCGCCGCTTGTGCGGTTTCGTTCTTTCCCTCGAAAACCATTCACAGTCACTGATCTTACTGCCGGAACCTGGTGCGAACTACAGTACTTCTACACCCTTACTCGATTGCCTTTTGGCCGGAAGACGCGGACGGCAGCAATGAAGCAAGGGACCAAGGTGCATCAAGACCTTGAAGACGAAGTACATACGACAGTTCGCGTCGAGATAGCCAGCAGAGTAGATGGGTTTGGGTTACGGATTTGGAATATAATCCAGGGGCTTCGTACTCTGCGTGAAATGGGTATGACCCGCGAGCTCGAGGTCTGGGGGTTTGTGGACGGGAACCTAGTCAATGGCGTCATCGATGGCCTTAGCTATAAGGACCCAGATCCAGAGTTGGCGGAACGGCTAAGGAAAGAGCCGGGAAGCCAGAACCAGGTCGCCATCACTGATTTCTTTCCATCGAAGAAGCCTTCAAGAGGCAAGATCCCTAGGGTCTATCTAACAGATGTAAAGACACGAGGCACAAAAAAGGTTCCCAATAGTTCATCCTTGCTGTGGCCTGCGAAGGTGCAGCTTTCCCTTTACCAGCGGTTCCTGTCAGAAATGGCAGCAGACAAGTTAGATTACCTCCGTATCTTTCGACGTTACAACCTCGACCCAGACGAACCCTTCTCAGACTCGTTCATCGCCCAGATCGGGACCTTGCATGAAGAGCTTTTTGAGGTTGAGTCCTCGGATGAAGAGGAATATGTTCCACCATCTTCTGGCCGAACCAAAAACGACATAGAGTCGGACGCTGCGTCCGACCATTCTACATCAAATTTCATCAAATACACAACGCTCCGCGAGGTCCTTCCCCTCCTTGTCTCGGAGCTGAAAGAGACCTTTCCCCACGGATCGGATTCCGTTGGGCGATTGCTGGAGGTCGAGTACAGATATCGCGGCGACGGTTCGCTCATTGCCAACCAGACCTTCACCATGGATGACCACGAGCTGGACCATTACCTTGGTAATACCATGGAGTGGTGGAGAGCTGATCGGGAACCCAAGGGCGTGCAAATTGAAGAAGCGTACAAGTGCCGCATGTGCGAATTTGCCGACGACTGCACATGGCGGTCAGCGATGGATGAGGAGAGGCTGCAAGCTGTGCGACAACGACTCGAGAGTCGCAGCAAGCATGTCACTGCTAGTGGGTAAGGTGCATGAATAGCACAGGAGTTGGAAGGCTTGAGATAGAACGGAGCATTCTCCGAACATATTAGTTCACATAAATGAGAATACGAGTAACGACCTCATTGGATATACTAGGAAAGTTCACCGCCCGGAAACAGGTGCCGTCTCGTACGTGACGTGGCTAAGGGCGGACAATTAAAGACGGAAAATATATCCCGGAAAAAGTATTCGGTGGAACGCATTGTTTTTTTAAGTTAGTAGCGGGCTTTCGCATGCGCCGGATCCACGGCTTCGAAACCCGCTACAACTGACAATGAAGTCATATTTCCGATGTGTGTGGCCCGGTGTTTAACCATTGTACCAGTCAGAGCCTACCGGGCTAATTTTCGGGTCAAATCCAGGCTGATTTTGGTTCCCGCCTATACGTAGTTTTGGGGGCAGTGATCCTGGGCGGAGTCTCCGCAATGCCATGTCTCGGTCTCCTAAACGACAGCTTGCAACGACTTACGATATCCTCAGTGAAGCGCCTCGGGAACCAAATTCAACTACTTTCACAGCACTGACTTCATAAATTTCTCTTCTTTGAATCTTAAAAGTTGGATTTGAACTCTATCTTCTCTTAAAATTCACATTCACGAAGCACAATCGACGTCATCTTCGGCACAATGGCCAGATCGCAAAAGGACCCTGAAATTATCGAGCTAGCTCGCACTTTGGAGAACACACCATGGTGCGAGGAATATGAGAAGATGATTTCTGGCATGATGTAAGATTTCGTCTACTCCTAATCAGAGTCCCTTTGGGGAAAGAGTGCACTGACGTGGGGTATGTAGGTACAACCCTGTCGACCCGATCTTGATCGATGGTCGTCACCGCAGCCGCTGTCTGGCTCGGGATTTCAATGAAATCGACCATCGCAAGTACACGGCCGATGAGGTCGGCGAGAAGAAGGCGGAAATTCTCCAACGCATGCTGGGAAAAGTCGGCGAGGGCACTTTCATCGAAGCGCCGTTCATTGCGGATTATGGATGCAACGTCATTTTTGGCAAGAACTGCTTTGCAAACTTCAAGTATGATCTGGCCCCCATTTGCATTTGATGATGATGTTGATTAATTGGAACAGCATGACGATTCTTGATGTTAGTCTTGTCACCATCGGCGACCGTGTCCAGTTCGGCCCCAACGTGAGCATCTATGGCGCCGGCCACGACACGTCCGTTCTTTCACGCATCAAGTTCGTCGAGTACGGTCTGCCAGTGCGCATCGAGGATGACTGCTGGATTGGAGGTGGTGTGATCATTATGCCTGGCGTCACTATCGGCAAGGGCACAACGGTCGGATCTGGAGCTATTGTGACGAAGAGTCTCCCGCCGTATTCCGTTGCTGTCGGAAGCCCGGCCAAGGTCATCAAGACCCTGCAGACCGTTGAAGAGGAGTTGGCTGACCCGAAGAACCCGTACCGGGATTTGCCTGGGAACTTGCCTGACAGAGATTGAGCGGAAGGTACGGCCTTAAAGAAACCAAATATTTGAGAGTATAAGTAGCAGAGGGATATTATAATACACTCTATGAGCAACTAACTATGACCCAAGCAGCCAACGTTAGCTTTGGCAAATGGTTATTGACTGTAACAAATTGCGATATTTTGTTGAAGCCTCTCGCTTCTATCCCATTGACTGCTGTCTGGCAACAGGTTCATAGTCACCAGTTTTACACCTACCTTTCACCCCTTATGAAAGAGATGTATAACGGGACGTTGTTAAGTAATACGCTTTATTACCTAGGTTTTCTACCAAAACTAAGGTGTGGATTGGTAGCTAACTGTGAAAACGAAAACCGGACTATGCAACCTTCACGTGGAGCTGCCGGGGAACCTGATCTTGAAAGGGATTAGAGCTAGCGGAGAGACGCGGTAAGGATCAGGAATGTCAAGTTTATAACGCAGTTGTTGGCATGACATGTTGTTTTCAACCTTTGCCATTCAAAATTTGTGTTACTTAAAATGGATAACTTGCCCGGTGTATCACGACTGCCTTTCTCGGGTGTCCCATCCAGCTACTTTAACCCCTTCACTGCTGTTCCCTAATTCTATTTGTACAGTAGAGTGTTTTATGTCTAGTCAAAGGTCGGCCTTTTTCTTCTCTGGAGACTAATTTGCTATCTACAACAACCAGTAGAGCCAGTGTTGGAACTGGCGTATTTGTTTCTCGAGTGGGACCTAAACTTTCGATCCCAAGTACTAGATGGAAAACACTACTTTCCAGAGGAGCGAAATCTAAGAAGGGGGCTACCACCCAAGTCGTGTACTCAGCTGCATCAATGCCACATTACATAGGCAGTTATAACTTTCAAAGCGCTGATTTACTTGTGAGAAACCTCAAATCAGTAAAACTTTCTACGGAGAGTGACTTCGATGGCTAGGTAGAGGATATTTCTACCTCCAAGGTACTCAATTACATATTGTGTGGGAACTTTTGTAGGTGGTACCTTAGGTTGGCCTGTCTAATAGATATATTAGTTTCATAACCACCTGATCAATATACGTAACAATGTAGAATGTGAGATCCCAGTTGGTGTCTGCGAAAAGTCTGCGATGAATTGGCTCATTTCAAGTTCATAGCTACCGTGGCAATCCCTCGTCGACACCCAAAAACAAGGCTTAATGGGTCACACGAAATCCAAAAGTTGCAGCATCACTTTTTATGGGGAATTGTCAGCAGCACTATACCAAAGCTACCCTATGGCGTGCCTTCGTAGTAATAATAGCCCAGAAGCAGCATTTTTTGCCCGTCAACCCCAACTTATATTTTCTCAAGCCAGCAGCGTTTGTGCTAGAATAATCACCGGGCTTTGCCACAAGTTATCATGTCCAAGGCGTTTCATAGATTCTCCGAGCTTCCACTAGAAATAAGACAACAAATCTGGGAGCTTGCCGTTCGATCGTTTGAACTTGGCACCCATTTCTCTACGCTTGTTTCCGACAATCTTACAAACGGAGAACAAGACACAGTCCACAAAAGTAAACCCTCGTTGCAACAGGTGATTGCCGCCCCAAGATTCGAAGTTGAACGTTCATGGGTAAACAATCCGTCTGCAAACCTTATCGATGCTGGCCTCTGGACTTCGTGCAAAGAATCTAGAACCGTGATGGATACCCTTTTCAATACAAGATTCTGGACAGAAAAGCGGCAAAGTCTTGGCAAGATTAAAAGTTGCGAGTTTAATAACACGCTGTCTTTAATTGGGGACAAGAACGCACTTGGCCTTGGCTGCTTTCGACAAGGCAATGAGGATTGGACCTTCGCCGTATTTCCTCACCGCGACTTGTTTTGTTTTCGGAGGTTGATTGCAAGCAATGCCAATTGTTTATGGAGTGTAATGATGAACTCGCCGTTTTGTTCTATCTTCTTGGGGTTTCGCGGCTTACGTCAAATTGCCTTCGAGTTTGATGAGACATGGGCCTTTGATCCCGAGGAAGAGAGCATCGAGGACCTCGCCCAGCGGGAGGACCCACGTGGCGGATTTCTGAGAACATTGGACGAAGTTGTACCAGCATCCCGTAAAGAAAATGAATACTTAGTGCCGTTGAAACTCGGGCTTCTCAAGCCTTGCTACGAGAGCACTGAGCCATGGGAGGTGAGTGAGACGGGGAAGTACGTATGGCAACACAAAATTCGACTCAAAGTCTTTGGCGTTTTGATGGACCAACCCATATTGTCACTTCACACGTACTCAAGTACGTGGAAGCTCTCGATGCCATCCTGGAAATGTCAGGGTACCTCAGCCACGATGGAGGCGATCTTTCCCCCAAGGCTCACGAGCCCGGCGTTGGGAGGAGTCATTACACTGTCTGAGTTGCAGTATACGACGACAGCGTCTTGATGCCGGCTTTGGATGACAACAAACAAACGCGCGCTGCCTTTTTTCCGGGGAAGGATAACGGTGGGTATGATAAGTCGCCGGCGGCGACTGCTTCTGGGGCAGTTGAGCAGGCATGGCAAGGGGCCTTCCAAGATTCCCCCGACCTAAGTTCTCCCCTAGAAGATTTGACACAATGCCGAACCTCCCTCCTCCCGAACGGTCAGAACAAGGCCGCTGTAGCCGCGGAGCATATGCAATAGCCCTCAGGCTTAGCACCCAGTCACATCACTATATACACCGATGGCTCACAGACCTCACCTGAAGAGATTAGTTTCGGATATGACATCCTCCAAGGACATCATATACTACACCAGGGATACCTAAGTCTTATAATTCGAATTCTGACTTTTTCGTAGCCGCATTTGGCGACTGGCTTATCGACTGGCTTGCCTGTTCCGAATGTATGGATACAGTGATAGGCAAGATAGAGACCGAAACGATTGGGGAACTTTGATGCTTCTCAAGACATTCGAAAAATATACCAGTGAAGCAAAACCACTTACCCGTGGACTAATAGAGGGTGATACCGATGAGCTAGCCTACGAATTAATTGAGAGCAGTCACCCGCTTTTCGGTACAGTGCAGGCATTATTTCATAGATGGGAACAAATCATATCCTGGGATGATGCTAGTGAATATGAGAAGAAAATGATCGATTTGGCAAGGAACTGATTGCAGGTGTTGTAAATGAAGGAGAGACCCGCGAAGATCTAGAAAGGTTGGTGCATTCAGTTGGGACGTTCAATCTTCAATATGACGCCAATGTTCGTGAGTTGTTTCCACACTACAACAAGTTAGGTAGACTTTAGACTTCCGCAGCTGCAAAGATTACCGTTTCTGTCAAAACTGATATTTCTGAGCAAGTTATAGAAACTTCAGGCTTGTTACTGTGCAACACCTAAGTACATAGTAGCAGCAGCCCATGGCATTATGGAAGGAATATTGATCAATGATCTTAGTAGATCTTGGGCTAGACACACCAGGTGACAGTTTCTTATTATAATCCTGCCACTACCCAGTTTACTTGGTTTTTGGAAGGTTTCCAGCTTACTTATTTTTTAGCGCGCGCCTCAGTCTGTGTCATCAGAGGTTCACTCCCTACATCCGTCGCTACCTAAATGGACAGTATTTCCAGTTTCAAAGTCTCACGGTTTTTTGCCAATTGACTCTCTTACCCAGCGACCGTTCAGAGTGCTGGTGGCTTCTCCGCTCTGTAATCCGAATGGGTGCATTAGTTGCATGAGAGTAATAATTGTTAGTCTAGGCGTCTGTGGACAGGACTCAGCCCACTGCATACCATGATTGAAGCTGAATATTAGCTCCCAGTCACGCGCACAGAGAGAAGGAATGTTGCCTGGTTGCTGAGCCACGTCGAGCATTCCGTAATCGGTAAAGCGGCGCCTGAAACCAGCCACACTGGGCATCTGCCTAACACCACAAAAACCAATCCACAGCTTATAAACGGGCTGAAACTTCGTGTTTGACACGCTAAGAACGCCTGCCACTCCACAGTGACCCCAAACATCATCCGAGGCAGCAGGATTCCGGGCTACATATCTGGCCGCAACAGCTGCATAAAGTTTGCAATAACGCGCAGCAGCCTTGGTTCAGTTTCATACATCAAAACAAAGAATCGTCCCCCCTTCAAAGGAAATTTGGACAATCATTCATTCTCCTTTCGCCATACGCCGTGTAAAGCCCGTTCCATAGCCAGAGATGGAGTCGTCCGTTGTACCCGTTCAACGGCCCACTCCCGGGTCCGCAAAAGCCGGTTACCGGGACTTTGATTGCGAGGCCTCCGACCACACACCACAAGCTACTTTCACCGATTTGCCGCCGGAGATCCACGTTCTCATCTCAAAACAACTCATTTATCCCGATGCTCTCTCTTTAAAACACACAAGCAGTTATTTTTACTATCTTGTCGACACCGGGGTTCGTCTAAAAGTAGAATGGCTCATGGAGCGCCGAATGTTGCATCTTGAATGCCCCAACGACAAGCGGTGTGATCTTGGTAGCGACCTCCGTTTTTGTAGAGGCAGCGTGCCGTTGGTATCCCTTAAGAAAGATGCAAAATGTTTTACTGATTTGGTATGCAGACTTCTGATGCAAAGGCGACGGGAACACATGGAGTGCGAGTCGCGACCGGGCTTGGGTTGTCTTGTCTACGGAACAGCAGTGTGTTCTCACCGACGAAGAATCGGTGCACGATGTCAGCGTTGGCTGAGACGGCGGTTGACTGTGGAGCTATGGTGGGTGTTGATTGCTTTGGTGCCAATTCTATTTTGTTGGCTCTGGATGGCAGAATTCGCAAGGTGGGTATCAAACTCAGCAGAACCCTCGTCAGCAATGACGGGTTCCTCATAAAATGACTCATTTTTATCTATACGAGTTTTACCTAGATGTGTATAATTGCTTTGCAATAATGTCTAATGAACAATCCTTACTTCTGAACGAGGCAGAAGCACAGAACAACATGCGAATAACCTCTCAGAGCCTGGCGCTGAATTGAGAGAACCAGGTTTATTAGCCGGCTGTCATATAAAGCCGCATGAAATATCATAAAAGTGTATCTCCATCGACTTGTGCTTCACCATCAACTACATGTTGTACTACTATGAGTAACGGCCAAGTAGCTTGCCCTTGAAACAAACTTGCCTCTTCAATCATGGCGTCACTAGTATGGTGAATCGTCGTCAGATGCGCATGATTTCTCAGCTTTTTTATGAGATTAAAAGTTTGCCAGCGGCTTTTCACACTCAGAGAACCACTCTTGGCAGTCGGGGAACAAAAGTCCAGTATGTGCGTTGTCTGATCTTACCAACTTCAAGCCCGCCAAACTTTCCCATTCTGCTAGAAGATAGTAGTCCTTGTCTTTCGCTTTCACAAGGCACAATAAAATAAGACATCATTCACACAGCAGGTAAAGCCCAGCACTAAGGGATATCACATGTTGCGCGTCCTCTTTTCCATACACCCTTCATCTGCTCCTGCCTTCCAGGAGCTGATACGCTTTTCTAAAATAGCGTCTGCACCTCTGCAATTGCTTATTATTACACTTTTCAACCCACTAAAGCTTCTATTTGGGCCTCCATCTTTTGCCTTTTGACATAGCGAGCAGGTCTAAAGAAACGATCCCACTTTGCTTCATTATGCCTTCGAACTCAACCATGAACAATAGTCAAGGTCATCGGGCTCCTGAAGTATCCGCATTTCACGCAGCCCTTCAAGGTGTTGTATTTCCTTTAGAAATGTCACTTCATGACTAATTTCTTTTAGGCAAGTGCCACCAGAGAAACCCATCCTGTGATGGAACTTCCACTGCGTACCGAATACTCGCCAAAGCCCATTCCGAAAGTAAATCTGGCTCAAAGACTCCAAATGCTGGAAGGCGCGATATTAAATCTGCCCAAGACGTCATATCTCGACGGGGGAGCTTAAATAAGCCCACTCAGGCGTTCCGAATTTTCAAGCCAAAAACGCCCCGGACTTGGAGAGTTGGGGGCAAAAGGCCGCACTCCGAGGTTCTGAATGACAAAACCGGTACAAAGAGACGAAGCCTTACTGATGAGAGTAATAAAGAAAGATCCGAAATGAAGGTAGATTTTGTCAAGTCTAGCAGCATTCATGCTGCGGTTCTCGAGCGGCCAAAACATGGCACAGGTGTTACTCCGGACTTCAACACCGCCGAAGCATTTGCAGAGTGGTGTTTCAAGGCGGATGCCGCGAACGAAGTGTTCTCGCGCAGTACTAAGCTAGGAGTCCTCACCATCCTAAAAGTCCCAGGCGACTCAGTACGTATCTATCTTAAAAACCTCGCATCGTCGCCACTATTCCAAAAGATGACGCGACAAACATATAAAATATTCCATGGTGAATCAGCAGTCAACGAGACAGCTGTCATAACTTTTCTCTTTGCTAACTTTGTCCACGTTGACTCCACCAACCCCGATGCCGCTGAGAAATGTGCTTGGCTCGAAGCTCAGAATCAAGCGGGCTTGAGCGTGGATCAGAACTTAGCCTGGAAGAAGAATCCAGTATGCCGCAAATATCGCCGTGTTCTTTATTACCTTCAGTGCTGCAGCTCTGGAAGCATCAATTTCAACACCGCAAAGGCACTCCTGCTACTACGAGCGGCTCGGGAGGCGAGCCACTACGGCCAGTCTCAAACTGAACCAAATCACAGCCAGAAGGTGGAAACGGACGCAAAACACATTCCCGAAAAGACTGAGAATACTTATCTTAAGGGTGTCGCTTCAGGAAAAGTTGATGAAACAAAGTCTTGTTGAACAGCCAATTCCATGTTGAGGAAGCTGGCAGACGTTAGCACGACGTGTGATCCTCTATTTCCGGAGGCCCAGCCAAAAAAATCACGCTTAGTGATGAAAGTTTTTACTGCACACCTGGCAAACACAACCAAACCTACATCACTAAACATCAAGACTACAACTACGAGCCGCCAGATATATTTTTCTTCATATCGCAACGGTTTGCCTTCGTTCGGCGATTTTGTCGCTCTTCTCGGCGCACTGACGGCGGAACTGAGGTAGAAAATAAACAATGAAACGTGCTACAATTCTATGAACAATCAGACTACAGATAGCCACTCCAAATAGTCGAGAATATATAGAGTTCCTTTCGTCAGTTAGGGTTTCCTGCCCCTCTTTTGCCGCGTCCTTATTTCTTTCGCTACAGAGCCGATGGAACCATCCACAACCCAATATATCGTGGTTCAAAATCAGCATGCCATTATTCGTGTATACTTATGACGCATTATCCTGGATAACAGGTTGCAATGGAACTAGCCGTTCTCCCTGTTCTTCGACGTGTTGCATAATTTCTTCTGCTCGAGCCAGGTCGCTGCCACTTAAGAGTTGTAGCCATTGAGGAAAGTAGGAGCCTAGACCCGTAACCCGTCCTTGACCCGGGGGGCTTACAAGGCCCATTTTCGCAATTCTATGTCTGTCCCATATTGCGAAGCCCATTTGCCGATACGGATCGAAACCTGAATATTTGATAGGTGAATGCACACCCCGACTTAGGCTGTCTACAATCCAAAGACCATCCGTGGGTAGAACCAATGCCGACTTTCGCATCGCAGTAGTGGCTGGCATCCGTAATGTGGAGGGTGTGATATCCTTCAATGACCACACTGGCGAGGGTAGCCTATTGTGCAACGTGACAGGCTGTTTGCGATTGCTTTCCAGATTTTGAAGATATTCGACTACTGTCATAACTTCGTTGTATGCAGCTTTTAGGTTACTCGTGGTGCTGTCATATAGCACTCTGATGTTCAATCTGTCTATTGTTCCCGTATTCTGGGAAGAAAATCGAAGTTGTGAAGCCTGAACGGCAGATTCCAGTTCGAATATTAGCTGTAATCTCCAGAATGCCCTTATCACTCGCTGTTCTTCTATCCATGATGGCTTTGTCGCTGTTTCATTGTCGGAATCCCAGGTTACCCGCCCGTTTGATTTGGCCACAATAAGTTGCTGCATGTACCAGTCGATACATGAGCGACTTAGACAGTGAATTTGAGCTGCTTTGCAGAGTATGGAACGCAAAACACGCAATGAAGGAACTGCAGAAGAATCTTTAGTCGGAAAATCGTAGCCTAATTCTTCACTACTGCCAAGTACAATTCCAGCTTCTCGTTCTTTGATTTTGGCGATTACTTCGTCAAAGTTCGTTTTTTTGAAAGCCCCAGCGCGGAGTTGTATGACGAATCGAATGATTTCCTGCGTTTGCAATGGTATGTTGCTCTCTAAGAGCGCATGCCAGAATATTTCCTCCTTGTATTGGCTGAACACGCGGTAGGAGGCTGGTGACGAGGCAATGAGATTCCACAGGCAGTGAATATCGTCAAAATGTGTGAGGATATGAAGTAGAATCTCTGTTGGCAAATTTTCAAGCTGAGAAGTTGACTCCATTGTGAGTTCTCGATGTAATTTCATCAGACTCCAAAATCTTTTGAAGCGGATCACTTTGCAAGCCTTACTATTTCAGACTTTACGAGGTTGAATATCAATGGGATGGTGTTGATCTCGTAGTTGAATATCGACCCCGCACTTACTCCTGTGTGGGAGTAGGCCGAATTTTATCTGGAATGCAGCAAGAGACAAGGTTCCGTATGGTAGTAGATGTGCCGATCCATGCCCCGTCTTGACGTCAAGTACTTATAAAGTTTATCCCACGTTGCTGTGCATGACATAAAAGTGACCTAGTTTATATTCCTACGATCGGTAAGAGAGCTTCAAGATTTAAAGGGTGTTGTCGGTAGTGGTGATTTTGCACACTGTTTTTATAATAAGACCACCTTCAGTATGATGCGACCCTTAATCACAGTATGACAATTGATTTTCTGCACTCCAATGACCTTGCGATGAAGAAATGTTAAGGCAACTTTGACGGCAAGAAGGTGTAAGACAAGTTTGAACTGATTGTAGGCATTGTGTGTGTTACTAGACTTTTCAAATATCTATGTACTTTAAATGAAGGATATGTTTCTGAATGAAAGATAAAGTAAACATTCTTTGAACGTTTATGTGAATGACCTGTGGAACAATTTCATTGCAGGTAATTTTAGTCAAGTTCAGTAGGTAGAACCAACAGGTCCAAACTTGATGTTGGAGAACGTGACCTTGTTTTTCGTTAGCTATTCTGACAACATGAGCATCTTGAGATTCATTGACGTACCTTTGCATTCTTTGCACTGGCACGAACGTCATCTGGCTTGCCAGAGTCGCGAGCACACGATCCACGAGCAACACCAGGCTCGGATTCATCACGATCGAGAGGGTATGCGGAATCAAGCCAAAGCATGTTGGCAAAAGCATCATCCCAAAGCGACATAACAAGCACCATGGGCTTGGATAAGGCACCAGCCATCTGAGGCAGCCCACCAACTTCCTGGAACTTGCCGCTGTCGCCAAAGACGCCCTTGACGGCATCACAGAATTCAGTTGAGATAGAATTAAATCCTGGAACGTGTACGGATTCTGGCATCTCGATCTTCTGGCCGTTTTGAATGAAGTACATGCTGATCTCTTCAAGGTTAGATCCAGAGCCATGGAACTGAGTGACGACGGTGAACTTCTTGGAAGTGTCTACGGTGGCTCCTTTGCCGTAGAAGTCAACGTGTCCATGGCGGTAAGGGTTGTAATCGCAGCCGTCAGGATCGCAGTCGCCGTTGTAGCGCTCCTCAGAGTAGGTACCTCCACAGTTGATTCCCTCGCAGGAGTGATACTCATTGTTTCTGCATGGGTGAGGAGTGAAGGCAGTTGAGATTGAGTTCGCCTCTGCTTAGAGTCAGTGAAGAATACACGTCTCCTACACTTCGAATGGTCTTACCCCAAATATCCATTTCAGCGCAGCAGGCACCGAGTTTTCCAATGCCAGTGTTCTCGTCAGAACCCGTGTTCCAACCTTCGACGTTGGCGATGCCGTTGATGAACTTGAGGTCACGAGCGCACTGTGAGTCGCAATAACCGGTACCATACTTGGCGCCTGCCTTGTTACTAGGGAATTTCTTCATGCCACCATCGGCGTCCATGGACACAAAGTATAGGGCGCCGTTGAGGCCGCAAGCCAAAGAAGAGAGCTCAACATCGAAGGCGAATTCGTTACCCAGCAAATTGAACATTTGATACTTTGAGGCGGACTCCATCAAATACATACGGGAACCAATGTTGGTGCCAAACTCATGAGTTGTGGAGAATTTGAGAGTCAGTGCATTGCCGCTGGTCGTAACTCCATATGTTTTGGAGTACTCAGCGCCATCTAGAGCGCAGTTTTCGGCACACTTCTTGCCGTCGGAACAGATCGTCTCGTTCCACGAGTTTCCAGTGTAGCAGTTGGTGTAGCCGTTCTTATCATCTGGTGGGTTTTAGCACTCTTTCCAAGGCGACTATGTCTCAAGTGATACGATTGACTCACGCAACCAACGCCAGTTTGAGTCAAGAACGACCTCTCCGTTTACATTGGAGCAGCGGCCAGGGGCAGTACACTTCTGCCAGGTCATCTTGGGGTGGTTCTCAGCTTGCTCTTTGCCCACTTGCTGAGCGTTGGCGAATGCCAAGCCCTGAGCAACGGCGAGAACGACAGTCGCTAACTTGGTGTACATTGCTTATGTGACTGGCAAAAAGCTTGGAGGTAAAGAGAATATAATGCTGGTTATCTTGTGTCAACTCAAATTGTGATTGCTTAGGTTGGGGGGTTTGTTATGGGTTTTATACCTCTGGAAAAGTGATAGACGCTTCCCTCACAATAATGCGCGTCGGGGGCGTTGTTCTGGATAGACGGGCCTTCGGGACAATTGTAAATGGCTATATCTTTTTAACCTGATACTTGAAACACACTCGGTTACTTTTGCAATCTCGGAGCGCGAGATGGGATACAATTTGAAGAGCTAATATGGAAGAGGAGGGTGTTCACGATGCTTGCTCGTAACTTGCTCATACCACCGTACGCCTCGTTCATTTACCTAGTATCCAGCAGGTAGATGACCCACTTCTAAACTCACCAGGTAGCACATCTTTTCCCTAGATGATAACAACTCGTAAGATCCAAGCCATGGCTCAGGTTGAACTACGGTAAGTCGGGCCACGGCCCTTTTACCGTAGAATACGGGGGGCAAGTAAGGCGTTATGTTACCTTGAAGCGAGTTGAGGATAATCGCACAACAGTGGCTATCACTGGCATAGTAGTCTTGCATGTGAACCACATTAATCTTTGTTCAGGGCCGTCTAGAGCCGTCTATATTGGCCGTAGTTCAAGCAATCTACTTCATGGGCAACGAGCATAAAGACTCCTTCCTGACTGAGCCCGGAGGTTGACTGAGACGGGCGGCTAGAACCTAGCCATTACAAATCTTGGCGACGAATTCTTTTGGGTCCGGCCCAGATATATAGATCAAAAGCCATTTGAGGTTGGAGCGGTCCACTTCCGAAAGGTTTCATCCAGATTTCGCTTATGTCAAGGAGGAAAACGAATAATCCCGGAGGCGGCTAAACTCCATCATAGTGGCGAGTAATGGAACACGTCAAGGTTGGAGGCTTTATATCACGGTTACATCGGGTAGGCCCTTGTCAGCGGCACCATTTAGGCTCAGGTTTCCTGGGGCGGTTCGCCCGGAAAAAAGAATTCAAGATAGACACGGATAACCATCTAAATGTCTGATCACCTGGTTCAAATACTACCTGGGAGGCAGACTAAACTGGCTTCAAAGCATGCTGATCATCTCCCAAATGCTTGGTGTATGAGCTTAGCTGGCTTGTCCTATGTAGGGTCCTTGTTGATGCTATATGGAAAAAGCTTATTCACGCTGTTATGCTCCAAGTCTGAATCTCAACCTTCTTCAACAGCGCAAAGGATGTGAGCGTCCATCAAAATTCTGTTTCATTCAATTTTTACTGCACTTGATCAAATGAATTCTAACTAAATGAAATCGAAGAGCAAAGGCGATTGTTTGCTCAATTATATGTCTTTCCAATTTGCATGACTTATCAACCTTTGGTAACAACATCATATCAGAGAACCGTCGGCAAGGTGAGTAGACGTATAACCCTTACTCTTAAAGTACGCAAGATTCGTTTCACTCAACTAAAACTGGCTTGCCTATGTAGGTGCGCTGTGTCCGATAATACATACTTGCTTGATTGTGCAGATGATTGACATCAAATCTAAAAGAAATACTGCACAAGCAGTATACGTGCAAATGTTGGATGTAAAACTTAAGGTATTTGTGTCTTTAACGCAGAGACGAATATCGTCACCTTCAGTCCATTTGATGTCTCGACAGCTCGATTTGTCGGTAACCACAACTTGTCTTGCAGACTGCTTCATCTACTGCCCAACATTAAGGTATGCGGGTGTCTTGGCTTCACACTGTATACCGAGCAATTAACAGCGTCAGAGTCTGCTCCAGGTCTCAAGGCTGTATCGGAACAGACAACCCATGAGAAGTGCATAAATAGATTGTTAATGAGTTGGGTCGCTCGAACCTGTGTCAATTTCTCGCCCCATCTGGTGATTCCTCATAAGTTATGCCTTGCGACACCTCAGTGGTGCTACCACTGCCAAGCTTAACGCAATTGTTAACGCCCAGTTCCTTTAGTGTAATATTTACGGCACTCGTCCACATTGGTCCTCAAGTTTTCGAAATATTTGGATGGCTGCTAGCTAATTACCCCGTTCAATGTGGAATTGAGTCTCTCTATGCCTTGAAGTCATTCACTGGAAATATCAGGTTGTATCTGCGCAGCGCATCGTGCACTTTGTCTGCATTCAACCACAACTCACGATCTACGCTGAGCAATTTTAATTGAGCCCTGGGCGGCCTCAAAGGTCTGTGTGACAAGAGTCATCTTTATTGACGAAGAATGTCATAGTCCACTTGTCTATATGTGCATCAACAAGTGGTCATCAACCTAAAGCTGTAAGAATGTTTGATGGTTCGATGTGACCGAGACACGGAAATGCAAGTCATGGCTCCTTTTTCTGTTGCTCTCTTGTCTTACTCTACTAAAACTCGATTTCTCGCCATTATAATCGATCTCTGCTAACACTCTTTTAAAGTCTAGGTGTTTCTTCCTAAAATAGAAGTTGTGCGCTCTCATGAACGGCAAACAACCAAGACAGGAAGCTGTGGGCGTTTGAGAGCCACACAGATACGACTCCAATTGCCATTTATCTGCCCATTGACAATCAGAACCTCGAAACCAAGCTCTCTCCTACTCTTCGACGCAGTGATGACAGCACTGGTACCATGCGCCTTGCGCACAGAACGTGCCGACCTCTCAGCCGCCCAGCTCGATGCAGGCGCTGAACCCTCGCTCTCGAATATGACGACACAGAGATCAGTGCCAGCGCAGAGATGAGAGGCACCTACAAGCGAAATTGCATTTTCATTTCATCCACATCCAAGATCGTTGTTGTCTCGTCACGGGCTTCCGCATCGGCCCTCTGTTCACTAAATTCATACGTCGAGTTTAAACTGCAGCAACGCCCGCCGGGTAAACGGCTTAATGGAACAGCATCACAGCCATCAAAATCCATCCGTCTTTAGCAAATCAAGGTATGCATTGTCCTCGTACAGCTCGCACAAGGAGGGCGTCATGGATCTGATGTTGGGTAGGACGATAGCGCCGATGTGGGCGTTAAAATGGATTTTGACTAAAGCAATACCAGAGCCGGTCAAAAGAGTGACTAACATTCAAATGGCTACGTCGAGAATGGTGTAACGACTTGAACGACCAACAGCTACGTAGACATGGGCGTCGAGCTGACCAGACCATGGTTATCTGCACCAATTCTCCCGCCAGTACTTCTGGAAGGACCCCTGATTCAACAATCAATCGAAGAACACTAGTTGTATGCTTGTTGAAATCGAAGTGGTAGACGGCTTCGTCTCGAGATTGCAGACGGGAGGACTCGTCGCCCCCCTGGTATTAAACTAGATGCGACCGACTTCGGGCATTCCAAAGAGCCATGATCTGTTCGATTTGGGGGTAGAACATTCTTAAACCAAGAAAATACGCTTAGATGGCGGTTGTGGGACGAAGAGTGCCGTGGACTACCAGCAATCTTCCCAGACACCCAAGGATGCGTCGTCAGCCGCATACCCGAGGCCGTTGTCCTGCCCCCGGAAACAGCTACTACAGCCGTAGGAACTGGTTCCGACAAGCGGTATACGATATTGACTGATGTCGCGTGTAGTTGGCTCACGCGGCAAGATTTCAACATGGTCATGCTGCGTTCAAAACCGCGATAATTGATGTTCAAGATCAGCGATCTTGTTGCCAAGCTACATCCTTCTGTTATTGGTCGACCGCCGTTTCGAATCAGGTGCTGGACTTGCTTGGGATTACTTCGGGCTTTGTAAATGTTCGTCTTTTGCATCGGCTAGCAACTGTTATGTGCGTGGAACAGAAGTTAGACTTGTATTTTCTCTCCATGGTGCGTCACGTACCATACGACTCGTATCGAAGTGGGTATATCAGTTGATATACCAAGGCTGATCTTGGTTTATCTGAACAATATGTGGACTAGGTAGTGGCGCTTCGATAATGGTGTGCATGAAACACTCGGAGGCCATATCTGTCCAGTCAATTTGGTCATATTCTTGCACGACACCGCCAGGCTCGAAATGGGTATTTTTTTCGTCCTATTTACCTGGCGGTACGCAACCTGAAGCTGCCTTTGCGTCTATGGTTTATTTTAACTGTTTGGTCGAACTTAAATCCGTCTGCTCGGTAATCTTCAAACCCATTGTCTCCTTATTTGGCATTGAATATCGAATTACTCGGGTTTTCGATCGACTTGGCGCGGTACGCTGTTCAATTGCCCTGTCAAATTCCTCTAACAGTCCGTAGCCTTGATTTTATGGCCAGATCAGCACGTGATCGGCTGGCACAGCTTGTACGAGCACATCGGACTCGGAGAAGTACGAGCTGTATGGAAATTCCGACCCTTCTAAACCGGGATTAGCTCCTATCATTACTTGAACACTGCTTTTCGACATTTTCCGAAAGCTATCACAAGCTTTGTTTTATCGGAGACTCCCAGCTTCGGCCGATTTCCTCCAAATCTCTTCTTCCGATTTGCGAAGCTGCTCTCACCAAAGCCAAGTGACACTAACCTGGCCAGAGAAACAACCATCGGTAAACTGGCCCACGCAAACCAGGGTCCTCAGGTTCCCTGGATCTCGCTAATGGGCGCACATGACGTGTTTGGCCAATTTACAGAAGGGACCGCAGGATGTTCTCCTAATAATGTGATTCTCGGAGATCAGCTCTCCGGCTGCGTGTTAGTTCTCCCTTCTGTCATCTTACGAATCCGCGTCATATTCTCTACCTCTGAGAAGCATACATGTTGGCCAGCACTACAAAGACTCGCACCTACTTCGCGACTCTTGCCTTTTGCCTCTGAACTAGCTGCATTACCCGTTTCAAGTTGCTTCATAGGCCAGTTCGATAAGGTGGCCTAGTGGCTTCTTTTGCCTCTTTGACAAATGCTAACTCTGTCTGGAAATACCAGAAAGGGGTCTAGTAGATGAATAGCGTCTCTCTACAATATCCTCAAACGACATAGGCTTCCTCGCCTCCCTGACCTTTTAGTCGACCTCACATTATTAATATTCCCTTGATCGATTCACTGCAGAGTAGACACACGCGAACTGTTGGCGTTCCGAGCTCCATAGCGGACTATCTCACGCACGAGTCGAGCTAATGACACACGCGATCGAACTATCCGAACTATACATTTTGGGAACAAGAAGGAAAAGATGGAAACCTCTTCATGATACTGGAGGTCCTCTCTTTCTTTCTTGAGTCATGGCCATGCTATTATCTTATGTCAGAGGGTCCTACAAGGTTATTAGAAGAGAACAGATTTTCTTTGAGAAAAGCTCTCTTTATTGGGGCCACGAGACGAAGTGTACCTCATACGCGGCTTTTAATCACGGATACCAAGTTGGCTACAGCAGGATTGGTGCCCGTGGGCTTTGGGGTCATCCACCAGGGGTTTAACAGCGTTCTAGTAAACAAGCTATACAATTTGAGAAAAGCTCTGTACGACCTTGGTTATTGGGCTTGACTAGCAAGTTTATATCTCGAATACAATGGTCGCAGCTACGTAGTGGAGACTCTTGAAATCCATACGCGATATTCGGCTTTGTTTTCCATCGCCAGGGTTGTGCTTTTGTCGTTCAGGTTTCTACCTTGTAGAAACAGGAGGCTATAAAATATGGCATTCACCTACGCACACATGATGATTCTTGCGTAGTTCTATAAGTTTCAAGGGCAGATAGTACGAGAGGTCAAATGTCACGAACAGATATCATTGAATTCCGTTCTGAGGTCTCTAATCCACGGCCTGTGCTCGTCATCTAGTAACCCATACGTCTTGCCATAGAGATCATCTGACCAAGCATCCAGCCACCACTGACTTGGCAACTGTTTTAGAAGCATGCAAAAATACAAGAATATGACTAACGCCTTTTGCCTGGATTCTCGCAAGAGCGGAAGGAAATCTTCTGCAACCAATGCAATCCAGACAAAGACATCTGTGATATCCTGCGGTTCCGTAGATTCGTAAAACACCCCATAAGACTTATAGAGTTCATTTATGGCATGATTGTATATTGCAAGCAGCCCATCATCTCTTTCTGACGCGTTGATGTTCGCCTCTAGATCCCCCAGGTACGTATGATGATACGGCCTCTCGCGGGTCTGAAAATGCGCTATGGTGCGCGTGATCATCGGTGAAATCAGAGGATTATCATTTGGCTCGCCAACCAGATACCTTGTCCCACAGAATAAAACGATCCAGTCGGGTGACTGTTCAGCGCCGGCCAGCGGCGCATCACTTAAATGTTGAGTGTTTGCTAGTACTAGCACCCCATCACGAGTCAGTTGGTGGTGTTTACCGTTTTGATAAATTTTGCTTACCGATATATATGGTCAAAACGGAGAAGATAAACAACTGTGCCTTGTTACTCTCCTGAACCTCCTGCATCAAACCCACCGCTGTCCGGGAGGACATCTCATGGTGTATCATGGACTTTTCAGAAAGTTGGTCTTTCCTCTCTGGGCACAGGTGCGCTAGGTGAAGGGCGGCCACCGAAAGTATGCTACGCATTACGTAGTCGCACTCGATTCCAAGTTTGACAACATTGAGACGCCAAAACTCGCGCATGATGGGGTTTCCTGAGAGCGTGTGCGCGGTGAAGTTGCAATAGTGATGCAATAGCTCGAGATCGAGAAAGTTCAAGTCTCCTGCGTGTTGTGAAAGGCAGAACATTGGATCTCGTGATGGTGACGATAGGAAGCCGCAGGCCACCCCGTGCTTGATGCAGTTCTTACATGCCGGTCTTTGTTCGTCACACTAGAGTTGTCATGTTAGTATCCGCGGATCCGGAAGACAACGTTATGATGCTTTTTATCCCACCGGCCTACTAGCCAGCTTTAGAACTTCTGGGCACGGGCATAGTGGATTCTTGGGGTCTAGATCGTAGAGCTATAGAGGGCTAGCCCGTCCAACAAACCTCCTAATGAAGGAGTTGACGGTAGAAAGAGTGCCTTGTACATACCTTAATCTTTCTAGATTTGCAAGTCTTGCAACCGGTTCGAGTTTTCGGATGCGAACGTCTTGATAGATTCGACTGCATTTTCGTAAACTTCGTACTCGGGAGTTATCCCAGGGTGGCTGGGCAGACAGGCGTAAAGTCTAGGGACAGTAAGCGGAACTACACGAGATAAAGGTTGTCATTTCTGCAACAACAATAGCTTCAGTAGAATCATTTCTGAACCCGGAAGCTCGAGAGCACGAAATAATGTTCGGGTGACAACACAAAGGAATCAGAGGCCGATTAATAGAGGGGGGGCAAAATCCACACCGAGTCCGCGGAGCCCTTCGTACTTTGATCGTATTCGCACTAACTCGGGTCTTCAAGGGGGCCAAGCTAGGCGGGATCCTTCAATTGGGCCGCACGGCGCCACACTAGGCTTGTCCTCGTCTTGGATTACCTGCTGACGGCCGCTGAGTCATACGAGATCATGGATATTCTTCTTCAAGCTGGAGATATTCAACGGTTGCTGTCTAGTCCAAAGGTGAAGTCCACCTTTGTGGTGCCTTGAACGGGGGTTATGCCATCATCATGATACCCGCCATCGGAACAAAAGTCGTCTGACAGCTGGGGCTTTGAAACCTAACTGCCATAGCTGTCCAGCCAGATCATGGCGCACGTTAAACAATGATAGAACGGTATACCGGGGTCTGAGCGTACCCGCCCACATCATCTATACCAAGGAATTCGCGATCCCCGGGCGTCTATATTCGATACAAGGTTGCGGCTAGAGCCCTTGTAATGCTACGTGTATTTACAAACGTGTCTAAAAGGAGAAAACTATGCGGTATGCTGTCTAGGCTTGCGTGTGTCTCTATACTGCTAGTACGGCCGTATCCGCACAAAGCAGTCATGCTGCGGAGAATAAGTGACACCACGCTTCGCCCTGAACCACTAAACCATATCGATCTGATCGTTAAACAAGACAGCACTATCTCGCAGAGCTTAGCCCCTTGAGGTAGTCGGACGCGCGGTGTATAGTGATACACGGAGCCCACTGATAGGTCGCTACAGTTTTAGCGTTCAAGTTCAGCCGAAATCACGAGTCATTTCTGCTCCTACACGAAGCTCCTTACTCTTCCATAATTGACAGATACACACAAGTAAGGCCAGTCTAGTTCGGGTGCTTTGATGCGGTGTTGACTAGGTAGTGGAGTCAAAGTCGAGACACCCGGACATGTGCTGCACGGCCCTCGTTCGATTTGCACCCCCCCTTAGGCCTCGCATCGAGGCTATAAGCCACTGACAGAATCTACCAGTAAACCATGCCGTAACGGATAAAAAGCTTATCCACCAATTGTGTCAGTGATGACACTAGTTCGCCATTGCGTCAACTGACATTGGAGGAAGCTTACTTCGCTTAACTTTTGGGACAGTGTGGGTCGAGGCTCGGCCGAGATCTACAAAAGTGCTCTGGAATAACATGATCTGAGCAGCTCCCAAACAATATGAGACAGATGCCCTAATCTTGTGTATGGATTTTTTGTTATTTTTATCATACAGTTTGAGAATCTCTTTGTTGAGTTGCCTCCCATTCAAGTGGTATAAAGAAGAAGCCTGCTGTAGTTGGGTATTGGTTAGCCCCTGAGATGCCTCGGTAGTAGGAACCAGCCAATTGCAGTAGTTTAATCGGCCCGTTTACTAACGAGTCATTCGCTTGTGAAGATTTCCTATGCTAAGGTTACAACTTGGGTTTGACTTGAACCGGGGGGTGGGTTTTATGAATCCGGAAGGAATCCGAACGTGAATCCCGAAGATGGTCGGGCATTTCCATACGGAATCCGGCCGGAGCCACCCACGTTGAATTTAAAATCACCGCGAAGTGAAGGGCCGGCTATTCGGCCCCATCTCCTGAATTTTAAGTTGGCTAGAAGGTTTTTCTAGCATTTCTATAGGATCCTACCGAGGAGCAAAAAGTTCAGCTTGATCTAGCCCGGACTTGAACCGGAGACCTTCAGTGAATCAGGTAACGTCGGGTCAACGTATTACACTGTTAGACTGACGTGATAACCAACTACACCACCAGACCAGTTGATGATTTAACGATCGTAACGAAGCGACTGTGTAAGACCAGGAGGCATACCGACTCCAACCTTAGCTTCAGCGGAAATAAAATTCCGCGAAGGTGGGACTCGAGCCCTAGTAGTGGGGGTATCTCAATGACAGCTGGCCCGCGATCTAGCTCCAAGGGTTCCTTGCACGAAGTCATTATCCGAAGATAGTGGCGGACATAGCTCAGTTGGGAGAGCGTCAGACTGAAGTGGGCTTCTGTCCCAGTAAACTTCAATCAATTTATCTGAAGGTCGTGTGTTCAATCCACACTGGCCGCATCTTCACTTTTTGACTTTTGTTTTCTAGTTGGATGCTTGTGAAGGACGCTTCGGCTATTTACCTACCTTACCTACTACCTATCATCTAGGCCAGCCATTTACACATAATATGACTGGCTGACGTATGAGAAACAAAACTATCTGACTGATTTTGGTTTCCACCATCCCGGACCTCCCTCCCTTTTTTTTTATTTTTTATTAATACGTGTAACCCCAACTGAAAGGGAAGCAAGCGGGGGCGAATCATCTGCTTGTAGTGAGCCAGCGAGCACCAGCCATGTCCAGATATAGCGTGACTCAGCATTCCGAACAAAGGCTCTATCTAATGTGAGTGGCCATTGACTTTGAATAAGCTCTGTTTGCCTGCCGCGGAATTTAGCGTCGTCATCTCCCTAGGATCAAAGGCAAATGGGAGGATTGACAGGGAGTGTCAGTGGGCGGGGGCATTGCTATGTCTCCCGGTTCCTTATAGTTCCCGTACATCAGACGGTTCAGGTATCCTTCCCAAAATGGCCAATTACCGAACGCTCGGGGAGTTTTACCTTCTTCTATTTTACTCTTCCCCAGTTCTTGGTACCGTACCCTGATGTCGTCCTGTCTTTCAGTTCACTTGGTTCCACTTTGCAAATTGCCGATCGCTGGCACCCCAGGCCCTCCCTTCGCGATAGAGAAGAGGGTGGCAGCCATGAATAATAACCGGGTGCATGACATTGCCAAGCCACAAACGGAACACCAGAATCAGTCAGACTGGTGGGTTCGGGCCCTAAGTACACCGGTAGATTGTGGGGAGCGAGTGTACAGGAAGGTGTAGAGGGAGTCGTATGTCAGTGTTCCTCGAGCTTTGGAGGACATGCTCCTGCAAAAGCGTTGGAACATGCAAGGACAGGGTGAATTTGTGTATGTTACCTACGCTTACTTAAAACCCTGCAAAACAGTTCGCAGCCACTCTGGGAAGCCAGGATGTATGTCCCATAGTGAATCAGATATGGACAAAGGGGCACGAGGAGCGGAATAAGGTGGACATGAAAGATAAGATCGCCTGAGGCAGAACTGGTTTTTGTTGTACGTGAATGTACCAGTGGTTCTAGCTCAGCAGGTTTTCAATCGGAGTCATCTACTTCAACGCAACCTCCGTTTGGGCATACTTCCCAAATGACACAGCCTCCCCATCCATGACTCCACTAACATACGCGTCACCGATCAACTCGTACATTCTGTCCCGCGTTGGTCGTACCACCAAGGGCACCTCGGACCCAAGAAGAATGCAGATATGATCGCCCTTTCTAGCCTCTCTTGGTACCATACACAAACGACCTTGTGTCGTGTAAGAGAATCTTCTAGGAGTTGCGGCAGAAAGCATACTCATTTCAACCGTTTGTCCAGCAACTATGAACCTCATCCTTGCGTTTTCGGCCTCCTCTGCGTCTTCAGAGTTCAACCAAACCTCCATGCCTGTAATCATCATTTTCACATAACCTGACATGTCGACATCAATGCGGTCGCTCAACTGGCTCCTCTCACATGTCATTGTCTTCCAAAATGCGTCAAGTCGCTCCGCGGACATGTCCTCAATGTTGTATGAGCCGCATGCGAGCTTTACGCATTGTCGGTAAAAGTTGAGGGATCTCCAGGCGTTGCTCGAGTGATAGCTGTCTAGCTGATTCAGCGGAAATGGCACACGCTTGGGTTTGGGAGGAAACGGCAACTCCGGCCAGAAGATCCCACCGTGTCCAATTTCGTCGATTACCATACCCGTGCACTTGAGGATTTTGTCATCCAAAATCTCGATATTCCCTAGTTCGGTCCCACCGGCCGAGAACCTCCCGTGCCGCAAAGTGTAGCTTGCCAACGTGTCCACCTCTTGATTTCGCAAATCAGGAACCCATGAAGGCAGTCCAGACAATCGCCTATTCTTCCATCGGATGAATGGACGGTGGTACCACGGGGCCAAAGCGTCGTTGACGAGCCTCTGAGGTGCAGAGGCTAAAACACTCAAGTTACGCTTCTCTAAAAGCTGAGATCGGGTGAAGCGCAAATAGCAGTCCTGAACCGACAACGCGTACAAGTTGTCTTGGGAGATGATACTATCCTTCTCAACATCTGATGCGTGGCCCAAGATACCCAAGATATGATCTCTGGGGTTGCTACAAAAGAAAGACCGCGTGGCTTTGACCCAATCCATTAGAGGGATGGGTTTCTTGCCACGATACCAATGGCTCAGGCGCATCAGGGAGAGGTTGTACAATCGCCCCGGAATAAATGATACCGTTTGATCCGTAAGTGACCCATCGTTAGGCAAAGCCTGGATACCGAATGTTGCCATCCGCAAAGCAAGCTCTGCTACAGACTCGAAGGGCATCTCAAATCTGCCACAGTACAGCAACGTCTTCCCGTTGAGGACAGCCTCTTGAAAAACCCACTTACGCTCGAACCAGGTGTGCCTCAGAAGCGAGCGTAGTGGTTTCCAGTCAATACTTTTTGTCGTTGGCTTGCCATTCTCAAAACGCTCGGCGTTCCGCTGGCCAAGTAACTCGGCACCTGCTCTATTCTTCTTCGGGTCATCTACGACCTCGGGAATCAACTCGAGGGCTTCGTTGATCAGCTCCACAACCCCATCGACGTCTTTGTCATCACTTCCAAGCCATATGAGAACGGATGCGGCTCTTGAGTAGATCTCGGTCATACGCACAATTTGATGCGTCTTTTCCGCCGTGTTCTGCTGGTCAATGCAAATTGAATCTGCCCACAGAACGACTTCTTCATTGGGCAGACGCCAGCGCTTGAGTGCCTCAAATAGAGTCTTAGTAATCTGCATCTCCTTGTCCTCGCAGATGATATATGCCTTGTCACGGAGGTTGCCCCAGGCGTAGGATACAGCATGGTACGGCACAGGGTCGTCGACCGGGACGATAGCAAGCTTTACTCGAATCTCCTCATCATGACGCCCTGGCAAGAGGTGAAGGAGCCGGAAACAGCCCTCATCTAGTTGGGAGTGAACATATTGTGGTGGTGGTCGGATCAACCTCTTCAGACGTGACAGGAGATCGGTTTTCCCATCAAGGAAGAAGGCGCGATAGGCGACAAGGGCCACCGCTGCTGCCAAAGTATAAAGTATCAGCAGGCCTGTGCTGGGCTTGTCGATTGATAGCATTTTGAACTGCCACGATGGACCCGGCTGGCTGGGCCAGCTTGGGCCTACGGAGCTCGCGACTTTTGCGGAGCTTATCCCCTCTGGATGAAGCTGATTCACCCTGGAAGGTTATAGGCGAGATTCGGACGAACGTGCCGTGAGAACCGAGCGGGTGTGCGTGTAAGCCAATAAAATGGTCTAGCCAGATACCCGACCCACCCTTTAATGTCAGCGGGACATCGCTACGTGCCTGCTTTGTATAGTGGATTACTGAACATTTAAAAGCTGCTGTCGGCTTTTTTTTTTTTTGTGACAACACTTAGAGCGTCGAACGGGGGAAAATCAAATAGGCATCATAGGACTCAAAAGAATCGAGCTCTTCTCTGTTACGTCCCTTGTATAGTTTTTCTCATTTAGCAGTAGGTTTGTTCAGTAATCGGGGCTAAAATCATCCCAATGTTCGACGTGATAACAGCAGAGTTACCGCTCTGAGCTTAACTGTACTGTGATGTGCAGAGTGGCACGGTAAGCAAAGGCACAAAGCTTCGCTGGCCCCACCCATAGCATGCCGCACCGCTATCAGAAAACGTACGTTTCAGGCTTCAGGGGAGCATTTGAGCCTGACTTACTTCTTAGCTACTGGTTCAGACGTTCGGATACCATTACCCAATGACTCAGCAAGCTTATCCATAAGCAGGCACATAGCTGTAGGCATTCTGGGGGAAAGATGTGTCGCGAATATGTGAATGTTATGGTTGTTATGATTAAGGTTCTCCTTTGGTCATGGGTCTCTTACATCCCCACCACTTCTTTCTGCGGTACCATAGGCGATTTACTCTTGTTATACACCTAGAAGGAAAGACACGCCGTATTAAAACTCTTCCCCCTAGACGTGCAGCCCTACGGGCGCATTTACATGAAAAGTCACTACACCTCCCTAATATAAAACGGAACCTCTAACTGACTTGTCACGACGACTTATGGATACCAATGAATAGTCTTGCTTTGCGTATGCCCAAATGAGCACTTCAGACATAACAGGAAGTTTGACTCTGGTACAAATATTTGATCTTGCAAATGCATTAGATTAGCTTGCGAGGCTGCATGAAGCTTCGTGACTCTATGGCCAACTTCGAAAGTTATTCTTTACTCAGCATCGCGCCGAAGGCCATTCATTCTGATAACTTCTGAGTTACCGTGATGACGCCCTCTCACCAGTCAAGTTGTCCTTTTCTGCTCACCTCGTTGCATTCTAGTCACACAAACTCACAAGGCATGGTACGCAATATGACGAAGACCCTGTAATGAGCTATTTTGGTTTGGCTAGACCCCGTAGACATTATGGGGCAGGTGACCTGGTGTCAAAATGCGTCCCCCACTCGGGTTTACAGAGGAACATAACCTTACCGGACGTCTCCTCCCGCTAGGCCAAACCCTCCAAAACAGCCGCTGACTACACCAGTGATACTTTCCCAAACTTTTCTTCAGTTTGCTACGCGTTTCTCATCTTTGCGCATTCAAAATGACTCCCGATAGCAAGGGAATGAGTTGTAGAGGTCGTTGCGAGCGAGATCTGAACATATCTCCACATTCCGTTCGGGGCCGTCAGGTTCCCGGTCAACCCGGGGTTTTTTTTCGGGTGCCATGCGTCTGTTCGCATGAGTGCCGACGAACCCATACTCTGCTCGAATGATAGGGGGGAATATACCCGACACAAGAAATCTGTGACAAGGGGCCCATCACTGTTGCATATGAAGCCAAGGAGAATGGGGCTGTAGCTAGTAACACTGTGTTTCACTGCCAAGTGAAAGCTACAAAAAGAGAAAATAGTTATTAGCAAGAGAAAGCGATTCAATCCATCCACCACGACATGAGGTAATATGTCAGGAAAATATCATACCAGGGCATAGAATGTGGTGCCACCCTCTTGATTATAGCTGCTCGGAAGAAAGCATTAGATGCCATCAATCAAGACTTAACATTTTCGATTTATGTCGCTAGTCCTTGGTTAATGGGAACCACTTGTCTTTTATTGATTGCATTTCTCTCTAGCATCTGACAAAACAAGCATCTCATCGTCAATGCTCCCAGAAAAAGACATGTCCTTTGAAATTGAATCCAAAATTCTAATGCAGCAATGGCACCCTGCATCTTAAGTAGATATTCCTTGTTTGTTTCTGTAATTCCACCCATGAAGTCTGCTCACTACTATGTGGAGAGTGGCTGTACGCGTTCCTGTTGGAGCTTCAGGTATCCATGTCTATGGTCATCAGCCTTACAGGGCTAAGTCCTCAACCTGGACTCGTTCAGCTCCTCCTCAAAAAGTGTGCATTTTCTTCAACATAATGTAGGTTAGCGGAAACTTCATATCAAGCTTGAATATACCAGTTGCAAAAACAAGAAAGGCTAGTCGATCTTTTGCTACAGACTTCAAATTCTCCTGCCGCAACTTGGTCATGCCAACCCACGAGGAAGAGAGGGTAACGCCATCTAACACCACCATGCTCGTTGGAGATGGATGCTTGGCTAGCAGAATTGCAGGTGGGTAAGGCGGGCCTATCTATCCATAAATAACCTCATCCTTGGCCATCAAAGATGTTCATCTGTTCTTGATACCCATTCCCGAGGACATGTGGGTCGTGTCCCAGTCGCGTGGAACTTCCTACCGGTCAGTAGCATGACTTTGATGGTATTCTGATTCTACTTGATACAGAGGTAACCGGCAGTTGGCATGTTGAGATCAGTTCGTTGCTCAAGTCTGGCCTGGCATTCTCATCCGGTGATGAACTATAAGAATGAAGGGCATAGAACACCATAATCGTTGACAATAGAAACCAGTCTCTCACCGCCTCTTTCGTTCTCTTCACCCACAGTCGTTCTTTTACCTTAGAATTTCTGACAGCATGTCTTCCACTCTTTTTTTAAAGCATCTTCTCATAGGCGCGACCCTTTTGCCAGGCTTTGTATTCTCTTCTCCGGTGGCCAACCCAGGCAGAGTTACCGTTCCAGCTTCTTTGGAGACCATTAAACCCGATGTCATTCAGCATGGATTTTTGGATGACGCTGCCCTTGAACGTCTCCAAGAGTCTTTAACTAGGTCAACACGACCAACACCATCACCCAAGCCCAACAGGGTCAAGAGGCAGATGACAAGCACGGCGCAAGGATCGCTTACCATCGCGACAAGTGATGCTTTTGTATCCATTGATGTCGGGGACATCAACCGTGTCGACAGCAACCCAGCAAATTGCCACTCTGAAACGCTTAACGGGCCAATTCAGGGTCTACAGGTGTTTATGGGTGCCGCTAACCTGCGTGCAATGAATGTTACCAGCTCGAGTGGCAACACGAGCTCCATCACGACCGTAAGTACTCTCAAAATGTTATCAAATGGGACAAGCTGAACGAACGTTGTTGCAGAAGCTCGACAACAACAAGGATGCTGGCGATTTCACCTTCGAGAATAATGAGCGCATTAAAGAATTCTGGGTTCTTGAGAGCCAAGGCAACTTCCTCGGCTTCAACTTCACCACCGCCAACGGCAAAACCTACTCTGCTATGGCCACTACTCTCCGAGACCCGCCTCCAATGGTCAAGGTTCCTATCGGCTCAGGCATCCTTAGTCGTATTCGCGTACAGTACTGCGATATAGGCCTCATCGGTCATGTAGGCTGGGATTTCCTCGACGATCTCCAGTCTGTGAGTATCAGCAACCTGGCCTACTCTGGCTTCACGGACAACATCATGCCGTCCGGACCGGGCACAACCGTCACCGTTGGATCTCAAATCCTCGACAACCGTAATTCCAGCACGGAGCAAATGATAACTATCCAGACCATCGACGCCGTCACCAAGTCTCACACGGTCAGTGTAAATAACCAGTGGACTGTCGGCAACAAGGTCTCGGTTGAGACTGAGGCCGGCATTCCATTCATTGGCAAGTCGAAGGTTTCCACCGAATTCAATTGGCAGGTTGGGAAGACCACGGTAGGCTATACACTTTCCACAACCCCTTTTCTCAACGCTGACGAAAGGCCGTGCCAAGACCGAGGAAGACTCTGAGTCCGAAACGGTAACCAAGTCATCTACCGTCAACCTTAAATGCCCTGCTAAGAAGTATTGCGTGGGCTCGTCTTTCTATACCTCTTTTAAGATGGACGTCGATGTTGAGGCTACTTTCCGCGCAAAGACCAAGTCAGGCAAAGACTTCTTCTGGGTGCAGAAGGGCAAGTACTCTGGTGCCGATTCCCTTGCACTGCAGCTGCAGGTTGACGAAGCTGACAATGTCATCCGGCGCGGTATTGCAAAGGAGTTTTGATATCCAACACTTTTTTTTTTTTTTTTTTTTTTTTTGATGCCTGTGTATCAAGGCATAGAAGTGTGAGTTCGTTTTAAAGGAGGACACATTTCCGTATGACTATTTGATTATTGGGTATGGAGATGCTATGTTTGTTATCGAAGTTATGACGATTGCGAGGTTTTCATTTTGTTATTTAAACGAAAGAAATACAATGCAATTTGAGTTGTATAACCTAGCATCAGGCCATTCTGATTGCCGTGCTTTGGTATACTGGCTTAGTTGGTTGATAACCATTTGTAGCGCAGTTCATTCGAAGTATCACTCTTTCCTATAATGCATCTGGGCCTCCTCAATTAAACGTACAACATCTTAGTTTTCTTATCTTCCATGGTACTGGTTAGTCTTGGTGAGTATGATGTTGTCCCGGTAAGTGCTGGTATATCTATAAGAAGAGACATTTGACAACAGAAAGCAAAGTCGGAAGTTGTCGGTGATTGTGATTATCACCTCGGCAGGAGCGCGCGGCCCGCAACCTTGTCATTTGCTTGCTTCATTGATTAGACTTTAAGGTTCGATAGGGCTGACTACACCTTGTTGGAAACGAATGATCGACACGTTTGTCAAGAAACAGCCCGGTCGTCGCCACCAGGTTATTCCCGCTCAAATTGCACCAGACTTATAGAGGCCTGGTAATTATCTAAGCTGATTAACAAAATGAGGCTAATCAACGGCATGACGCCTGTGCGTCAGTATATCGACTGAAAAAGCTAACTTCGCTCAAGTTTGAGGCTACATAGCTTCAAGCCCTGGGTAACTCCCTTCCGTGTGGTTGGACTCCACACTTGTCAACTTTAACACTAAACCCCCCCAATCTATAATGACTAATCTCTCCCAGAATGGCGGTAACTTATGAGTCAAAAGATTCAGTTGTCGGACTGCTGCAAAGTATGCGCCAAGCTGAATACTGTGCTTTTCGTCCCCTACACGGATAGCGCCTCATCAGCGATGTCCGCTATATACAAAAGTGAGAGCTCTTGTAATCATCTTTTTATGAAAAATTGTCATTTCGCATCAATAGTCCTCTACAAACTGAACAAAAAACATTTTCCTATGCCCCAGTTTCACTTGTACGTATCGGTGAGACAGATGCCGCACTTAGTAGCTACGATGTTGTACTGATTACCGAAGACGACGTTATGGGGTTTGTTCCACCTGGACGCCATATTGGGTTGGAATGAGTGGGATGGTGCTAATATGCTTGGATGGGGACGTCTTGAGAGGTGACGCGGTTGTAGTTGAGGTTGATGTGCTAGTTAATGTGACTTTGAAAGACTCAAGAAGTGCGTCCACTTGAGCGTAGCACGAATAGCCATCCATACAACTCCCATAAGGTTTGGACGATAAATTATGCGTGAATGATGTTACCTAGTTAACCTTTAGACCCTATGACGGTATGACAGAGGAGTGATGCAAGTTCCCTCGGCTTGCCTTACCCATCTGGAAAAGTTTCAATTTATCAAGTTAGTCTACTCAAATAACACCTCGCAGTAATGGTATCAACCGCAACACACCAACAGATACAGTCACAATTAGGATTAGGATTGTGTCTCAACCGGGATACAGGACTCCAGGTACAACGGCGAGGAGGGAGGTTAGTAGAACATCCGATGGTATTCAAGAGGCCAATGACGGTACTAAGTTCATTGAATCTCTTATAATTGTTTTAAGAAAAGCCGCTGGTTAGACTGTTTTAAGAAAGAGATAAATAACAAAGAGTATTGCAGAGAGACTTTTGGCACTCAATTTAGCAGAATAACCCATGGGACAGGACGAGCCTTCGGCACAAGTTATAAAGAAGACTGAACTTCGCATGTCCTATAAAAAGCACAATGAAGTTGAAAGAGCTTCACGGCTTTCCTGGTCAACTGGCTGGGATGTGTTTGCGGTACTTGCCAGTTTGCAGCTCTGATCTGGAACAACCAGCGTTTCTCGAATGGAAAATTTCCTTCTCAAAGCCTTCTACTGGATTTTTTCGGGCAGTCAATTGGGTTTCAGCTGCCTTCAGTGCAATGCTGTGCTTTGGCAGCAGCTCTAGCTGTAAAAACAGAGTCGATGTACTAATGATTGCGTAGACCGCGGAGAGCTTCCAATTGTTGCTGCTGGCTGGAGCAGGGGACATACATTCTTCCATCTTGACTTTGAATCATCTTAACTTTCTACTTTTCTTAAACACGGCGAGTTCATGTCCTCTCCCGGTTGGAAACATGGAGTTTACTGGGGTTGTAAACGCGACTGTAGAGTTTCCTGGACTCGCAGACTTCCCAAAAGCGGAACAATGTAAGAAGCTGGCTTCAAAAAGTGAGGCGAGCCCTTGAGGCTTCAAGCTGAACGAGGAGGATTATGTGAATAGCGTTCGGAAAGCCATGTTCCATTTTGCCGGGCCTCTAAATGATACATGGCCTGCCCCAGATGGTAAGGTAGACTAGCATCGAAATTTTGCAACGCCACTCGCAATTTAGCAAGTGCCAAGGTGCGCAGTTGCATGCTTTTGATATATTTAATTATAATTTATACCTTGCTGTGCAACAATTGGTCGAGTTCCCGAAATGATGCGAGTCACCACCGAGAGGCAATGGGTTGCATGTCTTGTTGATTACCTTAAGTCAGAGGGATTCATATGCTCTCTACTGTCTTTGGCGGACCAGAAGTATAAAGGCTCCCCGTGCAAATGCTAATCTCCATAGACAACAACTTTGCCGGATGGAATAGCTAAAAAAGGGCTCTCGAAGATTCTAATGGACTAGACCATGCCTAACGGTTCGCTGGAGGCGAACTCTCAAGGCAAGTACTATTTAGACTTTACCTCTTTGTCTCTCTCGTGTATGCTAACGTTGTCTCTTTGCTCTTTTATCTTACCTTAGCACCAGTGCCCATACCCATCCCATCTTCTCCCCGTATGGCTCATCCAGGGTAGCTTGGGTTCTAGACAAGACTGTCTAAAACTGATGCCAGACCTTCATATGTGCAATTCCCGGACAGGTAGCCGTTTTCCGTCTTGGCTTATAGTAACGTGAAAAAGTAAGGTCTAGCACGGAGCTGCTCCACAAAGCTGAGCATGGCCATGTCAGATATGTACTTGGGTATCAGGAACAAAATTGTACATTCTCCACAGGACCGTTCAATTGATTTGAATCTGAGGGTTGGGAAAGCCCGTTAGGAATAGAACTAGGCAAAATAAGAGTGTAAATATAACCTCAAGGTGCCGTTACAGTACATCTTAGCTGCGCGTAGGTTTTGACGACAATGCCAGACTGTACTGGTGTTGAATATCATCGCGTGACCTTAGGGTGACAAGTAACTGGAGGACACCTGAGTTGAAAGCTGGCATGTGTATGTCTTGTAGATGTGGTGGTGGGCATTTAGTTCCAAGAATGCAGATCACCCAGACTCTCATAGCACATTCCCAAAAGGCAAGCTTGGCATGTCAAACACAAAGATTAAAAAAAAAAAAAAGTAATCAATTTAAATGCCAGACCCAGTTCGGAAATGCTTTCATTATCTCCAAACGCCACGATGCAGCCCCGTTCCCCGTCAACCATTATGCGTACTCTGTATGACTACCGTTCTTTCCAGTTTCTCAATTCAGTGTATGTTCATTCGGCTTCTCCCCGGACCTCTTCCCGCCATTACTATTCCGCCCCTTTGGTTGCCGTGGTTTCCGTACTTAGTCCTCGCCCAAGCTCTCCCTCACACAGGCACGACACCTCCTTCTGAAATCCTTGTTCTTGCCTTCGCGCTCCTCGCGAAACATGCGTGCGGCCTCCACGTTGGCGGGTGACTCGTCGTTGGGGCCGTGGAAGAGGCTGATGGTGCTCAACAAAATTGTTTCAGGGCTCTGCACAGGACTCCACCGTTCAGATGCAGCCTCGTAGCCGTACTGATCCTCCTCTGGTGGGTGCAAAATAGATATGCACAGCCGGCCGTCTGGGTATATATTGGGGTGGAAAGGAATCGGGGTCTGGAAGGTCAGGGATGGTGGCATCAGTGGATAGTTTGGCGGAAAGACGAGACGTGCGCGAAAGTTTCCACCTGTTTGGCAGAGAGTCAGCAATCAATTCAAGACCTGAAGCCTTTTTTGAGAAAGATAGGGTAGGGACAGAGGAGATTGCTAGATTTGCCGAGAGAGGCGCGCGCAAGGGGAACATACTGCCATAGTACTTGCAGTCGTCGCTAATCATGAGCATGACCTCCCACTCAAAAATATTGTTGTCGTTGACCAAACCGCACGAGATTCCGGGTATGTCCATGCCCGTTTGCATTTCCTTAAGCTGCCGGCGGAGCAGCGAGGCCGCTGCTGCAGAAGAGGATGCCATTGTGTAGCACCTTCGTATGTTTCTTCAGGGTTTCGCAGAGAGCCGTACCCGAATCGGTGACACGTGAGACGCGGAAACGGCGGAAATGGAGACTCGTTGGGAAAATGCGGGCGTGGCAGGTCGAGTCGCACGACGCTGGGTATCTACGAGAGCGATGACGCCTGCGGCTTCTTCTAGGAGAAGGCGGAGAGTGTAAATGTGGCGGTTTGGGGGGGCAAACCAGCAGTGGTGAGGTCGTCGAAATCGGAGCCAATGCAGTGTGGGGTTGACCGGGCGGCAGGGGTCTTGACGCCAGTGGCTGCTTCACCGAAGGACACCGAGGGGAAGTGTGTCGGTAAATAAAGCTCCGATCCGGGGCTCAGTAAGGTGCCGTTGAAGGGCATCCACTCCGTCAGTAAAGCCGCCAGGCCCTCGTTTGCAGGATCAAAATCACCAGGTTCATCCGATTTTCCTTTATTTATTTCTTTTGCAATTTCTTCTCCTCAACTTCAACCTTCAAAGATTGGGGTATCATTTTGCGTTCTGACAATCATACACCGAGCGACCTTTCCACGGCTTCACTTCTTCTTCGACGTCCCAAAACCCGTAATACCCATCGCGGCCATCATGTCATCTTCGTCGTGCTCTCCTTCAATTCTCACATCTTCTCCATACTCCGTCTTGACCTTCTCAGCTTCCTCCATCTTGATTCTCCTCCTTTCATCCGCCTCTTTCCGCTTCTTCCTCCTCTCCTCCGCTTCTTTCAAGCTTTCCTCCTCTCTCAGGGCAAGCCGTTCCTCCAAACTTGTAGCCTTTTCCTTTTCCAGGTCCATTTTTCGCTGCCAGAGCATTTCGATCCGCTCCCTAACTTCCTCCGCAGTTGCTCGTTTGACTTCTGTCGTCTGACCGGTGTTTGCCAGATGCTGTGGCGTGTTCAGATGCTCCACGAACTGCTTGTTGTCTTTAAATGTGAGGTCACAGGCATCACAGTAGAATCCTGCTCCTCTACCACGCTTTCCGACGCCCGCACCGGCCGGTACGAGCTGCGTCTTGCCGACCTGTGCGCTAAGATCCAAGACGTTCCGCCGGGCTTGTGTGAATGTCTCGTTTCCGGTCAGAGGCTTGTGATATTTCTTTCCCGCCATCTTGGCTTCATATCGCGCCTTTGCTTCCTCCTTCTCCTTCGCCTCGCGATCTTTGGCTTTGGCGGCGTACTCATCCAGGTCCCAGTTCTTACGGAAGTCGGTATCGCCTGCTGGCGCGCCGTACGCGCTGCCCTTTTTGTCGGCCATTGTAGGTTCGTACTCGTCTTGTTCCGCTTATAAACAATACTTTGTAGAGGTCAAAATGGTGCCTCGATACAATCGATGGATCGCTTTGTCGTCTGGATAGGTGATGGTTTGAAAACCGAGGCTGATCCCAGACGCGTCGATGATGAAATTTGATGTTTGGAAGACAGACTAGCCGGGGGTCGTCAGTGGGCGAAACTACAGGGATTCCGATCAGGAAAATTTGGGGGGCGGCCAGACAAGACATGGGCCAGGGGTTAGTGATGGTGGGGTTGCAGCACTAAAAACTACTACCCCTCCATCCGTTCCCCTCCAAAAAAAAAACTGCAAATGAAAAAATAAAGCGTCGGATCGAAACAGCATCTCCCTAGACTCCTGGATTGTGACGTTGTAGTGTTTCCCTAGTGGTATCTTCGATAACACCCGCGAAATGCTGTACCTCGTTGGTCTCGGTCTCTCTGATGAGACGGACATTACTGTCAAGGGCCTCGAGGTCGTCAAGAAGGCCTCTAGGGTCTACCTGGAAGCCTACACCAGCATTCTCCTCGTTGACAAGGCCATCTTGGTGCGCCCGATCTTATTTTCAAGCTTCCATCTACCTGAATAATATCACGTACTAACATGCTTATCATCTGATAGGAGAGCTACTATGGGCGCGAGGTCGTAATCGCCGACCGCGAAATGGTCGAGTCCAACAGCGACGAGATCCTCCGCGATGCGCAGACCGAGGATGTTGCCTTCCTCGTCGTCGGTGATCCCTTCGGCGCCACTACCCATACCGATCTCGTTCTCCGTGCTCGCGAGCTCTCGATCCCTGTTGGCACCGTTCCCAACGCTTCAATCATGTCTGGCATCGGCGCCACTGGCCTGCAACTGTACAACTTTGGCCAGACCGTGTCCATGGTCTTTTTCTTAGATAATTGGAAACCTGCCTCGTTCTACGACCGCATCAAGGAGAACCGGGATATTGGTCTGCACACGCTTGTGCTCCTCGATATCAAGGTCAAGGAGCAGAGCTTGGAGAACATGGCACGTGGACGCAAGATTTACGAGCCCCCAAGGTACATGACTGTCGGTCAGTGCGCTGCGCAGATGCTAGAGATTGAAGAGGAAAAGAAGGAGGGAGTCTATGAACCTGACAGTCTTGCGGTTGGAGCGGCGCGCGTGGGTGGCAAAACCGAGAAGTTTGTTGCCGGTACGCTGAAGGAGCTTTGCGACACTGATGAAATTCTTGGAGGACCTTTGCACAGCATGGTTCTACTCGGAAGAAGGGCGCATGAACTCGAGCGGGATTACATCCGCGAATTCGCGTTCAACAAAGAGACATTCGACAAGAGCTGGGAGGCAGGTTATGGGAAGCAATAGTCATCATTCATGTCCCGTAATTCGGGTTGGTGTTGGTTCTCTTCTCCCGAACCCTCGCTTCTACTGTGCTATTCGTACATGCTTTTCATCAACCCTAACTGTAATTAAGAGGATGCGGTAGAGCGGTACTGCTCAACCTCCTGGGAGGAAATTTCCCTCAACTTGTTCACCTGGGCGGGGCTACCCGTCACAATACCCTCAGCCACCTGGGCGACTCTGCCCAACACGTTGGAGTTGCTGATAGCGTAGGTAACACTAACGGTCTTGACACGGATAACACCGATTCGGGGATCGTTCTCGGAACCGTCGTGCGTACCATCGCCCAGATCGCCGAGCCAGGCCTTCAGTTGAGGGCTGTAGTGCTTCTTGACAAGAGAGCGATCGGTAACGACGCTAGAGACACCAGAGACAGAGGCCCAGTCACCTGAACTGTTGTAGAAGGAAATGTTGATATGGGGGTCGCTGTCAATCTCGTCTGTCTTGTGGGACTCGGTATTGGTGTGGAAGAGTAGATCAATGCCGCCGTTTTCCTGGATGGATGTTAGAGAGCTGGTGTCAAGTAATACCAGTCGATGTATTTACCGTGGCAGCAAGCGCCATGCAGCGCGAGACGAGAGCGCCCGACTTGGCATCTCTAGTGGTCATCATGCCAAACTTGCTCTTGTTGGCGAAGTTGACGAGGGCCTCGACCTTTTCCTTGAGGGAGACATCTTCATCTTTGTTGGCAGCCTTGTAGGGGTCGGCGGGCTTGTCGCCGGTAGAAGCGTTGGAGAAAGACATTGTAGTGGTTTAGGGGTATCAGAAAAGTGCTAAATTCAAGGTTTGTATGGCGGAATAGTCGATCAGATGAGGAATTACAAGCTCTTTTGTTGAAATCTTGAAATGGTGCATAAGAGAAAAAGTTATTTCTAATTCAAAGCCTTCAAAGATCCTCTATTTGAACCCGAACAAATCGGCTGACCTCATCGCTGTTGCTACCTGCAGCAAGGACAAAATTTCATCATAGAACGAGTTGTTACGTGAGCTCTGCTGCGGTATTGAGGAGCTTGAGCTGTAATGTACAAGACATGATGACGTCAAGAGCGGAGGGGGAGCACTTGAAGTTCCAGAACAAGCAGAAAGGGGCGGCGGAATGTGGCACGATGGGGACCACGATGGACGTATTTTATGGGGATAGTTCATCATTGATCGCCTCTTAGGTAGGTCCTAGCTGTGGCTGAACGTGCACTGAGTGATTCTTATGTGCGCCAGCTGTGCACCGATTTTGGGACCACTACCCCCTGAGTGCCTGAGCATCACTGTCCTGTTGTTGTTTGGGGAAGGAAGGATTGAAAGAGGTCTACTCTGCTGATGCAGTCACCCAATGACGTTTGTCGAATGACACTTGGCAAGGTCGGAAAGAAGCATCCACCGTGTCGCGTAGGATATATCAATCTGGGGCGAAGGGGCCTTCCGTGTCGGGGTCTGTGCCTTCCCATCTCACTTGGCATACCATTGCACAGACTGAAGGGCAATGACAGCAGCAGTGCTAGGAAAGTCTGTGCAATCGCTGTCCTCTTTTGCTGTCTTACCGCTCCTTGCAAAATTCAGCCGAGCTGCAGTTTCCGGATTGGGGCCGATTTCGGCAACTTCCACATCATCGTAATAACTTCGTGATCCGATCTTTCAATTAAACAGCGATCGTTGAGCCAGGTGGAACGCTGCACTTTTGGCTACTATGGGTGGTACAAATTTTGTACTCCGCCCTACTATTTTTCACTTCTTTCCTCTAGAGTTTTTTGGTCCATTACGGTAGAGCAGGAAGCTTAAGCCTGCGATTGCGATGCAGAGCGGGTCCGAAGCTTCCCATCACGTATCATGGTGAAGAAATAGCGCCTGCTGAAAGAGCGCGGAGAATAAGTATTCCGTTACCCGTCCACCTCACTTGCCTTAAGCAGAAAGCAAGACAGACGAGGCAAGACAAGACACCAAAAGCCAATAAGGCGCATGATGTGACCCCTGCACCTGCCCCTCCCCCTCTTTCCCCCGTAGGTCGTAGGTTGTCCCGCTCTGACTGGGTGCCTCCCTCCCAACACATCCGTCGTCATTCCCCTATCCAACTGGATATCGAAATCTTCAGTTATTAATGCGTCCGCGATGCGAGTTATTCTTCGGGCAATTGCAGCCGCCCCATACCACAGTCGACTGGCCAATCATGGCTTACCTTGCCTGCCATGACTGAGGTGGGTGGCGGCGGCCTTCCTTCCTTCCTATGCAAATAGCAAACACCGTCCAGCAGGTGCTAGCCATGCGTAAGAGGAAAGGAGAAAGAGCAGCCAGCCCCAAACACGACGCACTTGGCCTCTAAAGTTCCAGTGCTTGCAGCATGCAGATAGTCCTCCACAGTGGTAGAAAGAGCCTAAAAAGAAGCTCAGGTCGGAGTTTCGGCGGACATCGGTACCGTCAAAGCTGAGACGGCATCTCACTGGACCACCTCTTTCTTCCCATGCAGATCTGCCAGACGTCCTGCTGTTTCCCCCCTTCCGTCATTTACAATCTCTTTTCCTCGTGATTGCCATCCTCTAAGCAAACATCGACGGTTTCTCCATCCTCTTTTCTCCCATCTCATCCTCTCCCTTGACGCAGGTCCCCTAGGGCATATTTTTCCCTCATATCAGTCCTTGCTGTCTCTGCGAATACCTCTCCGCCTTGTGGTCGGGACCAGACGGCGACTGAAATTCGTCGACACGCGATTCAGGAGATAATCCGTTCTACTGCACCCGTCATCTTTCGTTGGTTCTTCCCTTGACTCTAGCCTCAACAGGTGCTCAGTCAGTCATCAGCAATCGTCATCCGCGACTGCCGCACAATTCTTATCCACAACTCGCCTGAGTTTTTTCCCCCCCTTCTTCCTGTTACACCACCCAAATTTCGTCTTCTTGACTCTCGTCTTGTCTGACCCTCGCTCCGATTCGGCCCTTGCACAAACGTCAGGACGAACGCCCCAGCCCACATCCCTCCCAAAACCTTCGTTTCACCTTTCTTCATCGCGCCAGTCTGGATTGTATCGCAATCTCGACTTCGTTCACTTGTTGGTCATACCCTGCTTCACCGAAACCCTGCCCCGAGCTTTTTCAGAAGCTGCAATTTTTTTTTTTCCACTTCCCGATGAGCTCTTTCGGTGAGTGAAACTCTCGCCACCATTTCGCCTGAGAAGTCGAAGTGACAACGAACGCTCGCCTTTCGCGGCAAGGCACCATCAATCTTCTATCCTCCGGTCATTTGTTGAATTGATCATTCATATTCTGTTTGCATTCCACCTGCAAGCTAATTACGAAGATCAATATCATCGTTATCTAGCTGGTGATTTCGTCACTTGGTCACAATGGCGCATCGCGATCTGGTGCGTATGCTAGCTCGTCTTGTCTTTTGGGCATATAAGACTAAATGTCCCGCAGGATATCATGCCATGGGAGTGTCGCGATGTAGAGGACCAAGCTGAAGCTCAGTACAACGCTCCTCTTCGGACTAAGAACAAGGCTCTCAGCGACGAGAATGCAAGACTCAAGAAACTGCTTCGCGAAAACGGCATCTGTTGGTCGCCTATTTCCGCCACTTACCAGAAGTACAATCGGCCCAATGGCCGTCGAACCCGTTCTTCTATATGTTCTGAATCCCATCCTTACCCGTACTTGCCGACGGAAGTTATACTGCGGATTCTCAAGTATTCTTTGACGTCCACGAGTCCCATTGTTGACCCCTTGTCGAAACTCAAGCCCGAAAACCTTACGACAACAGAGCGATCTCGCGGCAACCAGATTGCCATCCACTTCCTGGCGACCTGCAAAGCCATGTACGAGGAAGGCAGTCGTATCTTATGGAATCATAACACTTTCGTCTTCACCACACATGATGCTGTTCGCAATTTTGCCGACTTGGACTACTCTCACCGAACCAATATCAAGCATGTCAACTTCCGTATCATCGCCCAGTATTTCGATGACAAGAAGCGGAAGCACAAGCTTGACCGATCCTATCATCCGTCTCTCAAGAACGACATCACTCTGCGAACCATTCCTCGAGTTAATGAGCACACCTATGCCCGCGGTGGCTTCCGCTGCTATACTTGGGGTCAGGTAACGGATTTCCTGCGTGCACTCCGTGCACCCTTCGATCCGAAGCACGACAAAAAAATCATTCGACCTCGACTCTTCCCCAACCTGGAGTCACTACGCATCGATCTTGTCAACTTCATGGATGACTTTCTACCCATGCCTGGAAGTGAACTTCACGACATGGCGTCGCACGAACTGGGTTGCTCTTTGAACGAGCTGCAGGTTACTGGCTTACCGATAGACGACGCAGGCAGCAAAGCAACAGCGGAGCTTACTGGTCTCTTGAAGGACGAAGGTCTGTTCCTAGCGGGATTACCCTCTTTCATCCAGTTTAAGAATGCCTTGAAGCCCCTCTCAGGTATATCGAGCTGCGCTCGCGTTGTGCGAGCCTGGAAGACCCTTAGACCTAAGAAGAATGACGACTCATCCCTCGGTGATGACTCTGATTCAGACTCTGACATAGGCCACCATCACCCCCGTGAGCCCATCATGCCTCCTGCACCTAGAGAGACCGGTCATCCAAAGTCCGCCCCAAGCCGCAAGGACCTGACTATCTGGAAACGAGTGCCGAAGACCCGCGACGGTGACGAACGTCAATGGACTGAGTTTTGCCGTAGTAGCGGCTACCCCATGGAAGACGTCGAGGAACTGATGAGCGATGATGAGCTAGGCGTATGCCCTTGCTGCGGAGAACCCCATCCTAGTCTGTTGGAACTCCTTGAGATGGAGGGTGACGACGATGATGACGAGTTTTGAACGGTCCAGTAATCGAGTTATTAGTCTCCGATTGCAACCAAAACGATTGCGTGTACATCATGGTTCGGAGTGAGAGTATTGCTGATATCGTTCTGGGAGATTTTATGGTCATGGTACTGAGGGGCTAGGCCACGGTTAGTGGAAGGAAAAACGATCGGAGTTGCTGCTCAAGTCATGAGATTATGATACCACACTTTGCTACAGGGCACATAGATACCATCTTATTAGTAATGATCCACAGAGGCGATTGTCTATCAAGATAACTCGTAAACGCAAAGCGCTCACGCATTTGACATTTAGGATGTTATTGTTCACTCCGACACGTGTGCTTCGGGAACCTTTTCACAAACTTCGAAGTGTCTCCCATCTCGTGTTGCTTTTTCTCCAGCTTTGCCTCCAAGTGGGTAATTTCGTGAAGCAAACGATCAACATCGGCCTGAATCGCTGAGAAAACCTTACGCAGCTTGTAAACATCCCAGTCTGCCTTGATGGCGCGCTTGACAACTTCAAACATGTCAACACGCGGCGTCGCCCTAAGGCCAAATCGCTCACGTATATTAGCATCTAATGCCCAAGTTTCCTGGTTATTTATACGCATGCGACGGTGGGCGTCTACGATAACTCGATCCGCATCGTGGATACCTCGCTCCAGTTCCATCATTCGGCCTGCTAAAGCGTTAGCATCAACTTGGCTTCCTCTAATCAAGGCACGGAGCTTATAAATGTCCCACTCAACGTCAATCTTCTGTTGTGATACGCGGATGGGCTGGGTGACGGGGCATCGTGGATACCCCGCCAATGAGTAGTCCCATTCAATAGCCAGTTGGGCGTCTGAAAGGATAGGGTTGCAGGATTCATAATCTGGTCGGGAACGGAGAGATTCAAGCTCGGTTAGGGTTGTAGCTACTACGGGGCCATCTATCGAAAGGTAGGCTACTACGCCTCCATCTGGAAATGGCGATGGGTTGAGAGAGTGCTTTGAGAGGCTTGGTGAGTTGGGAGACATGGTCGAATGTTTTGGTGGAAAGACTGTTAGATGTTAGTCATGGGGTTGAGAGACACATTACCTTGGCAATTGAGTTGATCTTGGATGATGCTGTATGGTATCGATGCGGTGTTGGTGAGACACAACCTTAGTTGTGGTCATCTCTTGACGCGGCTGATACCATGTTGGGAGGCGAATAGTGCTGCTTTAATACAACACTCGAGACACACCTCAGTTAGGTAATCCAGGTATTGACTCGTCACATTTGGATTGTTCTTTTCGTGCCTATCAAAGAATTTGTGTCATGATAAAGGCGGATTTCCATCCATTGATGGGATATGCAATCCCCTCCTTTTTGCTTTTTTTAACAAGCTTACACAATACCTTGTCGACCGGCAGCAAAGGCGCTCACTTCTTTGTGTCCGAGATATGTCCACTGGTGCCTTTCTACGAGGAATCTACACAGAGAAAGCCAAGCAGAAGGAAGCTTAAAGTTAAAGAGCTCGGATTAACTCAGACCAAAGGCATTCAAAATGGCACCTCTATTAGAGATCATAGACAGTGTATCGTAATCGAAATAGCCATTGCACCGAATCATTAAGGTATGGAGCTCCCCGAATCTTGGAAACACCAAAAGACTCCACATTAAACTAAGAATAATCATGCAACAAAGTCGTCGCCCACCACAAGAAAGCAATCTCCCTCTCATTGAGAGAGGAACAAAAAGACATACAACACCAGGTATTCGCTGGTCGTCACCGACCCAACTACTAATCCGGCCCTCACTGGCTTATCTATGGGAGAGCGGACGGGATCCCGAGTTTTCCAGTGGGTATGGTCGTATGTACCAGGACACTATCGTGAAGCAAGCTATGTAGGTGAACAATGTGGGTCGCAGTTGACATGACATATATGTCCGAAGCCAACCGACTAAAATGCTACGCCATGTCCGAGGCAAACTACTTTGATGGAAACTGAAAACATGGTTAAATGCAGCAGAGCTTTCCATCCATTCGGGGTGAGATGGCAGGCCTCTAGCAATTTACCTGAAGGTTGTCACAAAGCGAATCTGAAGTCTTCTGTTTGGGTTCCTTGTCAGGCGGTTATGACTATGAGATGAATTTTTCGAACTTTGAGGATAAAATGAGCTGAAATCTCACATTCCGAGGGAAAAGCGTTGATATAGATGGGTTCGGTTGAGACTTCAATGAGGACTATATTATGACGGAAAGCCCTAAGCTCAAACTTTGCGCAGCTGGCCCTGGGCTACTACTGGTCGATGGAATAACGAGGCAAGTGGCAGTTTTATTCCATGCAATACCCCAAGGATTTTCGAATGTCGTTAAATTTTACTTAAGAATATATCTATCCATCCCTATCGGGTATCAAGCTGGGGAAAAAGAGTTGTGAATCAAGCTCTTCATTACTGATCCGGGGGCTACCGAGCCCCGACACCCCACATCCCGGCAGCCCGGCAATGTGGGCCAACCTCTACAGGGTAAACCTTAATCCCCCGAACGGCTCTCACTTGCTCCCCCAGCCCAAAATGGAAAACGAACGGCGGGCGATGGCCGGGCACCTTTCTCAACTCGGATTCGGTTTTTCGGCGTTACGACAAGGATAAAGGCCCCCCACCCAATGACTCTGAATTCCAGCTGGCTGGGCCCTGCCACTATAAGAAGGTTTACGCGTCCTACTGGCTGGCGGAGCTCGCATTTGCCCCATAGGACTAACGTGCCTACGAGACGTCAGGATTTTCGAACCCTTTCCCCACGACTTTATCACTGCGAGTAAGCCCATCTTCCTATCTTTCCCTCTCGTTTTTGCCCCTCTTCTGACAGATTAAATATTCATCTGAGCTTAACCTGTGGTGCCAAGTATTCTGACAAGCTGATAGTCTCAAGATACCTTACCAACTTTAGTCTGGCAGGATTGGTATATCAGGAAAGGAGACAAGTTAGGCAAAAGAGTGACGCCATAGCACTCCGCGAAACATCTCGCTTTTGCCCCACTCTGGAGATTCAAGGAGGACAAAGACGGTCAATACAGAGTTCAGCGCAACCTCGGCATATCCGCCTTCGCACAAAAATGCCGCCCCGAAAGGGCAGTCCGAAGGTGAAGACGGGTTGCCGGACATGCAAGTGGGTTTCACCAAGATCCGCTGCTTTTTTAGTTCTGCATATTTCTCTCCGGATGCAATATCAAAGCTAATCATCCATATTCCAAGCAGAGCCCGCAAGGTAAAATGTGACGAGGCCAAGCCGAAATGCATGCGATGCACATCGTCAGGGCGAGAATGCGCGGGCTACGAGCCGAACTTCGAACACGGCCTCGCTTGGTACCGTCCGCAACAGCTCACCGCTCACGATCAGCGTGAAGGCCGCGCTTTTCAGTTCTTCTCGCACATGGTCGGCCCTGTACTCTCCGGTCCGACGGACTCGTATTTCTGGACTCATCTGGTGGTGCAGTTCAGCCATTTCGAGCCGGCAGTCCGGCATGCCGTACTGGCTATCAGCTCGCTGTACGAAGACTTCCACGGGGGTGCCCGTGTGACGCGGCAGAAGCGTGGGAACGCCTTTGCACTGAGCCATTATAGTGCCGCCATCGAGAAAATAAAGGGCGCACAGGACGAGCAATTGGTATTACTGGTGTGTGTCTTGTTTGTATGTGTGGAATATCTCCAAGGCGATGTCGAGGCGGCGTTGAGGCACTGCAAGCACGGCATCCTCATCCTCAACAAGATTGGCTGTTCCTCATGGGCACGCGAGTACCTGATGCCGATCTTCAGACGGTTGAGCTTCATTTCGTTTTTCCTCGGCAAGAAACCGTCAGACGACGTGCTGGTGCCCGGTCTAATTGGTTACGAGGCGTCGATGCCCCCCCGATTTACCAGTGTCGAAGAAGCACAGAACGCGATAGATGACCTTACCGTGCATGCAATCGAGCTTGTAGCAAAAAGCGACCTATCCGGAAGGGAACCCCTTGAGACCAGATTGCAAGAGTTCCATGCTAAAGTGTCCGAATTGGACGCCACGATACCGCCGCAGGAATCAGTGAAGAAAATCGCCATCTGCGGCATGAAAATCAAGACAGAAATGGCTAGGATACAAGTCAACACAATAGATGGCGAGGGGGAGTCTAGGTTTGACGAATGGTCAGAGAACTTTCGTACAATTGTGGCTTTGGCACGTCGTGCAGCAGAACTGAAGGCTACATTCCCAGACGATCGACCGAGGGCGAGCTTCACGTTCGAGCAAGGGTTCTTATCGATGATGGGATTCGTTTCGGTGAAATGCAGAGACCTGCAGACTCGGCTTGAGGCATTGGAGCTGATGACCAAGATCCCAGCGCCAAAAGAAGGCCTTTTAGACGTCGGCACCCTGTACAGAGTTGGACGCCGCGGAGCCGAAATCGAACACGGAGTGTCATTAGATGACGGCACATTGGAGAAGAACCCGGCCGCAATGGCGCAAGTTTCCTTCCCGCCAGAAAGCAAGAGACTTCTTGGGGCGCCGATAGAGCACGAGCTTGATGTGATCAAGAATGAGAATGGCACGACGACGTACCGACGAACGGTTCATTTTCTGTCGCAAGGCACGAACGGGGAGGTACATAAGCAAACTGAGTATCTCCTGGATCGTAAACCGGGTCAATTATTATCACCTGATGTGCCATGCATGAGATGCTCGAAGCCTTTCTAGTTGTTAGCGAATAGCCGAATCAGATACCTAGCCCCTTGGGGAGCACTACCCTTGTCGGTCAAGGAACTTCTCTCGCATATGCAGATTCGGCAGCCCCAGAGCCACATCGTGATATGCACTCGGCGGTTCCATAGCTGATTTAAGTCTAATTAAGACCGATCCACTCGTGAGAACGTAGGACGACCCACGAGCCTCTCCATGTTAGGCGGGCAGTGTCTTTTCATGTATTTGGCTTACTGGAGTATTCCTCAGCCGCGTCCCAGGAATTTGGGGGGCATAACCCTTGACACCTTTGGGCCTCTACCCAAACCCGCAACGTCGTTCCCGAAGAGATCGTCAGAATGGCGCCGGTGGGGCTTGTCCGATTCACGCTTAATTAACTCCCGTGCCAACGGCCCGCGCCCACTGTGGGGCTATTCCGAGGAGTATTAAAGCCGGGTGGCGGCCAGACCTCGCACTTGGCCCGCAAGGCCTCGGTCTCACCTCCGGACACCTAGACAGCGTCGTAATGCGCTCAATCCGGCCCTCAAACTGGAGAGATTTCAGGAGCAACCGAAATGGAGAAACGGCGATGACGAGTGCACCGCCATTCCCGCCCGGTAAAAAGGAGATGCAACGGGCCCGAGACACGCGTTTATATCTCGAAGCGTTTCCGCCTCTCTGAACGAAGTTTGAGCCCTCCCATAACCTCAGTTTCCAATTCACCTTTCCCTTCTACGCCAGTTAGGAAACCTTCTACCAAGGCATATTTGACATGGTTTCCTTGATTTGGGCCATGGCGGGAGCCGTTGCCCCAGCCATCGTCCGCGCTGCAACCCTTTCGGACGTGTGCACAACTACTCACGCCCAGGAAGCCCTCCCAGCCGCGGGAACAATTCCTGGTATAACCATCGACGCCTCCTCCGTCCAAACTGCCATTATTTCAAACACCTCTGTTACTTCAGAATGGTACCCGACTAGCACAATCGACTACTGCAACGTCACATTTGCCTACTCTCATGATGGCCTGCCAAATGATATCGTCCATGTCACCTACTGGGTTCCCGCCCCGGACGCCTTCCAAAATCGATATGTCTCGACTGGCGGTGGAGGCCTTGCCATCAACTCTCAGAGCCAATACATCCCGACAGGCATCATCGTAGGAGCCGTCTCCGGAATCACCGATGGCGGTTTTGGGTCGTTCAATACCCAGTGGGATGCTGTCTTCCTTGCGGCTAACGGTACCACCAACTGGCAATCTGTCTATATGTTTGGTTATCAAGCCCATAATGAGCTCGCTATTCTGGGAAAGCAGTTTACCCGCAACTTCTACGGCGTGGCAGCTGACCAGAAGATTTACTCATACTACCAAGGTTGCTCCGAAGGCGGTCGTGAGGGTTGGAGTCAGGTGCAGCGTTTCGGTGACCAATTCGACGGCGCCGTTACGGGTGCCCCTGCTTTCAGATACGGTCAACAGCAGGTGAATCACTTGACGCCGAACGTGATGGAGACCACGCGCGGCTACTTCCCGCCGTCCTGCGAACTTGATAAGATACTTAACCTGACCATCGCGGCATGCGACCCTCTCGATGGCAAGACTGATGGTGTCGTCTCGCGTTCTGATCTCTGCAAGCTCACATTCGACTTCAACTCCACTGTTGGCGAGGCCTATTCCTGTGAAGCAAGCTCTGGTAGTAGCGGCCCAGGCGGGTTTGGTGGCCTCGCGCGTCGTCAGTTCCCCGGCAGCAGCCCGACTCCTGCGCAGAACGGTACTGTTACCGCTGAAGGAGCTGCTTTAGTAGCAGCATACTACGACGGCTTGCATGATTCCGAGGGCAAGCGTGTTTATCTCAACTACCAGCCCGGTTCCGCCTTCACCGACGCCTCAACAAAATTCGATGAGAGCACCGGTACCTGGGGCGTGAGCATCTCCGGCCTCGGAGGTGAGTGGGTTGCGCGCTACCTCCAGCTTCGCGACACCAGCACGCTCGAATCCTTGAACAGCGTCACGTACGACACCCTGAGAGATTGGATGTTGTACGGCATGAACCATTACGCCGACTCGCTGCAGACGACCAATCCCGACCTCAGCGCCTTCCAAGCCGCAGGCGGAAAAGTGCTCCACGTGCACGGCGAACAGGACGATTCTATCCCCGCGGCTTCGTCGGTACACTATTACGAGTCCGTTCGAAGCGTCATGTTCCCCGGCCAGGGCTTCAATGAGAGCTCCGCTGCGCTGGACGAGTTTTACAGGCTGTATCTCGTTCCCGGCGGTGCTCACTGTGGTGTCAACTCACACCAGCCTAACGGCGGATGGCCCCAGACGACGCTTCAGACGGTGATTGATTGGGTTGAGAACGGAGCTGCCCCGGATACTTTGAACAGCACAGGCGACATCAGCACGCTCTGTCGATGGCCTCTTCGACCTCTATGGACTGACAATGGAGCCAAATTTGACTGTGTCTATGACCAAGCTTCCATTGATACCTGGAAGTACACTTTCGATGCTTTCAAGGTCCCTGTTTACTAGTTTATATTTCTCCGCTTGCTAAGTTGTAGAAGCGAGACCTGGGGGCTAAGCAGCAGGAGGCGGGCTTCACCTTTCTGGCACTTCCATGTATATATTATTGTATCACTCAGGTCAACGACATCTATTCGACCGTTTTATATACTCAATCTGCTTCTATATACCAAATTTATTTGTTCCGTTACACATGGCAGATTGTTCAGCGTAGTGCGAGTTCGTATATAACCAACAGTCCGGAAATTGGTCTTAGTAACATCGGAACATGTTAGTTATACTTCACTAACCCACTGTACTGGACCTTTAAGAAGATACCTTTTGGACCTAACATGAATTTCAAATGTCTTCGTCTTATATTAAAACTTCATTGGCATATTACTTTTGTGGTGGGAGTAAAAGTATTCTCAAAATCCTTTTGCCAGCCGCCACAGCCACTTTACACAAACGCCCATTCTCATCGGGACATCCAACCTAAACTAGATAGACTTTATTCCGTCTTTCTAACTCTGAGGCTTCAAGGATCAAACAATTGTAGATCCTTAAACGCTGGAGAGAGGGAAACTGATTCGTCCCCCACTGATACCATGAAACATCTCTCTGAATAAGTCCATGAAAGTCAGAAAGTTGCCACCTGTTGATTAATCTCTACTCCCCAACTTGTGATGGCCCTGCTCTGTCCCATATCAATCTCCAGCGCAGACACAGGTCTGCATATCTGAGGACCGTGATGCCATTCCAGCTGGTGTAGTAAATTAACCGAGCAAGGCTGGAATAATTCAGCTTGATTACCCTGCACATTCCTCCTGTTAATCTCTCTCAGTCTAAGGGGTCTCATTTGCACGATCTAGGACTCTTGCTTCCACATCATTCTTCATCATCAGCCGAAAGGTCCAATCCAGATATGGCCACTCATGAAATAATGGCAGCAAAGGTTGCAAGATTGCATATGACAGATTCGTCGGAAAGCACTGCCTGCATGCAGCTTGCGCAAATGCAGCTCCAAGCCATGCCCTTGACATATCAGTTTAGATAGACCGACAAACTCACCAGCCTAAATGAACCTCTCGTAACACTTTTAATGGATTTTTGGGAAGAAGTGTAATCTCTTTTTACCCCGTAGCATACGAATTTCTACTCGCCTCAGAGCTATGAGAATTGGCGGGGTTAGGTAGCTTATCGCTGAAAGTCACCGCTGAGACATAACATCCCTGTTCATGAACCATGGCAGCACCGCCCAGTAACCCGGATTCTGCTGTTGCCAGTCAGGGAATTCCTCTATAGCCACATGGTGCCCCAGTGAGCAACACCATGAGGTGCGAATAATGGGACCCAAACCCTCTGCCTCCGAGACCCTTTCTGACCTTCTGCATGAATCCTTTACCTTTTCTGGCCAGCACTCCTTGTACATCATTCGACGCCGTGAACCCCAGATGGCCGCCTATTGGCTGATTCTCCCTAACTAAAGAACTTCCTTCCCACCGCCTGTTCAATATGCACCAAAACCCATGGGCCTCAAGGATAATGGCACCCTAAAATCCCTCGTGTATGCTGGCCCAGCCCAGCCAGTGCCCCATTCATGAAGAACTGGTCAGATTTCACGCAGACGACAACATTTCATGGTGCATTTCCCCTTTCCGGAATAGCGGCTGTACTCGCGTGCGGCTATATCGTCTTGTCTTGTCACAAGTGCTTGGAGCTTTCCGAATCCCAATTGAAATAATGGGGCTATTTGCGGTCATGAATCCCTCGGGTTCTCGCCCTGCTTACCTTCCACACCCCATCTTTCTTGCTTTGAAAGCGACGTTCCCGTTTGATCTCTATCGGTGCCCGTGACCAACGTGTATCTTTACACTATCAATATGAGTACCCCAGAACCCGTCCAGCCACCCGCTGTCATCGAAGCCGATCCGGACACGGCTGGAGATGTCGAAAGCCGCGGCGGCGACGCCGGCGGCTCAGACTCCGACTCCTCTCTCGGTGCCGAGCTGTCGTCCTCCACTGCCTCTTTACATAGCAGCATTCTGAAATACCGCGAAGAAAACGGTCGAACATACCATGCGTACAAGGATGGCGTCTACCTCATCCCTAACGATGAGCCAGAGAACGAGCGCCTGGATCTGCAACATCACCTTTTCCTCCTTACCTTCGATGACAAGCTGCACCTTGCGCCCTTGTCTTCCGAAAACCCCCCCAAGCGCGTGTTGGATATTGGAACCGGCACCGGGATATGGGCGACAGACTTCGCGGAACAGTACCCCGAGTCACACCTGATCGGCATAGATCTTTCTCCCATCCAACCGGCGTTCGTGCCCCCGAACGTGAGCTTCCAGATCGATGACATTGAGGAGGAATGGACCTTTTCCCAAAAGTTTGATTTTGTGTATAGTCGCATGATGACGGCCGCTATTGCAGATTTCCCAAAAATGTTTCGGCAATCCTACGAAAACCTGAACCCCGGAGGTTGGATTGAGATCACAGACATCGCGCCGATTACATCCGACGATGGCACGCTGGGGGAGGATACGGCGCTTTATCGATGGGCTGATCAGCTTCTGAAAGGAACACAGGCGATTGGAAGGCCGTTCGACGGAGCTAAGCTGTATAAAAAACAGCTTGAGGAGGCCGGCTTCGTGAATGTCACCGAGGTCGTATTCAAGTGGCCGCAGAACAGGTGGCCGAAACATTCACGGTACAAGGAGCTCGGTAAGTCCTATGCGATTGGTACCGTTAGTGACTTTAGAGGATAACTAACCACTATTCCAAGGCCTATGGACGCTGGAGAACATCACGTCTGGGCTGGAAGCGCTCAGCGTGGCGGTATACACACGGGTTCTAGGCTGGTCCAAAGAAAGCGTAGATGTTTTCTTGGCCGAAGTAAGACGTGACATGAAGAACACTGCAATCCATTCTTACTGGCCCATGTAAGTGCTTTCTTTCACCTAAAATTTGAATGACTGCTGACTTTGGTGAAAGCTACGTTGTGTACGGCCAGAAGCCGGAATGAATGACTTTGGACAGAAACATAGCGCACAATGAACTCCGTCCCATTGGTCCTTTGGTAGGATATGGTACGGATGAATAAATTATTTAAATATCAACACCTTCACAATGAAGTAATTTAAGTCTGCCATATGTATGGAAGAGCTTGATATCTTTTGGCACGTGGTTCCATTCTGGAAGACAATTGCTAGATGAGCAGATGCATTGCATGGGAGACTATCCAGCTCTATGGTTGAGTGACACGTAAGCTACATGTGTCTAAGTTGGACACGAATCCAGATATTAGTTTCATCTTATTATCATCATCTCAACGTGTCTAAATGCTGTCTGAACTAGCCAGGGAACTCAAACCTGGTTTCTTCCATAGTATCCCTGGAGCTGATTCCAAGCAATGCCTTCATGTTACGATCTTTGAGAACCTGGCAGTCCATTTTGTGTTTCTTTTCTTCCCAGCCAACTTTGCGGCAGTCCTAACATGATTTTGTCAGCCCCTCACTTCATAGCCGGCCTATAGTCGTCGTCATCTTAACGTACCTCATTGCAATAGAAGAAGAAAGAACAGCTACCACATTCCTCCAGCTTCCTCGCTTCCTTCCCACAAGCGTAGCACCTCTTCGTTCGGCCGTCCTCGTCCAAAGTATCCCAATAGTCGCACAGCCTTTTGCTAACGCCGAGTAGCTCATCGAGCTTGAAGGGAAAAGCCTAGTAAAACGGGGGGCATGAATATCAAATAGCCACCGGCTTTCCCAACTCAAACAGGCAATAAGGATCTATGATGCGAAGCTGCTTCACTTACATGGCAAGTCGCAAGGTCCGCAACTCGGATCCCCTTGGTATTATCAAGAAAATTGTGCCTCTTGGCGTACACGACGGCGATGGTATAGCCGATCTTGAACTGGCTAGGGGCGAATCGTAACCCCTTGCTCAAGTCGAAGCCAATGATGAAGTTGTCTCCGTGTCTGTCATGGCACACCATACAAAAGGGGTTCCCAGCCGATGTGGAGGCCGCATCGATCTCAGCTAAAAGACACCAGGTCTCTCCATCTTCGTAGATTGGTTGGCCGACATGGTACTCTGACTGGAGCTGCCCAAAGGCCGGGAAGAAGTATGTGTCAGTGAAGTTGGCGGGAAGCTCAAAATCGGCCTCGCCGCCATCGCCCGATGAAGCAGGGCTGGATGCGGTGGACTCGGGCATGACTATGGAAGTATGCTGTCGTGCAGCACAACCCTTTTGACGTAGACCGCAGATGAGGTGGGATGGTTGATTTACGAGTGCAAAATCCCAGCAACGCAGAAAGAGGGGTCGTGGTCTAACGGTGGCGTCGGCAGGTGGGTGTCGCACAAGGTCGCTGACGTGTTTTTAGGAGCTCCAGATCACCCTCTGATAAGGGATAAAAATAAGACGGATTCTTCACCCCCCCCTTGAGCATTTTCCAAATGCCCAATATCGTATGTTAGGCCGCAGACAGAAATTTGGGTGGTTGGCTGCTGGGGAAACGGCCGTTTGCAGTACAACGGCGTTCCCATCCCTTTTGCATTCCTTCCCTCAATTACTGAAAGCATAATTTAGGCTTCTGGGAGCTGGATCATTGACAAGGAAATGAGACTATTGTTCTTTAGTAATCCAGCCCCTGAGTATTTTTAACCTTTTGCTTGGGAAACATTTTCCAGTTTCGGCAGTCTTCCAGAAGCAATTTAAACATTTCCCCAGGTCTATTGCTTCCCCCCTTTTAGTAAGGTTTCCATAAGGGCTCTACCCACCTGAGTATTCAAACTAGAAACCATACCCTAAACTGAATGGGCGTTTGGGCCATTCGTTGCAGTTTGGTTGCAAAAAGAAGATTACAAGGGTGTAGTAAAAGGCATGTTCTCTGTCTAACCTCTAATACCTCTACCAAAATGAAGAAGCTCTTGATGCTGAAATGAATAAATTTACGTGTATCGTTAGTTCAGGATCATAAACCTAACTTGGCGATATCAGACGACTAATTTAGGCTCATATATTAATGTTTGGTTCCTTGATCGCTCTCATAACGCTGTATTCGAAAATTCATCAGACAACCAGTGGATCCCATCTATGATCACAAAGGTTTCCTCCCCGTAAGAAATCGATAGGTTGTGATGAGTCTAAAGTCCTTGCTTCTGAACTCTCTCTTGACGCCCTCCATAAGAACCTTTGCTTGGTCTTGACTGAAGCCCAGAACCCTGGTGAACAGGGCGGGTGTGTGGGAGTCAACTGACATCTGCATGTGAACCAACTCACAACGACCAAGTTCTTTCAGCGCAGGATCCTTAGCCCAGGGCCCGATGGGTATCTAGAGATTCGTTAGCAACTTCTCCTTTATGCATGTGAAGATAAGACGAAGATGTAGAAGGACGAACCCTGTAAACCAATTCCTGAACATCCTCGAAACCAGCGTCAATCATCCACTGCTTGTGAAACCTTGCAACATTAATCTGCTTCCCGTACATCTTACTTGCTTCATCAAGCTTTGTGACCCACTCCTTCGTCCATACTGCTCGATCAAAACTGTCATCGTCGCTGAATATCCACGCATCGTACTCTTGCATCTCAACCCAGCCGCCGGGCTTCAGTCCGCCCATCACTCTACCGTAGAACCTTGCCCAGTCCGACGATGTTCCGCTCAGTGCGCGGCCGTGGATGTAGTCGAATTTCTCGTCCTCCCGGTATGTCCACTCGTCTTCGTAATCATCGACATGGAACTTGCAATTTGACGGAACCCACTCCGGCTGTATCGGCGATAAATCAACGCCAAAGACCTCGGCCGTGGGAAACTCATCTGCCATGTCGATGGCCCATATCCCCGTGCCCGTACCAAGGTCGAGTATCCTCAGTGGTTCGGTCTGTTCGTCGTTCGGATCGGGTAAGGGAGCGGTGTAGACACGTCCGCCTAGAAGTAAACGCCAGATGTGATGCTGCAGATCTAGCCGCTCCTGTTCCTGATCGTCGTTGGGGAGAACGTACTGGCCCTCGCGGTATGCATGATATCTTCGGCCGTTCTCGTACTGGTAATGGTAGATGGAGGAAGTGATGGACGCGGTGTATGCAGAGCCGGCATCAGAGCCATAGGCTGAATCGTGCTCGTCTTGGTGAATGTCGTGCTGTTGGAGGTGGTGTCAGCCTGCAAGCTATTTATTGTTGTTGACGAGATTTACACGCGCCGCAACGGGCACTGCTTACATCGACTTGTAGAGGTGCGACAGTTTCATTCTCAGCCGGATTCAATATGTACTGAATACTCGTCGGCCCTGAATTTCGGGGCGGAGAAGGGGTCCTCGTCGTCATCGTGGATGTGAGTGTTGGTGGTTCATTCCGTGTTGGCTCTGTGCTAGGATGGGCTTGAGGTACAGGGCCCAAGCCCATGGCACTGGTACCTTCGGCACCTTCTTGATTCGATGCCATTGGAGGAGAGGGATTTAAGCGTCACCGGCGGACTCCTCCCTTCGGCAACCCGTAATGCTTGGAGACGGCGCAAAAAAAAAAAAAAAAAAGACAGCCAAAATGCGAAAGGACTTGAAATATGTAGTCAGCCGGATTGTCACCCCACGTTTGCTGAATCAACTCTAATTGATTATTGCTGAAGAGATGGGAAAGATGGTTTGTGCGGATCGTCCGGGAACCCAGCTTGAGGAAATTTCCGGGAAAAGCCCTGTACATAAATCCATGGCACCGCTCAATCCCTGAAGCGACCACAACAGCGTGGCAATGGGTCACGCATCTTTCCCTAACCCCTATTAAGTGCAACGTCCGTGCCGTCCCCTCCGCATGGGCAGAAATCTATCCTGTCCATGCTGAATGTACGGACTGTGGGGGATTTGCTTCTGAATATGTAATAAAGCACGACAATGTGTGTCGTAAGATATACTGGTAGTTTTTTTTTTTTTGTTTTTACTGGTACGGCCAAGGAGATGATGGGCAAGACGGCATGCCCTTATCAGAACCCCTTATCGGCTGAACAGCAACAAATGGCCCCCCAAACCTCGTTTTTGTACGCCCAAAGAGGGAAGATAGTAATGTGACGCCGTCGACGCCACGATGACCGAGTCAGGAATTGTCCCCGACCTCCACTGAAGCCAAAGCATCATTTGCCAAGGGTCTATGGTATGTATGACTTGGGAATTCTCTCCCCATATTTCGCTGCATGCAGTGCAAGCTTGAGTCCTAGTGGGACAAATTTCCATCCCAAGTGCGGATGTCTTCCTGGTACTTTGGCTTGAGACATGAAACATATTGCTTTTCTGTTTCGTGTACTTCAAACTCTGCATTCCTTTTTGCGAAATATGGTGGTTAATCATATGAAAAGCATATGTATGTGGCTGGCAATGGCAAACTGGCTAGAACATCCCAATAAGCTAGATAACCGGCGCTATGCATACCCTTCGCCCTTAACCCTCTTCACAATCCATTTTCACTTATACACCAGTGCCAGTGCTTTTCCTAGGGAGCTCTTGTGGCTGACAGGTACCTTAGGTAAAACGATGTCAGTCTTGAAAATGTTCCACATATTCGCTTGCCGATCTGTGTGCTCTGTGTGTAATTCGGCGTCTCGACTCTTACGAAATTCGAAAACAACTTCCACCTAACGTTCGCTCAATCGTATGATCCTCTAAGTGGCAATGGTATCACTGCTCTAATTGTTCGATAATTATGCCTGTGTGGTATGAACGGCTTGCACATAACCCGCGGTGGTATTCTTGTAACAAGGTCAACCAGGCCTCTCTGCTAAGCCCCATCAAGATCAACGTCCGTGCCGCCTCCATACATCGGTATTTTTTTAGCCTTGACATGTGTAATCCACCATGGGATCCGCTTCCAGTACCTCGCCACGTTGGGAAAGTGAGGTATCGGTGGGCAGATGGCTTGTCAAAAATCCACTCATACTAGTGTACAGTCGTAATTGTGTCTGGCTTTTGGCGCTACCGACACGGGCGACACTAGCAATTGGCGGACATGGTCCTTTGATGGAGCGGCGGAGGGAGAGGACCGCGAAAGCTTTCCCCGGAACCACAAGAACTTTTTCATCTGCCCGCCGAATCCTCTTTTCGGGTCCGACTCACTCTGTTTTGCAGTAGAAATCAGCGAAAAGCTCCAGCTGTCTGAATTTGTCCCCTCAATTATTTTCATTCTAGGCCATCCCAGTTTCATAAATCCACGCAACGCACCCAACGTCAACTCTCATTGTTGTTGTTGTCCATCATTCCTTGTCACGCTCACGGACCGGGTTCGAACCGTAGCCATGCCTCAACAACAACTTATCGCCGTCGTCGGCGCCACCGGTAACCAAGGCGGATCTGTCGCCCGCCGCTTCCTAGCTGCCGGCTATCGTGTTCGCGGTCTCACCCGTAACGTCTCCTCGCCAGCCGCCACGGCACTAGCAGCCCTCGGGGTCGAGGTGGTGCAAGCGGATCTCGAGGACGTCACCTCCCTAGAGGAGGCATTCCGCGGCGCAAACGTGATTTTCAGTGTGACGAACTATTGGGAACCCTTCTTCCGTCCAGACTGTCGTGCAAAGGCCCAGAAACTGGGTATCTCGTGCCGCAAGTATGCGTACGATGTGGAGTACCGTCAAGGTCGAAATATTGCCGATGCCGCCGCAACGACGGTGGACACACTCAACGAAAATGGCTTCCTGGTCTCTACGCTAAGTCATGCCGGTAAATGTAGTGGTGGGAAGTTCAAGGAATTGTATCATTTCGATGCCAAAGCCGATATCTTTCCTGGATACGTGAATGAAAAGTATCCTGCCTTATCAGCCAAGATGTCGTGTATTCACACGGGGTACTTCTACACAAGTTACAACATTCTACCAAACTCGTACTTTAGAAAGGTAAGATATCTAGCATGGCTGTTGGTAAGCTCACTTTGTTGACGTTGGAACAGAACCCCGATGGCACATTTACAATGGCATTCACTACCTCGCCGGACAAGCCTGTCCCTCACTTCGATCCTGCTGGCGATATGGGTAACTTCACCTACGCTGTGTCGCAGATGCCACCGGGCAAGGCCTACATGGCCGAGGGCACAACATGCACCTGGCCTCAGTTCCTTGAGACTTGGGCCAAGACTTTAGGAGTGGAGGCTAGTTACAAACAGGTCCCGCCGGAAGAAATGATTGAAGCCACGGGAGAGCGTGACACCGGCATCGAAGTCGCCTACATGTTCTCCTACTCCTCCGACCCAGGCTATGATGGTGGTATGGATTTGCTGACAGCAGCTGATCTCAGAAAGGTGAGTGGCATCCGACTTTATGCTTTGCTCATTTCAAGGGAACTGACGCGAGATAGCTTGGAATTGACTGCCCCCTGACAACGTGGGAGGAATGGGTAAGAAAGACTGACTGGTCATCAGTGTTGAATAAATAGACAGCACATAAAAGGAGAAGTGGCAATAGGTATATCTCCTTGGGTAGGAGAAGCCACCCAGAAGCTAATTTACGGCATATGACGTGAAAACGCGCTTAGTTATAAGTAGACTTGTCAGTCTATAGAGTCTGACTATAGAGAGATAACAGCAGTTATCTATTTTGAACTCCACAATGTAAAGTGTGTCAACCTAAGAGGCGTGATTACTTGGGTTTGCTTTCTATAAATCTAATGGAACTACAAACTTGCACTAAGCTTCTGGATTTATTTCTTGAAATATTACCTGCCAGAGGTTCTTGACATATTCCGGTTAAATAATGCGAGGGAAACAAATACGATGTGTGAAAACAATAGATTCACCGGATTTCAAGGCCGTTTTATAAGGACGAATAGTTCTTCCTCGGACAGCTATCCTTTTAAGATTTAAAAACCCAGATTCCTTCATTTAGGTATGTCATAATGATCGTTGGAAGGGTGCTTGTGACAAAATCAACTAGATCCCTAAAATGAAAGTCACAAATGCCGCGAACCCTAGGGCAAGAACTGCCTCTGTACTTCCAGCTACCACCGCCAAACCACTGTTGTTCTTGGGCGCCTTTTGGTTTGATAAAATACCCCTGCCAGGTTCCATGGACTGTGGGAACATTATGATCGTGCCGTTTCCAGCCTCTCCGGTGGGCATCGTGGCATTTTGGTCAATGGTGAAAGGGGTCGTTGACTCAAAACCATCCCTCCGTCCAACTAGAACCTCGACGCTTCGGAACGCAACAGCTGGCGCATCCGCCGAAACAAAATGTCCCGCAGAGGCAACAGCAACATATGTCAACCCTCGCTCAGAGTGCACTGTGCCCATGACACCTGCACCGGCAATAGTCTCGGGATTGTCGTTGCTATGATAGGGCACGTATAGCGGCGCCGTCGGTTTTGTTTGAAATCCCATTTGTCCGCCCCACGTCAAATTCTGAATTGTCAACAATGTACCATCGTCTATCAGCACATAGTCCCTGGTCCCGTGCGCGAGAATGACGTTTCTCGTTTTGTCAATAACATTCGGGAGTACAGGCTGGCTACCTGGCCCTTCCTTCACCGAGTTGTCTGTTCCGTTCATGAAGACCTGTGTGTCAGTGCAAAACTGCCACTCCTTGTCTATGGGCGCGTTGATTGCTCTTTTCACATCTTCTCGGTTGAAGTACGCAGGTCCTGAGCCCTTTGGCCTATACATGGAACCATCACTAAAGCCGAGAGGGTCGTATTTCAGCGGGCATATGTCCGTAATTGTGTAAACACTGAAACAAGGGTTCAGGTGTTCCGCAGCTTCCCCAATCATGGTCCATATGTCGCACTCCTGCTTGACCTCGCCATTCTCATCAAGGCCAGGCGGCCTTGCAGGCTGCAGCCCTGCTGGAGGAAAAACGAGATACTTGCGCATGTATTCGGCGTATCCACATTTCTCATTCACGTCCCTCAGCGTCTTTCGAAAGGTGTCGTTAAAGGCGAAAATATGCTCCCACCGGTCCGCGAATGAGAGTGCAGGGATTTCTTCCCCAATACTGTCAATAGAGTATGTCCCGTCAAAGATTTGCATGCCCGCGACATTGAAGTAATCCTTGTTGTTGCTGTCGAGCATCTCGCTGGCAATGTACGGGCAGTACATGCCGCTGTATGAAGAGCCTGTGACGTAAATCCTATATCCCTTCATGTCGAAGGTGTCAATGAAATTACGCCAGAAGTTGAGAAACTGGCGGGCAACGTCAAATTCATCTTTCGCTGTTGGAGTACCTTGCGAAAACCCTGTGCCGACGGGTTGATCGATCCATACAACATTCGTAATGCGATGCCAGCTCCATTTGTTTTTGATGGGCTTGAACGTGCCCGGCTGCCAGAGCATGGGGCCATTTTCTGAAAGCAGTTCTCCCGTAGAGGAACACCCTGGCTATTATAGTAGAGTCAGCATCAACCTCACCTGCCAGTACGATTTACTTACGCCGCCAGTAAGCCAGATCAAGATCTCCTTCTCTGCTTGTTGACTTTCGGACGGAAAGAACCAGAAGTAAAGCTTGTCGTTTGTGTCATTACTGCCTCGGATAGGAAGCAATCCAGCATACGACTCGCCGACATCAAAGTCAACGTCGGGAATTCCTGTTCCATTGACTACGAATTCTATGGTAAACAAATTAGCACCCGAAGAATAAGGCAATGCCAAGGGCCGTACTCCGAGTTTTGTCTGTAAGAAACTTTGGCTGAGTCTGAGCTTTCTGGGCTTTCCCAATGACTTCCTGGGGTGTCTGCGCAGTTAGGCCAGGAAACGATTTTCGTGCGGCAGGACGGTATTGCTGAAGATTCAAGGTGGCAGAAACAGCAAATGGAAAGAGAAGCAGTGCCTGAAACCAATTCATCTTGATGGGTCGATGTTCGGTATTGTATCCTGCTACGTTGCTCTGCCCCTGCTTCTTCAACATCTAAATCCCCATACTGATCCAGCAGGCACAGAATAAGAAAGAGGCGCTCTCTTGCTTTTAAAAAGCCCGGCAACATTAAGCATTTTCGGAAGGGTGCGATGCGCGTTTCAAAACAGCCGATGAGGGGTTTAAGCTCGGACGTAGAAACCCAGTCTGGACCAACGTCAGTGTCAGCTCAACTGTGCCTCGGTCGAGCTTATCTCAAGTTAACGCCCTACCAAAAAACATTCAATCTAGAATTTAGGCGTTTGCTCGGGACATAAGTTTTCAAGGGAAACCATGGCACTGTACTTGGAGATACAGCTATCAGGGACCCCTCCTGCAGATGACTTGAGCGCCCTCCATATATTGCCTTATTTAGACGCCAAACAAGTATGTTTCGATAGACAGCAGGTACTTGTCTTCCTGGGACATGCATAAGAAGAACAGGTTAATCCCAGTGGATCAGACAGGGATTTCGTATCGTCGCTTATTTGGGGTCGGAAACCCATTAAGACTTGTCATATGCCGACTATTATGTGTTTTGATAGCCAAATGAGTTCAACTCTTAATAAACTCTGAGACGGAGAGTGCCGAAGAGTTATTCTTGCGGCAAACTTTGACTTTTCACGCAGGGGTTTTTCCTCCAATGCAGAGCGGGAAGTCAGTCTGTTGTGGAAAATCCGCCTTACGTTCACCCATTCCTGAAAACGAGCATTAAATACTGTATAGCTTGAGAGTTAACGTTTTATCTTGACTCCCAGTAATGCTCATTACAGATTCCTGGCCATAGTATTCAGTAGAAAAAACCTTGCGTTCTCATTTCACAACATGACGAAAGACCGATATTTCAAGAGCCAGGAACTATGCAACAGAAGAACCAATGTCCAAAAGATTTTGTGAGTCAGATGAAATATCTCATGTGCAGCTGTACCATGTATGGTTGTTGTGGCTTTTCACAAGACGTCTATAATATTCGCAAGGTCCGGAAGAGAGACAAGTAATAAGATTGAACCCAACTCCCCGCAACTTTTCCTAGTGTCAGTCATTATCACATTTAGTTATGGTTCTTAATCGATGACTTCATCACTGAAAAATGCAGAGCTAATCTTGAGTGAACTTTGACTTCAGTGGTTAACACCCGCTGCAGTCACCACCAGTTCACAAACTCGTTGGCCGCTTCTGGTCGGTAGACCACCGAAATTAGCTATCCCTCAAGCCTATACTAGATTATAGAAAATTCTGAGACATTTTGTGCTTGCTCGGTCACCAAGGCAGTAATCATCTCATGGAAGTCTCTTTCTTCTCTCAGCTTGAACGCGATGTTGCCATCGTATATATACAGAAGAGAGTATCGAAATGACCACATACGACCATACCCATTGGAAAACTCGGGATCCCGTCCGCTCTCCCATAGATAAGCCAATGAGGGCCGGATTAGTAGTTGGGTCGGTGACGACCAGCGAATACCTGGTGTTGTATGTTTTTGTTTTTTCTTCCTTCTAGGGCCAACAGTCAACGCCTTTTGTTATTACTTTTCTCGGAATCCGAAGACCTATACACTGGACTATTCCCGTCTGGATATGCTACCTTTTCCCATTGAGCTAGCAAGGATAGAAGGGGTTGAATAGGTGGAGCAGCATCATGGCCTTGGGGAGCCTTAAGTCTCTGATAGTGGGTTATCAACTGCAATGTCACCACACCAAGAGCACCGTCAAAAATGAACGTCGCTGTTAACGTGCTAGATAACCTAAAGCTTTGTCTTTCTATTGACCCCTCCAAGACAGGCGAGGAGTGAAACTCATAGGAGGCTCTATGCATGAAATACATGGGATTAAGTGTACAAGAAATCAGCTTCTGCTGCTAATAGCTATTTAACCTGTCTAAATGGCTAGCTCTTGTTCTAGTTAACTACAAAAGGTATATTATGGCTGTCACTTGGAACCCACTGTGAGAAACTGGAAAGTCGTAAATCCATCTTTGGTCTTTGTCCTCCCCTTTTGCAGTTGTATAGTTTTATGCAAGGCGAGGATAAGGAAATTTTGGCCTTGTGGTTACTCGAGGCAGTGCCTTCGTCACCATTAGTTCCTGTGAATTGAATTACAAAAAGCTGGCTTTTGGGTACCTATACGCAGGGAGGAGAGGTTTGCGCTTAGGATAGTACTTGCGGGTTATAGTGAGCTATGGCAGGCGCTAAAAGCTTTGCTAAAATTTTGTAAGATGTAAGATTGTTTGCATCATAAGTGTACTTCCATCTGGGGTGAAATGTCAAGCTCAAGATGTAATCAAAGTTATGTTGAGAAAGTGATGCTTAAAGCCGCCAGCAATTGTGGTGACAAAACCAGCCGGTTGCGTCGGATAGGAATATGTGATGGGTTTCCAATGGGGTTCCAGGATGCCCATGTGCGTTGCACTAGAGCTTGCCATTTCCTTGGATTGTGTCCAGAAGCCACCCACTTGATTTCGGCCTCGATTGGACACCGGCAGAACGGACCGGTAAGACAGCTATGATCTGGGATGACGATCGGCTGCAATATGCTCAAGAGATCCACAAGCACCACGCATGATCGAGGCCAAATAAATTCCTCATGTCATGTGCCAGTTAAAAACCGTAAGTTTCGCCTGAAAACAGAGTCACCGGTGTGCCATCACGGTTACCGATTCATATCGGAACGAAGCCGGTCATCGCCGGAGGATGACAATGCTACCATACCCCCACTCCGATAAACAGCTAACCCCGCAAACCAATTGCTCAAAGACGTCATGTTCCTGGCAGAACTGCCGGAACACTTCCCCGTACCCCTTCTCCATGCTCTCTCTCCTCAATGTGGAGGTAATGCGGAGTAACTCCGCAGTCTAAACAATCAATCAGGCTTTGCAATCGTGCGATGTAGGACAATGGATGCGAATTAAAACCTCTTGTAACTCTGGAAAATTTTCGGGAGCGAACTATTTCGGCCGAGAAACGCACCGATTCGACACTTGTACTGGCGGTGAGCCGGGTACACTTCGGGATCTTATAAGTCCGTGAATGTTACATAACATATAAACCGGGTGCCATGTACTCAAATCTCAACGGCGAGGTGTCTCACCAGCGGATTTCAAAGCTGATATTGTCAACATGTGGCCAGAATTAAGCCTATGTGCTATTGCACATGTCCTCACACTTTCAACTGGCGTTGCAGCTCTCGCGCAATCGCCAGAAGTGTACCCATCACGTAAGTCGTTGCCTGTCCAACGCACGGTTCGTATCAACACACCTGCTCTGACGCGAACGCGAAACAGCAGCTGGAAAGGGAGCAGGATCCTGGAAAGATGCATATGCCAACGCGCGCAAGTTGGTTGATCAGTTGACTTTGGAAGAAAAGCTCAATATCACACGTGGATATCCCAGTGACAACACCTGCGCTGGAAACACAGGCTCTATCCCACGTCTGGGATGGCCTGGCATGTGCTTGCACGACGCAGGCAATGGTGTCAGAGCAACAGATCTTGTTAACGCATACCCATCGGCTATTCACATTGGCGCGAGTTGGGACAAGAACTTGACGTATCACCGTGGCTACTGGATGGGCAAAGAGTTTAAGACTAAAGGAGGTGAGTATCGACTTCTGCTGAGTCAAGATTTCTTGAGCTTGGTATTGACAGTAATTTTAGTAAATGTCGTGCTGGGACCCAATGCTGGAGCGCTTGGCAGGACACCTTTGGGTGGTCGCAACTGGGGTAAGACGAGATCCGATAATTCATCTTGAACCTTTCTAAGCTAAGCATTAAATCAGAGGGCTTTTCAGTCGATCCGTACCTGTCAGGACAGCTGAGTGCAGAAACCATCGTTGGTCACCAAGATGCGGGTGTGATTGCCAATCTCAAGGTCAGTTAACAGTTTTATTCAACTCAAGTGCCTTCCTGACATCGGACTCGTAGCACTTCATCGGCAATGAGCAAGAGACCTACAGAAGACCTTACTTCGGTGTGGAGGCGGTGTCATCTAATATTGACGACAAGACGCTGCATGAGCTCTATCTGTGGCCCTTCGTCGACGGTGTCAAGGCTGGCGCAGCATCGGTTATGTGCTCGTACAACAGAATCAACAACACGTACGGCTGCGAAAACAGCAAGCTCATGAACGGTATTCTAAAAGGCGAGTTGGAATATGATGGGTTTGTTTTGCTTGACTGGAATGCACAGCACAATCTTCAGAGTGCCAACTCCGGCCTGGATATGGTTATGCCAACTGGAGGAAGTTGGGGCCAAAATTTGACAGCAGCTGTCAAAAATGGAACTGTCAGTGAGTCAAGAGCGAGTGACATGGCCACAAGGTATTTTCTACACTTGGAACCATAGATATGTTGAAGCTGACATAATCTAGGATTCTGGCCGCTTGGTTTCTTGTTGGGCAGGACCAAGACTTCCCAACTCCCGGAGTCGGTATGAAGAACCTTACAGAACCCCACGAGCAAGTCGACGCTCGTGACCCCCGCTCAAGATCAAATATACTCGAGGGAGCCATTGCCGGCCATGTCCTTGTAAAAAACGAGAACGGCGCGCTGCCTTTCCAAAAACCACCCAAGATGATCTCAGTGTATGGATACGATGCAACAGTACCGGACACAAAAAACACAGATAAGCTATTTGAGCTCGGATACTATTCGTCCGCCGAGATGGGCCAGGCTGTCCTAGGCACCGAAAGACATTTCGACCAAGCAGCCAAGGGTGGAACTATTATCAGTGGAGGACGTGCTGCAGCAAATGCACCGCCCTACATTCTCGATGTAAGTGTTATGTGGTATTTCTTTGCACACCAGCTAACAAGGCGCAGCCTCTCAGCTCTATCCAACACAGAGCTTCCCAAGACGGGAGCTGGGTGAACTGGGATCTGACATCTTTCAACCCTACTGTTAATGCTGCCAGTGACGTCTGCCTTGTTTTCATCAATGCTATTGCAACCGAGGCGTGGGATCGAGACGGTCTTCACGATGATTTCAGTGACGGCCTTGTTCTCAACGTAGCCTCCAAGTGTTCTAACACCATTGTCGTCATCCACGCTTCCGGAATACGCCTGGTTGATCAGTGGATCGAGCACCCCAACATCACGGCAACCGTGATCGCTCATTTACCTGGCCAGGACAGTGGAGAGGCGCTTGTGCAGCTTCTCTACGGCGAGGCGTCTTTCTCCGGAAAATTGCCCTATACACTTGCAAAGAACGAGAGCGACTACTCAGTTTACAAGCCTTGTGGGCGTGGTGAGACCAATACAACAACTCCTCAGTGCGACTTTACGGAGGGCGTTTACATCGACTACAGAGACTTTGACGCCAAAAACATCACTCCAAGATTTGAGTTTGGGTATGGATTGACCTACACAAGTTTCGAGTACTCTTCAGTCTCCGTGAAAACCCAGAAGGCTGAAACAGGTGCCGCCGCGAATTCCGACGCCCTCTGGTCTACCGTTGCCACCGTCTACGCTTCGCTGAACAATACGGGCTCTCGTGCAGGAGAAGAGGTTTCTCAGCTCTATTTGGCCATTCCTAACAGCCCGCCTAAACAACTTCGTGGCTTTGAGAAAGTGCCTCTTGAAAGTGGACAAGGCGCCAAACTGCAGTTTGAGTTGACAAGGCGGGACCTGAGTGTGTGGGATGTCGTGAGTCAGAAGTGGACACTTCAGCAGGGCGAATACACTGTTTTCGTGGGTTCTAGTAGTAGAGACCTGCCTCTGTCTAAGAGTTTCACGATCTAAGAGCGAGGAAGAAGTGATCCAGAGATACAGCCATTCCAAGAAGATAATGTACCGTACATCTAATAAGCTACATTTTCCGACATTCATGCATTGATGAACTCTTTTGCAAGCCAGTGATGCTTTGGCAACCGATAAACTCACAATACCAACAAGAAATTTGAAACTACTTAGGAAGCGTTCACAAGATAGTTTTCTGCGACAAGTCACTACTTCAGAGCCGTCACAGGAAGTGCATGATAGTGCGGAGGAGTTCATTTGGTAAAGGTAGGCCAGCGTAGTTTCCAATTCTCTATATAAACTACCCTGCTGTTTCTTTTGAGCAGTCTTACAACTTCATTATTTTACTGTAGCATATTCTGCCTCTTTCTCTTCCTTCTCCCCATGCTGGGTAGAGTCATCAGATTTAGAATTGTTCCTCTCTCCCACTTTTATTAAGAAGTCAGCTACATTGTATCAATTTGCTAGAAAGGGGGAAAGACTTACCATCTAGCGCTACAAGAAAGCGGCTGACACAATTGTAGCATGCGATCTTAGCAGTTGACAATTAGCTTCTGAGGAGTGATTTGCGTCATTTTAGCAACGTACTGTTCCGACAATCTCAACCACCTCCTGATTATTGAATGAAGATTTCAACCAGTTGAACGTTTCATCAGTCACTTGGACATCGCGCGTCATCTCGTCAGCAACGACACAAACCGCCCATTGGCGATCTGTGGAGCATTCTGACTGGTTCGAATGGAGTAGGGAGTTTTCGTTCTGTAGATTTGTCATTGCCTCAGACGAAACACCGCTTTTAATGGCCAGAGGTGCGTGGTTCAGCCACTCATACCAAGCCTGATTAATGATGGCGATTCGGCAGATTGCTAGTTCTCGAAGATCATCGGCAAGTGAAGTTTTTGTTCGAATGGCGCCGATGAAGGTATTCCATCCATCAGCGATTGGTGGAGAATGCAAGAGAGCTAAATCAAGGGGTTGGAGTGGACGCGGGTGGCGACGCGCCGTAATGGCAGCTATAATAGCTTCCTCTCCAGGTCCATTTGTTGGTGGAGGACTCGGTACATAGGGAATTCGCAGGATGCGACTTGTGGTCAGTAAGAACACAAAAGTTGTTTGAGATGAAGAAGGGAATTGCAGACGCTCAACACAGAACGTGGACCGTAATGGAGAAGCAGGGAGATGAAAGAGTGTCAAGTATCAAACACAAGCAAGCTCTTTATTTCCAGTCCAAGTAAATCATCTTCATAACTCATATAAATATGTTGATATCCGCACTGCCTACTCCTTTGGACGATGTTTTCACTACAGAGAACCCCGGATTTCATGTTGACCTCTTTCCGGCTTGCTTCAAATCCCCTGCCTGTTGAAGCTCTGATGGGTTTGATCTTACAAGGTTGAAATTCGCATTTCTCCAAACAGGCTAGAGCAATGCAGCACAATGATGGCCATGGCTCGGAGCCAAACACTGCAGCGGCAGAAAGCACTGCCACGAAGAAGCAGCGCCCCTTTCGCAAGTTTCGGGGTCTGACTTGTGCCAATTGCCGCGTAAAAAAGGTAACAGGCTGTTTCTCTTCCAACTCTGTGCCTTGGACTTTACGATACCCCCTCGTGCTCTTGATCATGCAGACGTTCTCCTACCATCGGTGCTGACGTCGGGGCGATGATAGATTCGCTGCGAGGGCAGCCAACCGACCTGCAAGACTTGTGAAGTCTACCAAGTCCAATGCCGCTACGACAAACCACCACCATTTTCACAAGTTATTGCCATGGCCAAGAAGCTACAGGAAGCAGAACAGACTATTGAGCAGCTTCAGATGGCTACGGCGATGGCTCGTGCTCCAGCTACAGCGTCTCTCAGTATTGCCGAGCCAGTTTCGAACTCGGACTACATGCAAACATCAAAATCTGCGACAGAAGGTCTGGTGATGCAAGCATTGCCTACCAGCCTAAGCCCTGGGCCGGAAATTATGGGAACATCACCATCACGTGAAGGCTATGCGCAAGCCTTGACGGATACTGCGCATTCAAAAGATGTATTGGCGAGTGACCTAAGCATAGATGAGCACGGCAAAATTTGCTACTATGGCCCGACATCTGCAGATCACCAACCACTAGGGCTGGCCTCGCCGTCCACAATGTCGTCAAACAGTGTCGACGCATCGAAGAAGGCCGATGTACGTTCCTATCTAAAATCGCATACTCGAGAATCTGCAATCTGGGAGGAGTTTGCGCTTTGAAACGCTGCTATTCAGACTGGGATATCCCGCCAGGTTATGGCCAAGCTTCTTCATCTGCATTGGACATGGGTTGCACCTATGTTCATGTGGGTGTACGGGCCGGCAGTTCGTACGTATGTATCTCTTTGAATTATCCCTTCTTGTCTCATTGCTCTTCTCTAATTAGTGCAATCATTAGGCGACATGACGACAGGCGGCCGCTACTATTCCGAAGTTTTGTTCCTTGTCCTCTGTGCACATGCCTCGAAGTACCAAGATATCCACCATGCCGAGCTCCTCTTTTCGCGAGTGCGATTACTTCTTGGCGATGCAATACAGAAGCCTAGTTCCATCCCGACGATACAAGCTCTCCTTCAGTTAAGCGCTCGGGAACTGGCACAGGGATCTATTTCCCAGGCCTGGCTATACAGCGGTATGGCTTTCAGAATGTCTGCCGACCTCGGGCTGCAGCACAATGGCCCTGACATCGCCGGTTTGAAGGGGCTCAGCCCGGTTGACCTTGAAATTCGACGAAGGCTATTTTGGAGTTGTTACTTTTGGGACAAGTGAGTTCCCTAGCATTCAATACGCACCAAATAAGAGTAGCGTTGACAAGAATAACCCACAGGGCCATTAGCCTCTACACCGGTAGGCTACCTGCAGTGACTGAGCTTCCGCAGAGTCCTGTAGACTTTTGTGAGTCCTTTCAAACTTATATTGTGTGGTCCAAGAGTTACATACTGTTACTAATACAAGGCTCAGTGGACGACTCGGCAGAGTCTGAGACTTGGTCCCCTTATTTTGAAGATACCTCACCTCTGACTCGATTGCCACCTGGACAATATCCTTCTATGAAAAGCCATGCGGTTTCGTGTTTCGCCAACTCCTGCAGGCTGTCTGTCATTATTAATGACATAATCATTCAGCTCTACTCGAAGAGAAACAGGGCTATTACTGAGTCTTGCTTAAACGATATCAAAGACCGCCTAGAAAAATGGCGAGCAAAGTCACCATCTCACCTACGGTATGACCCGGGTTTTTTGCCAATGATATGCCTGCCGCCACACATCATTTCCCAAAAGTAAGTTTACGCTCATCACTGTCTTTCAAAAAGAGAAACATAACGCTTGCCTCCTTTCTTTCTTTGGTGGCTTCATTTTTCGATACTTACCGTGCTATGTCTGTAGCCTTCTCTATTTCACTACCGTCATCTTGGCACACCGACCATTCTGGTCCGTTCCGGCCTATTATCAAGTATGCATAAGCGCGGCTCAAAGTATGGAGAAACTACTTCTCCTGCTCGAATCAACATTTGGTTTCGAGAACATCACATACATGATGGGCTATTGCATCTACACTGGCGCCTCGGCCATCCTTGAGGATGCAAAGAAAAACAATGGTGCGGCACACCCTACAATGCAGACTTTCCTAAGAGCTCTCAATGGAGGCATCGCAAGATGCCCGCTTCTTGAGAGAAGCCTGCATATCATCATCAAGGGCTTAAAACGTGCGCCCTTATATCGGGAGCCAACTAATCATGGCGTAACCGACAATACCGCTGTCACTGCCAATAGTTATGTCCCAGCGTTTCCTTGTTTTGATCCAGCCAGCCCAAATGATTTTGATATGGAGGCATATCTTAACAGTGTGAATATCGACGCTATGACTACGTTGGATTGTTATCCAGAGTTGCAGATTGACTTTGATGACTTGGTGAGGCAGCCATCAGAGTAGGTAGTGACCTGCTCAATGATTCAGCTTGTCACGCCCTTTTGATCTTTTTAAGCTCTTTTTTTTCGTTGCAAGACGAGACAAATACAAAGAAATTCAAGGCCATGCAGGTATTTCCTGATTTCTGTTGTGTTCTTGCTTATCGTTTGACTATAGTAATAACCTTGCGGTTCCAATTCAAGCCTAGTTTCCAGTGCCAGTTTTTGGCTCAAGTGTCATCCGATCACCCGCCGCCTTAATGTCCTTCGACCTGAGTGAGCCTAGTTTTATTGGGCCTGGTCGCATAGCCGACAACGCGCTTAAAGTATTGCTCATACTGTTGCGCTACCTTTCCCTTAACTACTTACACCGCTACAGCGTCTTTCTTACCGGGAGGCTCGTAGCAGGCGGCTTGTCTGCTGTTCACAGGTATTATGCCGCAAACTACCAATCAGTAAATCAGCCACATAGCATTAATTACCTTCTCTAAGCAGTTAGTGCTTACTTCAGTCAATGACAACATGAACATTCCCGTCCATATTGCCTATAAGTACTTTTGTTCTTACTGGCCCAGCCCCACTAATTGTGTAACTCTGTATTTTAGCTACTGCGAACGGGGATACGCTTATTTAACCCCGAGATGACTTGGATTTATCAGTTATCATGCCGTCTTTCCCATAATCCTCTCGTCTTATCCTGAAGAGCAACAACTCCAAATTGAATCACTTATTTTTCTATATCAATTTCTATCGGAATACTAAACGTTCACAATGCCGTCACTCGACGTAATTCGGTCGGCCAATGCGGAGCTGGCTAATGGCGCCCCCTTGGTAGCCGCTCTGTCTGGAGGTACTACAGGAATCGGCTCCTACATTGCCAAAGCACTAGCGACAATATTCGCAAAGAATGGTTCCAAACTACGCGTTTATATAATTGGCCGCAATGCTGAGCGTGCTGCGTCCGTCATTGCTGAAGCACAGCAAATCAGCCCAGGCTCTGACTGGCGCTTCATCAAGGCATCGGATCTCGCGCTGATTAGCGAAGTGGATCGCTGTTGTGCCGAGATCATCGCGCAGGAGTCCCAGTCTCCTTTCCATGATTCAACGCCTCATTTGGATCTTCTTTACATGACGCATTGCTATCCTATTTTGAAGGAACGCTCTAGTAAGCACCACCTCTCTTTGTTGATAACATCTGGCCAACAAAGCCTATAGCTACAAAAGAAGGGTTGGATAGCTTCATCTCCACAACCTACTATAGCAGAACACGCTTCGTCTTACAACTCATGCCCTTGCTGACTGCCTCGCCTCTGCCTGGGCATGTCATCTCAGTCTACGCCGGTGGATTCGAGGATGGCACAAAACCAGGCGAGAAGCCAATCGGTCTTCCACCGCCAGAGACCTACGGCGTGACGGGTGTACGGAAGCATACTGGGTTCATGAAGACATTCTTCTTCGAAGAGCTTGCGGAGCGTTACTCGGGAAAGCTTTCTCTGACACACATCTACCCCGGGCTTGTCGATGGTCCAACATTCTACAGCTCGGAGATGCCCAGCTGGTTCCGCATCGTATGGCGGCTATTGAAACCATTGGCAAGTCTTTTCATGACGTCCCCGGAAGACTGCGGTCAAGTGATGATATTCATTGGCACTTCGCGTTTCCCGGCACGAAGTACAGTCGAGGCTGATGTCAAGTTTCCTGATGGCTTGGGTGTTCCCTTGAGCACAAAAGGAGAGCTTGGTGGCGGGGCGTATGCTGCTGGCCAGCGGGGAGATATCCAGAACCAGGGGCGCATGTACGACAAGGTGCGCGAGGACGGGCTGAGTCAAGAGATCTGGGATCACACTATGAAGACATTGGAAGAAGCAGTTCAGCGGGGCGCAAATGTACGAGATTAAATTTATCGTGTTACGCCGTACTAGTCGAGAGAGACTGATCTCAAGTTAAGCAGGATGTAGTATGATTCGAAACATTAAGATCTTGACTCAATCATCCGCAGCCTCGTTGTTTTCTGCTTCCAAACTCTGCCGCCCGAGCTCCTGAGTTTCGATCGTCAACTATTTTATGAACAAAGTCAGGAACAGTGGCTGCAGACTCTCCTGCAGATGTTATTCTGCAAATCCGGCTTTCCTAGAAGCCTGCAGAGGGCTTTGATCCAACATTGTAGATTGGTTGCCAAGTCAATAAGATAATATAGGTTGGTCTTGGTAATTTAATGAGCTGAGAACTTTAAACGCGCCAGACATTGAGACTTTTGTTGACTGGCGAAGTTTACCCTTCGGAAGAAATACCTGTCCAGGACTAACCTCGAATTAACGAGAAGTGGTGGCAGTCCTTGTTTTGTAAGCTTGCAATAACGAATCCACGGTAAATAGAAGCCCGAACTTACATATCGAGTATTAATTTACAAGATGCAAAGGAGAGTGTACTAGGCAGTGACCTATTTATCGCAACCACAGCATAGTAGTGTCGCTACTACCTACGTCTCACCTTGATCATCCTGATCAATTCAGACATAACTTTAAATATATCAAATGCATCCACATGTACGTAAGCGGGAGACTCAAGAAACAACGCTTGGGTCACATTGATGATTATTCCTTGTTTTTTGAACAATGTCGGATTTTGAACTAATCCTACCATAGTCAGAGGTTTCTTATAAGAGGTTGTTGTATATTAGTGCCGTGAGACAAGGCGTAAACAAGATTATCCCTTCAGCAAAAAAGGTATTGAGCGATATGAAAGCAAATACAACTTTACTATGCGGTGGCATTGGTCTCTGTGGTGTCCCAGATACACTCATCATTGAGATTTTCAACGGACCCTAAAATCACTGGCAACACAGTCGTGTCCAGCAACGCTGGTACCGATGATTTTGGTCTCGGGAAGCTGCTCAAGAGCAAGCAGATCCGGAGTAAGATCGCTTCATACATCGGTGAAAACAAGACATTTGAGAAGATGTACCTGGCAGGCGAGATTGAACTTGAACTCACACCGCAAGAAACGCTCGCTGAGCGATGTGCTGCTGGCGGAAAGGGCATACCAGCATTTTACACGCCTGCCGGCGTCGGCACTGTTGTTCAAATGGGGACCCTCCCTTTACGGAACAGCGCCCCGGATTCTACCGACAGCTTGCGGTATCCTTCTCCCAGAGACGTCAAAGTTTTTAATGGGAAGCCATTCCTCCTAGAACATAGCCTTGCTGGTGAATTTGCTTTTGTCAAAGCATATAAAGCAGACCGGCTGGGTAATTGTTAGTTTCGCCTTGCTTCGCATAACTTTAATGGCGCGATGGGTCGTAACGCAACGGTTACAATTGTCGAGGCTGAGCATATCGTTGAGCCTGGTGACATTCCCCCGGAAGCCATTCATCTTCCAGGTATCTACGTTAGGCGAGTCATTCAAAACAAGTCAGAGAAATCTATTGAAAGGTCCACATGGGCAGTACAGGACATGAAAGCTCGTGGCAGTGGCGACGTTACTGCAAAGAGAGAACGTATTGTTCGTCGGGCAGCTATGGAGTTCAAGAATGGCACGTATGCAAATCTCGGTATTGGCATGCCTATGTTGGCATTGACATTGTTGGCCCTGAGATTGGTGTTCAGTTGCAGTCTGAGAATGGCATCCTGGGCTTCGGTCCGGATCCGACAAAAGGGCGCGACCAAGCTGATCCAGATCTAATCAACGCTGGAAAGAAGACAGTCACGCTTAAGCCCGGTGCAGCCGTTTTTGGAAGCGACGAGAGCTTCGGTATGATTCGAAGTGGTCGCATCGACGTCACAATTTTGGGTGCAATGCAGGTCAGCGCCACGGGTGACTTGGCCAACTGGATGTTACCGGGAAAGGTTAAGGGTTTCGGTGGTGCGATGGATCTTGTGAGCAACCCTAGCAAGATGAAGGTCATTGTCACTATGGAGCATACAGATAAAAAGGGAGCTCCTAAGATCGTCAAGCAATGCGCCTTTCCCCTCACTGGCCGAGCATGCGTGTCTCGCATAATCACAGATCTCATAACTAACCTGGTGTACGATGGAGATTCAGGCGAAATTATAACTCAAACTAGGCGGTTTTCGATGTGGACTCTTCCTCGGGATTAACCCTTATTGAGATTGGAAAGAGGTGAAGGAGAAGACTGGTGCTCCCTCTGTTGTAGTAGATACCTTCAACCCGATGTTGTAGTACTCAAAATATAGGCTCGGCTGATTGGCAATTGCCTAACAACCTTCCCTTTCACTTGTGGCGGACAGTCAGATAGGAATTTCCACCTCGATTCTACTGAAGTCTCTTACTTTTGCTAAAGTTTCTTCTGTTCTTTGTTTACAACTCCGCGGACGCAACCAACTCAAGAATTACCCTCGCAAGTTTTTGCATTCGTTTACATGTGTAGTTGCGCGTATTGACATGTTCATGCAATGCAATCAATCCAACCTGCTGTGCTAAAGTTACGCTGTATCATATAAATATTATATTACTCTAGAAACCCTCAGGCAAATAAACCTCCTAAACTACCTTCTTTTACTGAACGAAATCTCCCGACTTTTGATTAACTTCAGCATTTCTGCCGGCATAATCCTCTCACCTCTCTGAAGACTAGCACCTTGCTAGACAGCCATGAATTCTCACCCGGTGCCGAACCCCCATGACATGCTTTCATCCGAGCTTGAGTGGTCTGACACCCTGCAAATGGAAAACTTTAGTAGTAAGCGGGAAGGAAGATATATGCGTGCACCCACACAATCGGTAAAGATATCGACAGTGCTGTACTTCCATCGGGAAGGCGGCATAATAACCGACAATCGGCCTACCATACAGCAAAAGGCAGAAGAGCTGTCCAGTAGTTACAGTGTCGTTGGATGCAATGTCGGCAGAAATTGTCGCCGATAACCCGGTGTCGGTGTGCCTTTTGGCAAAATCTGCACACCATCGCAATGACTCGATTTGATCAATGCAGTATCCGTCACGGCGACGGAATGCCTAAAGACCGATCCCACAACATCTGTTATGAATTGTCACACTATATTTAGACCCACAAATCAAGGCCGGTGGGAGGCAAAATTAAGACGAGTTAGTGTCGTATTCGAGGCCGCTGAGTAAGACAGTTGCTTTTGCTAATGTCGATGGATTCACGGTAAATCACTACAACGCACACCGTTACACTGTTAGTACACTTCCTGTGCAGACTGTAGGCTCGTCAATTTATATAACGACACTGTTTGCTTACTTTCGAAGATAGAGAAACATTTATCCTGGGGCCGCTAATGATTCGGGACAATACTTACTGAATGACAGTCGATAGGCTTAGAGAATTGATGGTGTAGACGCGTCTAAGTGTACTGCTCGGGTTCACAGATGGCAGCTAATCTCAAGAATATGCTGAGGACCATTAGGAAGATGGAGAAACCGCTTCTTCTGACTCTAACATTGTCAAAAAGCTACCTTGAACGACTTTCAAACAAGTCATTTCTTACTAATCATAAGGAAGTGTATCCAGTCGGATCTCTCCTCATACAAGTTAAATTATCCTGTGAGTTATGTTATCAGAACTGTGAGCATTTAGGCACACGCACTTTCTGGATTTTCACAGAAATGCTCGCTGGACAGTCTGGGTTGCGTGCACACGAGAGGGGGCGGAACAGGATTAATGGCTGCATTGTGTGTCTTCAACTAATCGCAATTCCGTGCAACGCAACACTGCTTGTGGCAGTCGTCTCCAGCAACATATTGGTATGTACTGTTGTTTGTCTGTTGGATCTCGGCATCTGGTGAAAATCCTGTAAAGGGACGTCGATAGAGGGACCAATTAAGTGTTTCAAAGTCGATGCCTGTGCCGACTTCCGGCTGACCAAGCACACTTCCCATAGGATTCCTAGAGTGCCCGTAAAAGAGTTGTCTGTTAGTAAGCCTCTCAAGGTAAGGTAGTTGACAACGCAAGTTTGTATCAGTTAGCGAGGCTTTACCTTGCGGCCGGTTAGCATCTCCTTAAATGTCCCGTTGGAGTTGTAAACAGGCCACCGCTAGAATCTCAACTATCAAAAAAATTGCTTAAGAATTAGGGAGGGAAAGAAAAGGATTTATTGCTAGCCCATGATCTAACCCCTTGCTCTCAGTCAGGATGCAACTTCCTAAAAAAGCTAGAGCAGATGAGTGACCAGCGTTACAGCTTTACCTTGCAATGCAGATCGTTTCGCTCCACAATACCGTCGTGTGTATTTGTAGGCACCAAAGGTTAGAAAATGTCGGCATACGGGAGTTAGCTGGTTCCGATCGGAGGTTGCAACTTCGTTCGCCGTGAATTTGCCGCCAACTAATGAATGGGTATAAAAGAGTCAAACACCGATAACCTTTAGGATTGCAGGAACTATATTTCGAGCATCATAAACTCAGAATGACTTTGAGTTCATCTCTTGATTATACAGTCGCCGACGAGCGAGCATTCCGGTTGCTGTCGTTCAAATGGACCCTTGCTTGGGACAAAAAGGTATGACGGAGCCTTGCACGCACCCTCCGTCCTATGTGTACCTGACTGACAATGACATAGGACATCGACACTTGGCTTTCAATCACAGGACCTACTATAGTAGCTGACTATACCGACTACCCAGCTGTAGGAATTCTCAAGCAAGGCAGCCCCGAAGAGCTCTTCAAATCTTCGTTCTCAAGACCAAACTTGGGCCATCCGCAACGTCAGTGCCTCTGTTCATACATTTTGCTACCAACTGACCTGTAGAGGTGAAAATAGTCGAGACTCAACATTTCCTTGGGGCGGTGGTTTTCACCCGCGTTAACGATAACGAGGTGCGTGGCGACTGGCAAGTTCGAGCTCGACATGTTAGGCGACTATCTGATGGGCAGTCACGCGAATGGGATTCCAGTGCTTACTGCGAGTTTCTTTATGTGAAAATTAACGAAGAGTGGAAGCTTGGCGGCCTACGCCCCCATACAGTCGTTGCTACAACTGGGCACCCGGAGGAAGTAATTGGTGATTTCTGAAATGTTATACTACTATTTTTGAGTCTCGAACTTGACAATATAGCATAGCGATAACGCTTTGATCCCTGGGCCTTTGATTAGAACGCTTCTCCAATAATATATCTACTTGAAACAGAAATTGGCTGGATGGACAGCGTGAGACTGTATGTCTTGACTTTGAGATATCTTTTAAAGAGGTGGTGATTATTGTTGATGCAGGTTATTAAGGTACATCTAGAATAATCCTATTTTACAGACTTTAGCAACCTGATTTGTAGAGCCTCTGGACGCCTGCGACTAGATTTTGTAACATTCAAGTCTAATTTAACGCTTTAACTTAAGACTGAACTGAACTTACAAGGAACTTAGTGGCTGAGATTGGAACTTAACTAAGAACTAGCCATGAATTTCCTTCTATGCAAAACTTTCCTTTCCTTGAGATCATATAGAGGTTTATCCCTTCCTCATCAAACACGCGCCTACGCTTGGCCGTGGGCCTCGCAAGGTCTACTTTCGGTATCAATAAACTGGAGCACTAGATTGTTTTTGAAAGTACATATGAACAAGTTTCGTAGAAGGTTGCTGCTATTTGGTAGGGAATGTTGTTACAGATCTGCCGATGGTGCGGTTGATAACGAAATCTTTTAGGGGAAGTGTTTCTGAGAGGAAATTCGTCTAATCGTATCTGAAATATTCTTAACGTTTTCCTTATCAAAGCAATACAGGAATTGCCTTTGGATTGTGCAGGTTTTGTCAACTCAATTTGCTTCATGGACTCCACGATCCGCGGTGATCTTGGGTATGAGTTGGCGTTCCTCATGATCCGCATAGTGTTCTGCAAGCCGTGCTGTCCTCGGCAGATTCTTCATGGGAGCAAGTCTTACGCCGTTTGCTGTGAAGCTGACACCATAAGCTAGAGAGAATGCTCCTCTCGACGAGTGGCTGGTCTTTTTCCAAAGACAATGCTTTCATCTGCGTCACTCTCCGGGCGCTAACAATCTCCTTGATGAAGAATGCGTGTGTTACGACCCGTTGGACATGGTCGCCAACACGACCCCGCCTGGATCCCGGCGGCTAACGCAGGGCATATGTAACCCAGCCGGACAGGTGTAACCAGGGATCCTCGGAACGGAAGAACTATGGACAAGTCACGTGGCCTCGGGGATAACGCGGGGTAAGGACAACCCGGGCTGGATATGTTGGATATGTCAAATATCCAACCGATCCCCGGATATGTTGGATATGTCAAATATCCAACATAGCCAAGATAAGGAGGACCGTTCAGGACTTGTATATAGGATGGACTCGAGCCGGGCTCGAGGACAGACTTCCATAGCTCTTCAGCAATCAACTTTGTGATTACCCTAACCGGTACTTTCAGCTATACCTAAGTGACGACTACTCTACGACTCTTGTTGAGGCCTTGACTGATCACCAAGACCTTTGAAGATCTACGATCTATTCGACCAGGACCACGGAACGACTGTTACTACTCTCAATCCCTGGCTTACTGTTAACACAAACCCACTGTCAGTTAGCTAGCCGTAACACTTTGATTGCTCCTGTTCAGTAAGTCACCTTTTGAGAACTACTAAACAGTATAGACAAGATGTCTTCTCGCGCTTCTGCCAAATCACCCACTCCAGGATCCTCATCCTCTTCGCGCAACCAGCCTCAGAGCCTCGCGCAGGAGCCCGCCAACACTGAGGACTTCGACATGCCGGACCTCAAGTACGACTCCGATGGAGATGGCTCTTTCACCAAGGAAAGCTACGATAAGCTCCGACGCATAATCCAGAAACAAGAAGCCGAGACAAAAGACATGCAGAAAATCGTCAACGAAAACCGACAAGCAATAGAAAACCTCAACAAGCAACTCCAGCATGCTGGACAGGCCTACAAGAAGCTGGAAGAAGACATCAAGGGGGACGCCAACCTCCGGAAGATCTAGGAACTCCAGGGGGAAATCACCACCCTCCGGGCCGCCGCTAACATCGTCACCACGCCCGTCTACAGAGGACGACAAAAGCTCAAGCTCAGTGCGCCTGTCACCTACGACGGAACCCCCGGGACCCTCAAAGGATTCCTGATTCAGGTCAAAAATTACCAGAACTTTCACCATAGAGATTTCACCAACGAAACCGAAAAAGTAGTACACGCAGCCACCTACCTCCGAGGAAAGGCCCTCAAGTAGTTTAAACCAATCCAGGAAGAATACCTCAAATGCGAGACCCTCGACGAGTATACCACCGAGACCCGCGACATCTACGCCAATTTTAAAGGATTCGAGGATACGCTCAGGTCACTCTTCCAAGACCCCGACGAAAAGCGACAAGCCGAACAAGATCTAGCATAACTTAAGCAGACTAAGTCCGCCAAAGACTACTCCGCCAATTTCCGACAACTTAGCGTTCAACTCGACCTCACCGAGGAAACCAAGATCTTCATATTCTATCAAGGACTAAAGGACGAAGTCAAGGACGAGATCATCAAGATTGATCGACCTGACGACTTTCTCCAGTACGCCGAACTCGCCATCAAAATCGACAACCGGCTTTTCGAACGACGAAAGGAAAGAGGCGAAAAACGACAAAACCCCAACTCAGGACGCAAGTACCAGTAGCAGCCTCAGCACTAGTTCAACAACCAGCGAAACGACAATAGACCCCGCAACAACTAGAACAACCCCCGACAAAGTACTGCCTATAGTCACCATAGTAGACTAATGGACCTTAGTGCTACACAGAGAAACGATAAAAAGAACGATAGTTAGAAGAAAGACAGACAGTGCTATAACTGCTAGAAGATTAGACACCTAGCATACGAATGCAGGTCACCCAAGAAGGAACGCTTCCAACCGGTACCAGAGAAACGACAAGCAAGTATCGCCACGAAGACGATCCCTTATAAACAACTTAATTAGACCACCTGCTTCGATAACAACTGCCATATCCACTCTAGCAGTAAGGAACACGCAGGATAGTACCCCCAGAAACCTCAAGAACGATCTGGTTACGACACTACTAACGTACCTAAACGGACCCTCGCTGCGGGATATAGAAGCAACAGCAAAATCGAGCGCAAGACAATCGAACGGCTCGACAGTATAAACGACAACGAGGAATTAGAACAAGACAATCAGCGAAGGCTGAGCCTCCTCTACGCAGGACGACAAGCCCACCTGCAGCGGATTCAACAGGACTCACAAAACCCTATATAGCAACGACAACTCGGTGCGCTGGACGCACACATCGAACGACGACAACATGCACAAGGAGATCCCACACGGATCCGCCAGATCAACCAAGAACTAGAAGAACAGGTCGAATCAGAAACGACCAAGAACACCCCCAACGACTCGGAAACACCTCGCGATGTTGCCCGCCAACATGCCCAACTGGAAGTCGCCTTTGAAGTCGCTTCAGTCGACGACACCAGCTCTGGAGAGGACTCTGACGAAGAAATACAGTGGTATCACTGCTACCAAGACCAGCGCCGAGTCCACTATATCAAGAAAGACGAAGCATGGAAGAAACAGCAAGAAAACGACGAACAAGGAACGGACAAGCAGTCAAAAAACTAGACTCGCCTACCGAAGACAAGGGACAACGACAGGCAGTCCAGACAAGGTCCCTATGTAGCGCAACGACGCCCACGACACAACGACACGAGCATGTACAAGTCCAAATACAGCTCAACGGAAGAACAGCTACCGCCATGATCGACAGCGGAGCCCAAGGAAACTTCATATCACCAAGAACGGTAAATGAAAGAAAGATAACCTGGAAAAGAAAAGCAGCCGAAGACTGCTACGAACTCAGCACCGTTGAAGGAGAACAAGTCTAGTACGGCGGAGGACGCATTGCTATGGAGACAGCGCAACTCCCTTTGCAGATCCATAGCCGGAATAAGCGACTAAACTTCGATATTACGGAGATAGGAGACAAGTACGATATCATCCTTGGAAGACCATAGTTATACGACAGTAACCCACGGATAGATTAGAAAACAGGCCAACTCCATTAGGACCAGGATTCAGTCACTAAGAAGCAACCACGGAACGGTGCCTCAAACGAACCTCTCAAGACTCCTGAAGCGAAGAGATTTCTAGCATACCTACGGATCAAGGATGCAAACGCCAGGACGTTATCAGCAACAGACATCGGCAAGGAAGACCGACTTCTGTCTATCCCAGAAGAATACCGGCAATACCAGAAGCTATTCGCCGAAGAACTCGAGACCGGACTCCCGGAACACAGCAACTACGACCACGAGATACCCCTTAAGGAAGGGAAGGAGCCAAAGCTAGAAGCAATCTACGGACTCAACCAGAAAGAAATAGAAGCACTCGACGCTTACCTCGAAGAAAATCTACAGAAGGGATACATCAGACCCTCCACATCACCAGCAGGATACCCAATCCTGTTCGTACCAAAAAAGAACGGCAAAGTACGACTCTGCGTCGACTACCGGAAACTCAACGACATTACGATCAAGAACTGCTACCCACTACCGCTCATCTCCGAACTACGAGATCTACTACACGGAGCCCAGTGGTTTACAGCACTCGACCTAAAAGGAGCCTATAACCTAATCCGGATGAAATCAGGTGAAGAATAGAAGACAGCGTTTCGAACACGCCGAGGACATTACGAGTACCTTGTAATGCCCTTCGGACTTACCAACGCACCCGCGACATTCCAGACGATGATCAACCACGTCTTACGAGAATACCTCGATATGTTCGTCGTAGTTTATCTCGACGACATCCTAATCTTCTCCAAGACTCTGGAAGACCACAAAAAGCACGTACATCAAGTGCTACGGAAACTACAAGACGCCAAACTCCTAGTGGAACCAGAAAAAAGCAAATTCCACACCCAAGAAGTCGAATTCCTAGGCTTTACGATAGCCCCTGGAATCCTCAAGATGTCTAAAGACAAAGTCGCAGCAGTACGAGACTGGCCAACACCACAAAACGTCAAGGATGTGCAATCCTTCATCGGATACGTGAACTATTA